CCCCCTGCTCAAGCAGGAGACCCTACACCCCTTCAGACAAACGGTTATCCAATCTCTTCTTAAAAGCCTCCAGTGTTGGAACACCCACAATATTTGGAGGCAAACCATCTACTGATTCATTGTTCTCACTTTCAGGAAATTTCTCCTTATTTCTAGATTGGATCGCTCCTTGGTTAGTTTCCATCCATTACTCCTAATCCAGAAAGCTCATCCCAGCTTTTTCCATCAAAGAGCTTTTTTCGTGAAATCTCAAAGAACTAATTGCAGTTAAAGAAGTGGGCCAGAGTTTCAGAAATGTCAGCTTTCTTGGGTGAGGTTTAGAATGAAGAGTTATAGAAATTAAAGGCAGAATTGGTACCTCATCACAACAGCACTGGATATCACAAGCTCCTGCCGTGAGGTTGCAAGGACAGGAGCCCAACGGGTGAAACACTTGATTGGGGATCATCGTTGCGTTCTCTATTAAAGAAGAAAAAAGTGAAAACTGGTGAGTTAAGTTCAAGAGATGCCTTTTCCTTTCAACACCTTCTTTCTCCTCAACAATTAAAGCCTCCTTATGCATGCAAAATAAGTGTGCAAAACCACATTTTGCTGACTGCTTGTATACATTATGCTAAAAACATCTAAAGGTCAACATGACTTTCGAGATGAATAAAGTGCAGATAATCTCAATCACCTCATTCACTGGAAGCTTACTGATTTCTAAACTTGTTTTACAGTCCAGCTGAAATTTCTGAGCTGGGCAGCCTTATAATTCAATAATAATGTGGGTCCTTGGTTATCTCTGAGCTTGATCGTTTTCTTGCAGATGTTTCATTACCAAACTAAGTATCATCATCAGTGCAAAGGGAGTAGGATTTGCTCCCTTACTAACACTGATGATGTGACCTGGTTTGGTAATCAAATGTCTGCAAGGAAGCCACCAAACTCAAGAGATCACTAAGGACCCCATATTTTAGCCCTGAGTGACAAATATCCTCTTCTATCAGACTGATTATATAAACTCGTGCTTCTCTTTCACTCATGCAAGACACCATTTTTGGAAGAATATCATTTTTGAAAAATGTCACTGGAGCAAGACGTTGCAACCAAAGCTGAAATAATCGCAACTTATCCAGATCCTAGCTGTAGTGTGAGACCCGTGAAAGTCAGCATACAGCCAGAAGGAATGAAATACCTTCTATTTTTCCCGTTAGGTTTCCTGAAGATGTATTAGCATATATTTCCGCTTGGATTAACAGCCGGGCCATGACCTTTGTCCCTTGACATGCTGAGACCTGCAAACTTTGAAGCACGCACAGGGCCTCCACGCAGCAATCGGTGGCATTTAAGACACACAGTTGCAGGTGCCTGGTCAAGGACACCGTCACCTTGGAAACGTTCTGAAATGCAAAATATGTCAGTTGGCAATTAACCGAGAGAGATTTATGAATTACAACGTAACTATGAATATTAAGCCCACATCAGGGATAAAACAGCAATATTTTATTTGGGTCTCTATTTACTACAATTGTTAAAAAATGCCAAAGGGAGGGAATCTAGGTCAAGAATTTATGGAAAGAGATTCGCAGGAGATACTTAAGAAGCTGATCTAAGATCTTTTGCTGGCCAAGTTAAGAGGAGAATCACATTTTCTACTCACCCCTTGATGTGTGACTTGCAAGCTCCAGTCATCTGTTCGGTTTCTACCACTACAGTCTGAAAGGGGCAACAATCCTAGAAGAGAGCAGAGCACATTACCATATGCAATGAGCAAGGACATACATTCAATTTCACAGCTACTAAGATTGTTGGATGAGCAGGTACATAAATAGCCAGGGAAATGACTGAAACCTGGGAAACGGGGCTGATTCGCCACCAGCTTATCAAATACTCAGAAGCCAAAGACTTGGCAGCCAACAACTTAATAGCCATCAACACCCAAATCAGCAACTAAAAAGCCACACCCAATCAGACACCACATAAATATGATGCATAGAATAGCCCAAAGCATACATTCTGGTGAGAGAAGTTCCCTGAAGATGGGCTCCAGCATGAGTCCGAAAGCTCAGAAGACTAAATCTCTAGTCCCAATGACCGACCCAGATTGGATCGGGCATTATCATATACTGTATTTTTCAGACTATAAGAAGCTCCGGACTATAAGACGCACCTAGCTGTTGGGGAGGAAAACAAGAAAAAAAAATCTGCCTCTGCCTCCCAGCATCCATCATTCATCTGGCCTGTTCACCGCAGCCCAGTGGTGAAATCCAAATTTTTTTACTATTGGTTCTTGGTGGCTTGGTGGGAGTGGTGTGGCTTGGTGGGTGTGGCAGGGGAAGGATACTGCAAAATCTCCATTCCCAGCCTACTCTGGGGCCAGCCAGAGGTGGTATTTGCCGGTTCTCCGAACTACTCCAAATTTCCATTACCAGCGCTCCAGAACATGTCAGAACCTGCTGGATTTCACCCCTGCCGCAGCCTGTTCACCACCATGGCCCGTTCACCGCTGCTGCGGCCCGTTCACCACGGCCCATTCAGCATGGCCCATTTAGCACCGCACATTCGGCACCAACCGTTTGCTGCTGCAACCCATTTGCCACCGCTGGTGTGGCCCGTTCTAGAACAGCTGATCAGTGCCACACCAACCCCCCTCTTCCCCCCGCTGCAATATTCGCTGTATAAAACACATTGACATTTCCATCCATTGGGGGGGGGGGGGAGTGCGTCTTATACTCCGAAAAATATGGTATATTATCATCTCTCAAGGATCATTCCCGCTAGGAAGAGTAAGGTTAATTCATTTTCCAAAAGAGAAAACAATTTCTTCTCCATGCTCTTTGGAGTCCCAGAGCTTCCTGAGGTCGTCCCAAAAATAGTTTTGAAGGATGCTTACCCGTTTCATCATCTGCCACAGCGAGAGAGAACGTATCTGCATGGCTGTTGGTCAAAGAAGCTGTGACCACAGTCCCGGACATGTGGATGAACGAAGGTTGGAAATCTAAACAGGGAAATCGGTATCATTTTTTGAGACATATTGGTATCACTCATTAAATCTTGGCAAAACCTTTTCTCCCTAAAGTGTCAATTTCTTCATCATTTCATTTCACCATCAGTAAACGTTAAGGAAATCTAGGGCGCCATAAATTGAGATTTTGAGACTGTGTTTTTGTGTCATCATTCAGAGTTACAAAAATGAAGTTAAAAGAGGTGAGTTGCTAACACCAATGTTTTTGAGCACACCGAACTGGTTGCAATTTACTGAAGGCTTTGGATGTTGTTAATGCAGGACAGCCTGAACAAAATCCAATTAAGGGACATTAAAAAATAAAGCACTATTTTACAAACTCTCTTAGCTATGTTCCCTAAGAGACTTAGCCACGATGACACAAGCTAAACTTTGTCACTGTGTGTATGGAGGGGATTTCCACCTTTCAGCATGTTTATTATACCAACTCAGCCCGCAGCTCAGAAAATTGCGTATTGTACATATCCTGAGCATGGGTTCATTCGGATCATGTGAACGTGACTATGAAGGGATGGAGGGAAGGAAGGGAGATAGGTTGGAAAAAAAGAAGGAAGGGAAATGAGAGGGCAGAAAGGAAGGAAAGGAGATGGATAGAGGGAGGGAGGGATGGAGGAAGGAAGGAAGGAAGGAAGAATAATGATAGGTTGGAAGAAAGACGGAAGGAGGAAGGAAGGAAGAAGATGAGGAAGGGAGGAAAAGAAGATGAGAAAGGAAGGAAAAAGATAGGTTGGAAGAAAGGAAGGAAAGAGGTTAGAAGTAGGAAGAATGAAGGAAGATGAGGGAGGAGGGAGGAAGAGAAGATGAAAGGAAGGAAGGGAAAGAAGATGAGGAGGGAGGAAGAAAAGAAGATGAGGAAGGAAGGAAAAAGATAGGTTGGAAGAAAGGAAGGAAGGAAAGAGGTTAGAAGTAGGAAGGAAGGAAGATGAGTGAGGAAGGAAGGAAGAGAAGATGAGGAAGGAAAAAGATAGGTTGGAAGAAAGAAGGAAGGAAAGAGGTTAGAAGAAGGAAGGAAGGAAGATGAGGAAGGAAGAAAAAGATTGGAAGAAAGGAAAAAGAGGTTAGAAGAAGGAAGGAAGGAAGATGAGAAGGGAAGGAAGAGAAGATGAGGAAGGAAGGAAAAAGATTGGAAGAAAGGAAGGAAAGAGGTTAGAAAGAAGGAAGGAAGATGAGGAAGGAAAGAGAAGATGAGGAAGGAAGGAAAAAGATTGAAAGAAAGGAAGGAAAGAGGTTAGAAGAAGGAAGGAAGATGGGGAGAGGGAGGATGGAAAGAAGATGGAAGGGGAGGAAGAAAGAAGGGAGGAGGAGGAAAGAAAATGAATGGGAAAGAGGAAAGCAAAGGCGGGAGGAAGATATTTCATGGCTGCGAGGCAAGCAGAACTAAACCACAAAGACATGAAACTGGCATAAAGCGGCACCTGTTGGATTTCTGCCTGCTCGTCGCTGATCAAGCCCACCTCACCCCCCCCCCCACCCCCTTTGAGCCTTCCCCTCACCCACCCTGGGCCCAGGCCCGAAACAGCCACAGCAGCCCCCAAAGGATCCCCCGGAGGCTCATGGCGAGGCTAAGACGGGCCACTCGGGGCCTCAGGATCGCCTCTCGCCTCAGCCGCCGCCATCTTGCCCGCCGCCTTCCTCGGTTGCTATGGAGACGGCCGTGAGGAACCAGGACGTCTCTGAGTGAGCGCCAAAAGGGGTTAAAAAAAAAAAGACTGAAATCTCCCGTTGCGTTGCGAGTGGAAGCTAAGGAAAGAGGGAAAAAATGCGCGTCTGTGGTAAAAGTGGTAGAAAACAACACAAAAGAGGCCCTTTCTTCTTACTGTCCTCCCCCCACTGTGGGAATGGTATGTTCCTCACTCGGGTTGCCCTACAACCCCCATCGTTCCTTTCGCAGACGCTCCCGCCTAGAAACGGCCGATTTTCGCCCCTGAGAATTCTGGGAGTTGAAGTCCACATGGCTTCCAGGAGCCAAGGTGGAGTAACCCTGCTTCAGATAGACAGGATGACAGTTCCCATCAGCCACAGCAGTGAAAATTGATTTTTTTTAAACTCCAACTCACCATCTATATTTCCTCCTTTCCCAGTCGCTCTTGCTGCTTAAAAATGAATCCACCCTCTTCATTTTTTGTGTAAAGGACGTTGATAATACTAAAAAAACACGTCCCCAAAATCATTTAAAACTTATTTTATTCATTTATTTCAATTCATGCCTATCTCAGTGTATAAGTGGTGAAAAGCCATTGAAACATTAAAAAAAAAAAAAAATAGCAATAACAGCCCCCAAATAGCAGCTGAGCAAACAGATTTGCTCATAAGTAACTCCCAGGAGGTAACATAAAATGCAAAATAAGGATAGAATAATTTACATTTCTCTAGGAGATACGCATTCAGTTCTGGATTTCTGATCGCATCATTGAAATTGCTGTGTCTACTGTCACAGGCCAAAGCACAGCTGGAATGCCTTGCAAACCTTTATTTATTTGTGTTGGTCTAAATCTCCGCGTAACCATGGAATAAAATCACAGCCGAATACAGAAACTCATCCCTGGCATAGCCAATTCAAGACAATAGAGAGAAAATACTTTCTGTGCCGTGATAGTAATAATGGTGCTAAAAACAATTCATGTACAGCACAGCTGCAGGTATAACTGAATACTTGGGATGCAAAAATCAACGAAGAAGAAAAAAAAAACCTGAACAGTTTGTCACCAAAATGGAAGACCAGGCTGAAAAAATAAGATTGGCAAACTGAGATCAGATGCAAGTAAGCTGGAACAGATGAAAGGAAGAAAAAAAATGGAAGAACCAAAAGATTAAAGAAGACCTCATTAAAAAAAAATAACACTTTAAAACAAGGAAGTGCCAAAAATAATAAATGCAACCAATAACAGCTAAAGCTAAGAAAATTAGCAGATGCGAAGCTCAAATTGCAAATTTTGAGCAGAATGGCCAGTGCTAAACACACTCGGGGTGTTAGGTAAACAAGATGAAAATAAAAAATGGACATCTTTGGAGCTTTGTTGTAAAAAAAATTAAGGGTCACTAGTCTGAGGCCCTTAGTCAATGTTTAGCTGATGCCCAGCGTGTGGGAATTAATCCATCCGCCTTCAAGCGATAAACCAGGATATCCTTTTTCCCTGGGTGCCTGATTGAAAGCAAGCTCTTTTGCCATCTGCCAGTAGATCACTCCTTCAAGCCCAGACACTTCAAAAGAGAAGCATCTACCATATTTTCTACCCCGTTTCAAGATTTTTAGCACCTTTGTACGGCTGTTGGTGACTCAATTAACACTGAGCAAACATGGCCATTGGCGGCGATCCCAAAATCTCTTTGATGTTTTTATATAAGAATGATTCTTTCTACTCGCTTTGCCTTGCAGATTTCTTGATGGCCCCTCAGCAAGTGAAGAATAGGATTATCAAAGAACAGAAGGAGTTAGCCACGGTAAGGCGACCCATTTTCACTGCCGGGGAATTTTCACCAAACGTCGGGAGTTTTAAAGATTCAGCCTGCCACTTAAATGTGAAATATCAACTTTATTATGTCTTTATTCTATTTGTAGACCAGAGGTCAGCTTCAAGAGCTTGAATAATACATATTTTATCCTCCCAGCCGTGCTAGGCTTGGGATGAGAAAAAGTAAGTCAAGGCAATGGTGAAATGGAGACATAAATTTGGGTCTGGCCATTTGTAGTCCTCTGCTCGAACCTGTGTGCCACACACCGGCTAGCTGGTGGGAACAGATTTGAGGCTGGCAAAATTTAATAGTTTTCAACAACCAGAGATATACCAGCAACAGCGGACAAAACATGGTGACTCCGAAATTGGTGGTTGTCTATTTACGCCATGTTAAATGTCCCGTTTTTTCTTTACAGCCATGTTTCTCAATCTTGGGGACTTTAAGAAGTGTGGACTTCAGCTCCCAGAATTCTTCAACCAGCCCTGGCTGGAGAATTCTGGGAGCTGAAGTCCACACTTCTTAAAAGTTTCCAAGGTTGAGAAACACTGATCTACAGGATCTGCCACCTCTTTGATTCTTGATGTCTAGACCATGACAGTCAACATTTCCTTTTACCTGAAGCAGGAAGCATCTCCTGGTTTGATGGTGCTCCCTCTTGCAATTCTCCCTCTTCTTTCCTTCTTCCACAGATGCTAAAGAAGCTGGAACAGCAGAAACGTAGCCGCCTGCGAGAACTCGAGGAGGAGAAAAGACAGTTTTGCTTGCTTATGGTCAAGAAATTAGCACCCAGGGCCAAGAGAGGATCGTCCATGGTCACAGAAAGAGATTCCAGAAGATTGCCGTCTAGCGTTCCGCCTTCTCCTCTGCGATCGAGTGAAAGCAGCTGGAGGAATCTAGATCCCGGGATGCGTGCGAGATCGGACACGGCCTTCTTCACCACGGCTGGCCGAAGGCTCCCCACATCCAGTTCTCCAAAATTAGCTCAAGTAAGTTTTAACTTTGGAAATCGCAGGAGTTTTAAAAGGTTACTGTTTTTTAAAAAGTAAGGCTCAGTTCATCCGTTGCACTCAATCATGACTTTGCTTGTTGGTTTGGCATTGGTGTTTGTGACACCACCAATTGTGGTGTATAAATCCTGCTTTACAATTCAGTGTGCTACGTAGTTTATTCAGTAGGCCATCTAGTATTGACAGAAACCGTGGAACAATAAGAGATGTTGGGTTCATATAACACATGAAGATCAAACTCAACCAGCTATACAGCTACCAGTAGCTACAATATTTGTTTAGCGACAAGAAGTTACAAGGAGACTGAAAAAAATGATTTACAATCTGTCCTTCCACTTACAGCCATTGGAGCATCCCCATGATTAAAATTCAGGCACTTAGCAACTGGTCCTTAAGACAGTTGCAGTGTCCTGGGGGTCGCGTGATTGCAAATGTGGTTTATTTTTTTAAGTTTTGGAGTAGGGAAATAATGTAGCACATTTGAGCACAGCCCATTCAACCTAATGTGCAATTTAGAAAACAGCAAACTCAAGAAATCAGATTGGATAATATTGTGTGAATTGTGGTCTTCTTAACCAACAGACCCCCAGATGTTCTTGGCCAGATGTTCTACCAACCCACGGATACAAATCTCCGCAAAGCAAGAATTTGCAGTCAAGAACCAAGAAGCTGCCCGCCTCTCCTGGGCCACACAAGATTGCAGAAAGGAATTAACATTTGAAATTGAAAAATAATGAATTAACTACTTACAAAACCAATTTGAGCGACTCAAACTCTTTTTTTGTGGCGTTTATGAATACTACGAACTTAACATAGAATCAATGGTCAAGGTATATTTCATAAAGAATAGTGTACCGAAAGTATTCCTTTCTTCTTAGGTACTTTTATTGAGGAGCAGTGAAAAAAAGACTGTTAAAACAAAAATAACATCCAACGAGTCAACAGTAAGAAGGAAGAGGCATCTCAATCAATTAAACAAATTCAATTGATTCTAAGAAATAAGGAATGCCCGCTTAAATAAGAGAGCAAATCTTTCATTTGCATTCATAAAAAAAGGAGTCACAATATTTAAAGGATGGCATGAACAGGTGCTTTGGCTGTGTTGGACATTAATGCTAACTGGAGACAGAGGGAAACACATGCTAAATTACTTGTGCATAACTCAAGATGAAATATTAATTTTTGCCTCTTCTCAAAATCAACCAACCTGCCTTGAGCAAATTTGTCTAGACAGAAAGTGCGAGATCTTCGTTGTCCGTAAAAGAGAAACCTGCAGGCAATTTTTACAACCAAAATTATGAAGGAATATTGAGAATTCCATTGGAATAAGCTTCGTGGGTTTGGGTTAACATAAATCCAGCCAAAACAAAACAAAATTCTGAGATATGCTCAGATGCAGATACTGCTATCAAAAGTGGGAATCAAGAAATTGTTTAGGCCTGCTATTAACCTTAATGAAAAATGTAGCTTACAATAGCTGTGATCTGAATTTAAAAAAAAAATAATAATCAAAAAGTTTCCCTTCCCCAAGACGGCTTCTGCAGGGACCAGCCCAGGAGCACTGAAATGTCAATCCATCACAATTTTAACTTAAATAAAAGGGGTTTTGTCTGGAATTAAGGTGTCAAGACTGAAACCAGCTTGATTTCTCTACCTATAATACATGAAATGAGTTTTACATACCAACTTTTGATAATTTTCTTCTTCTCCGATTTCAGGTGTTGGTTTAAACCAGTGGCAGAAATCTGATTTTGTAAACATTTTAATATAGAGTTCTGGACAAGGTATGCACTGGCTGGAAAAGTTTAGCCCTTTGCTGATCATTTCAAAAACACATTTTGATTCTTCTGGCGCTCCACTTTTGTAGCTTTATAGTTACAATCTGGGAGACAGGATTCCACGCAGAGGGCAAGAGAAATCGATAACGCAGCTACATCATGACTTTCAGTTTCTTTTTCTTTGACTTCATGACAGCTGGGAGCGAAATCTTGAAAGCGGTTCTGGAATAGAAGTAAACAGTCAGGAAAAAAAAGTGACTCACCGCAAGTGCTTGATGCATTGTGTCCGCCTCAACAAGCAATAAAAATTCAGCATTTGGGAATTGCTAGGGTTACACTATAACAATTGAACCAACTTGCACGTATTTGTATATTTCTACAATAAAACCACTTCCAGACAGGCATAGCGAGTTTCAAAGCTGCAAAGAAATTTGAAGTAACGATTTGGCAGGGGGTAGGGCCAGACTAGGGGGGGGGCAGGAAAAAGGAAGGGGAAGGAATTTCTATGAGAGGAGGAAAGGAAAGGGAAGGAGAAGGGAGGGGAGGGGAGGAAGAGGAAAGGAGAGGAGAGGAGAGGAAAGGGAAAGGGAAGGGAAAAGGAAAGGGAAAGGAAGGGAAGGGAAGGGGAAAAGGAAAGGAAACGAAGGGGAAAGGGAAGGAAAGGAAAAGAAAGGAAAGGGAAAGGAAAAAAGGAAAGGAAGGGAAAGGGAAAAGGAAAGGAAGGGAAAGGGAAAAGGAAAGGAAGGGAAAGGGAAAGAGTAGAAAGAAAGAGAGAGAGAGAGAGAAAGAAAGGGAAGAAAGAAAGATCTAGACAAGAGTTGGTAAAATCAAGAGACAAAAAGCAACAGGAAAAACAGCAAATTGGGACAAAGATTTCAGTGTTTCTGGAAACAGAGTTTATATAATTTTGTATCTGTTCAGGAGAAGTTTGCTTTCATTTTGAAATATTGATTTCAGAACTGGCAGTGTTTAGTCACTTACAAAAGGATTTCTCAAGGATACTTACTCACAAGTGGTGCAAATTGGACTGAAGCTGCAAAATACTGTAAAAAACCAAAACAGAAATAAACATAACACTTTCAGAACCAACTGTTTTTAAGATCACACAAATCAATTCAAAAACCCAGGAAAGCCTTAATCCTTACTTGACAAACACACTGAACAGACGTAGCCAATTTCAATAAGATTCCTGTGGCAGAAGCAGGCAGCACGGTAATCCACGTGAACGGGCGGAGGGAGGATCAGCTGGGATCTCTGATCTTGATCAGGCAGATAAACCCACTGTAATTTTTAAAAGGGGTGCGATGAAGACAAAATTGTGTAGGAGAAGAGTTATAGTCTATATGTTAAGTCAAAAATCCAGAGCGATGGCCCCTTTTCTGACTGACAAATTTTATTAAAAGCTGTCAACTTAAATCTGACGTTAAAGGTTCGGTAGAATTTACCCGGACTTCTACACTAAAGCGAAGTGGCTAGAAAAACAGAACTCACCAGCAAATACTGAAGAAGCGAGGGCTTGTATGGAATTTTCAAGTAGATTCCGCCAGTTATATCACATGCCTAGAAAGTAGGATATTATCCTTTATAAGCAGCAAACACCCCCTTCCAACCATCTATGGAGCTTCTCAGTCACCCAGATCATGGTTCTCCCAAAGGAGCGTATGGGTTTTTAATGTTCTTTTAAAAATGTTTTGCGGGATATTGTTCACATTGTTTTTTTGCTGTAAGCCGCCCAGAGTCCCTAGGGAGTTGGGCGGCATAGAAATGCGACAAATAAATAATAAACAAATAAAGGTGCTTTTTTTCAAGAGGCACCTGGACTTTCTGTTTTTTTTCTTTGAAGATGTTTCGCTTAACAGAACTGAAGAAGCTTCTTGGATGAGAAGCAAAATGTTTTCAAAGAGGGACTCAAACTATTCTCCAAAGCACCTGAAGGTAGGAGAAGAAGCAACGGGTGGAAACTAATCAAGGAGAGAAGCAACCTAGAACTGAGGAGAAATTTCCTGACAGTGAGAACACTGATGGTGGCCCTTTAGTTCATTGTTGAGTGCAATTATAGCTCTGGGATAAAAACTATTCAGAAAATGTGTGGGTCTTTGGGACAATCCTTCCAACCAAAGATCAAAACTGTATCTGGGGCTCAGTGGTGGAGCTTCTGCTTAGCTTGCAGTATTCCAGGGTGAAGGAATAAACTCCGGAAACACTTAGGTGGAAGTAAAACTCTTATAGGAAGGACCATAAAAACTTCTGTTCGTCCACAAGAACTAATAGATGAGGAAGAATAAAAATGAACATTGTACCTGCTGCAAAAGTCCCGAATCGGAGTCCAATACGCAGGCATCGATTAAAATACTCTTGAGGAAAAAAGTAGAGAGAATTAGGATTCTCCAAAGCAATACAGTATTAATGCAAGTCAGGTGCTTATGGAGTTACAGATCTTGTAATGTAAATTCTGGTCGTTACCCGTTTCTGGGCTGCAAAGATCACGTTCATGAAATTCATATATTGTAATGCGCTATCTTCAGCTGCTTTTATGACCTGGAAAAAGAAAAATGGGAATTTCTTGATTTAGATCTCATACTTAGCAGGAGCTATTTGGCTTCAAGATATGGAAGGGAATTTGCAAAACTCTTACCAAAATCCTGGATTTTATTTCCTGGCTGACTACATGTTGAAGAAGAGGTGGAAAAAGCAGAGAAGAAATGATTAGCGGAGCTTGGGTCAATGTTTTACAATAATTGGACCGATAGATAATATCAGACTACGTACTTTTACTTTCTTTTGTTACCCTGTGAATATCTGAAGCACAGGACATTCAGGAATCATTGGAATTGTATTTTGGAACAGAAAAAATATAGTTATAACAGGATGATTTGAACAGATATACTTCATTAACCGACTGCTTGCCCTCATACAGGAACTAAGAGCAATGTGAAAAAGAATAAATCTGTCCTGGAATAAAATGGCAGGAATAAAATCAGCAGTTCTTCAAAGTCAATACAATTTAAAAGGAGGTTGAAAAAGAAGATGGACTCAGCCAGATGGTACTTAATGTCCTGAGGCTCAACATGGGTATATATAGAATGCAAAGTCGTTTTTGAGATATGTTGACTTTTAAAAAAAAAAAAAAGGATACAGCAAAGTGCTTTAGCAAGAGATCCAGCCAGCAAAGTTTCCGTCTGCTGCCCCTTTACTTCAGCTACGATCACAAAGGAATAAAAAAAAATTTAAGTAGCATATTCTTCACTCATTCCAACTTGCACAGATCATTGTCAATACCACTGTTTTTCAATCTTAGCAAAATATAGATATAGGCAGGCTAGCAGGCAGACAAATCCCTATTGAAGGAGGTTTTGAAAAATCCCGTTATGCTAAACATTTTCAAACCAAGACTTAAGGGGTCCACAATTTCATATCAGGACGCAAGTCAAACCAACTATGATTTAATAATACAATATTACATTTTGGGAACTCAGACCCCTAAAATTTTTGGTGGAAAAAAACCAGAAATAAGAAACACCAAAGCTGTGCAACAAATCGGTTGGCTTCTCTTACTATTGGTCAACAGGTCCTTTATCTCCTCTGCAATGGTTTCATTTATGGTGGTTAATACTTCGTATTTTCCATCTTTGCTACCAGCAATATTTGCTTCCCCGGATTCTCCGAAGAGATCGAGGGCTGCCCAGTGTTTTCCAGGATACAGGAAACGGCTGAGAGGAGAGAAAGTTAAAATTATGTTAACCGTTTAGCAATTCAATCACTCAAAACCACCACCAAATACACATCACTTTCTATTTCCTGAAGGAAAATATAATAAAATATCCTTTAGTTTGTTCCTGTTTAGTTTTACACTACATTTCAGGTTTTTTTTAAATCTCTTGTACAATTCTTAACTAGGCATCAGGAGCTTGTCTTTCAATCAAAACACAATACCTTTCTTGTATATGACTGGCTATCACAGCAAGTTTGTTGTTGCGATTCATAAATAAGTGTGAGTTTCCCAGCACCATGGCTGCATCGAGGCATTTTGATAAGGTAAGCTGCAGGAAGGAGAAGTATTATTTAAAATCCCAAAAAAACTTCCAAATCAGAACCAAACATCCATACAATTTCAAGCCATATTTGTCAAAAAGAAAAACATTAGAAACGATTTATTTTTTTAAACAAAGGAAACCTATAAGGAGTTGGATAATTTATCCCAGAGATGTCTTACCTCTGAGCCCAACAATGCCTGCTTGCCCCACCAGATAGGGTTAGCATCAATGACAATGACTAGGAGATTCACCTCATCGTCTAGAAAAGAAGATAAAGCACAGAATTCAGAAGGTGAGACTGTATCTGCCATCCATTCCTTCATTTTATAGAGAGTCGGACGTCTCAAGCAGCTGAGACAGATGTTAAAAGCCACTATTCCCAACCCTGCTGAATACTGGTTGTTGTCCCTCATCAAACAGTCTTGAGCAGCATACAGTAGTGGCCTGTTGGAGAAGGGCGGTTTACAAATTAAAACAAATAAATAAAAACAAATAAAATTGTGGAAACCTTTTGGGAAAAGTGTATTTTTGAGGTTTGATGGGTAATAACACCACTTTTTTTTTGGAGTTTCAAGATAATCCTATTCCACTGCTGGAATGGTTTGGGAATAGCCCAGACCTTCACCCAATTGGAAAATCTATGGAACTTCCTAAAGAAACTTATTAGTCAGAAGCGACTCAGCAATAAAACCAAGTTAATAGAAGCCATCATTCAATCTTGGTTTCACATTAGAACAGCTGCAGAACTAAAAAACTTCGTTCACTCCATCGGAAGACGTTGTAAGGCCGTAGGAGGAAGATTCATACAGGAGTGGCCAAAATTGTGGAAACCTTTTGGGGAAAAGTTGTATTTTCTAAAACTAGCTAATAACACCACTTTTTTTTGGGAGTAGTACCATAAAATTATATATCCATGGAAAGGTAATTTCATCAAGAATGTAATGCAACCACTTTTATGAAGGATTTGCTATTAGAATAGCAGTTACAGTCTAAAGAAGAAAAGTGAAACACATAGGAAAAAACGAGATGTACAAAAATGATCACCCTAGAAAAAACGAGATATACAAAAATGATCACCATAAAAAAGTGAGATATACAAAAATCACCATAGAAAAAACGAGATATACAAAAATGATCACCACGTCAGTTAATCCTTAGTTGGGTCACCTTTAGCATGAATGACGGCCTTACAACGTCTTCCCATGGAGTGAACCAAGTCTTTGACTTTTGCAGCTGTTCTAATGGGAAACCAAGATGGAAGGACGGCTTCTATGAACTGGGTTTAATAGAATGAGCACCTTTGAGATCTCCTCTTTCCCAACAACAACCCTGTGAGGTAGGCTGGACTGAGAGAGGTAGGGGGGGAATCTGGCCCAAAGTCACCCACCTGCCTGTCATCATGGCTAAAACATGAAAGCCCATTGATTGCCATCTTGTGGCAGGGAGTTCCACCAGCCACGTGGGAATGAAATTCCTTTACTCCTTTATTCCCTAAATCACATTTGCATTGAAAGGAGACCTGAGGTTGGTGATTGGGGAGGGGGGGGTTATGAATGGGGAAGGGTGTGTGAAACCACTCTGCACATGCTCAGAGGCAGCCACGCTTCAGAATAAAACCCAGTCTCCCCCCCCCAACCAAGGAACTGAGGGGGCCTGGAGTAGGGAAAGACGGAAGGAGGAAACCCCGAATTTAAAAAAAACCCAGAATTCGAACCCCAAACTCACCCCCGCTCATAGCGGCGCAGCGGGACGGCTACGGTCGCCTGAAAGTGACGTCACGAGCACTCTGGTGCTCTCTTTTGACGTCCCCCCACCCCACCCCCCGCGCGTGTTGTTCTTGCTTCGGGCGGCGAGTGCAACCGGGAAAGGCTTCCGGCGAGGTCGCGCGGGCGCTGCGCCGAAAGTTCCGGGGAGGCGTCGGAATCGCCCGAAGTGTTTTTTTCCCTTTTTTTCCACCATGAACGAAGCGGGGGAGCAGAGGGGGGGGAGGGGGGGCCAAGCGGGGAGCCCCGAAACAGGCATTATTTTGAAGTTTGGTTTCGAATGGGATGATTTTATTTTATTTTTTTTAGCCTGCCTGGCCCTGGGGGAGACGGGAGCCAAGGGAAAGGGCAGGATTTGCAGAGGGAAAAGAGAAACCGCAGCTGGAAGTTAAACAGGTCGAGCCTCGACAGGTGGAGATGTCAGGTTTCCTGCCCTGTGTGAGGCCTCTGCTAGACTGGCGGACGTTGTGGGAAGAGTTTCCTTTGGGATCAGAAACCTCCCGCCGCCACGTTTCTTCAGCATTGCAAAATGCATGTCTGACTCCCCTATCTATCTATCCATCCATCCATCCCTCTATCTATATCTATCTATCTATCTATCTATCTATCTATCTATCTATCTATCTATCTATCTATCTATCTATCTATCTATCTATCTATCCCTCTATCTATTTATCTATCTATCTATCTATCTATCTATCTATCTATCTATCTATCTATCCATCCCTCTATCTTTCTATCTATCTATCCATCCATCCAACCATCTATGATCTATCCATCTATTTATCCATTCATCCATCTACCTATCTATCCATCTATCTTCCGTCCATCTATCTGTCCGTCCATCCACCTCATCCATCCATCCATTTCATCTATCCATCCATCCACCCACCCACCCACCTATATCTGTCTGTCTGTCTGTCTGTCTGTCTACTTATCTATCCATCTATTTATCCATTCATCCATCTACCTATCTATCCATCTATCTTCTGTCCATCATTTATCTGTCCATCCATCCATCCATCCATCCACTTCATCTATCCATCCATCCACCTCTTCTATCCACTCACCCACCCACCCATCCATCCATCCACCTCATCTATCCATCCATCCATCCATCCACCCATATCTATCCGTCTATCTATCTACCTATCTATCCATCTATTTATCCATTCATCTATCTATCTATCTATCTATCTATCTATCTATCTATCTATCTATCTTCCGTCCATCATCTGTCTGTCCGTCCATCCGCCCATCCACCCACCTCATCTATCCATCCATCTACCTCATCTATCCATCCATCCACCTCATCTATCCACCCACCCATCTATCTGTCTGTCTGTCTGTTTATCCTATCTATCTATAAAAACTTTACTTTTCTGAAAGTGGTCCAAACATTATAGCCTATGAAGCAAGTGAGTGAAAGGGCGTGGAATAAATGCAAAATATTCTAATTCTAAGAGTCTCCCAACCGCAAAATATTTCAATCTATAAAATGCGAAAGAAGCATTTTCGTAAGCTTCTGGAGTTCTAATTAATTTAGTCTGTTCCACCTCTGCAGAGCTAGTCGATGCCTTTAACACCCAGATGAGGCAGGATCCAGATGTTGCCTCTGCGGTGGCTGCCATCCGGGTCTTACTGGAATTCCTGAAGAGGGACAAAGGTACGTAACGTCTTGGCTTTGCATGGAATGAGTGTCTGGAAGAAAGATATAAAATCACAGGCTGGTGGAATTATGCTTAGATTCTATTTAGAAATCCCAGAGTGATTTGCAGCAGAGCAGCCTGTTATGTTGACAATAACTAGTCATAATTAATATAAAATAAGTCGCATTGTAAGATACGCATCTTGGTATCTCGGTTCCCTAGTTGGATTTGTGTTAAATGCTTTGGCTCTTGTCTTAAGCCTTTCTGAACTGTAAAATAAGTATGAAATATTCTTTGTAAAGCTCTGTTGTTCCTTTCTGGGGTCAAAATAGCTGATCTGGAAATTAATACATGAATCAACAGGCAGTGAGTGTGTGTTCCCCTCGAGTTAACTTTTATCCTATGGCTTCCCAGCTTCAGTTTTTAGTCTATATTCCCAAGATGAAGTCTGTAAAATCTTGAGTATAGAATAAAAACTTCTTTATTCACAGCAGCTTTTTTAACCTTTTTATTCCCACAGGCGAGACCATCCAAGGACTGAGAGCCAATCTAAAACAGGCTATAGAAACACTCTCTCGTGTCGACTCCTCCGTGGCCATTTCTTCTGGGGGAGAGCTGTTCTTAAGATTCATCAGTCTCACATCTTTGGAAAACCCGGTGAGTTTCCCCTCAGTTCTTTCATGTAAATATTTGCCACCCGGCCTCCGAATTTTTTAACATTAAAAAGTGCTGAATTTAGCTGTAATGTGATTTTGATAAAATATATTTGTCCTGAATAATTGAAACAGTTCAAAATGTCAGGGATCGATCTTGGCAAATACGATTTCTGTAATTGAGTTGTCAAAGTCTGGAATGCCCTACCTGATTCAGTTGTCTCAGCTACAAATGTTCAGAATTTCAGTCACAAATTGACTTCCGTGGACCTTACTTCATACTTAAGTGGTCAGTAGAGGGGGCATGCATTAGTGCACTAACGTGCCTATTGTCTCTGTCGTATTGTTATTCTCTTATTCTCGTTCTCGTTTTTGTTTGACAAATTCCAATAAAAATAAATATATTAAATATTGAAGGACTTCTTGTACCGAAAGCTTTTATTTTTACGTATTACAATGCAGAGTAAGTTTCCATGCATTTGAGATGAGGGGTAAGAGTTATGTGAACCCATACATTCACTCATCTGGGTAAAGATGCTAATTGTGCTACCCAAGGCATATTTTGACTCGCTTCTTCAGTCTTCTGTATCATCTTTCAATCTCGCTTCTTTCCGTTTTTTCCCCCTCAGGACTATTCCAAATGCAAAGAAATCATGATTGAAAGAGGAGAGGTTTTTCTTCAGCGAATTTCTCTTTCGAGGAAGAAAATCGCCAAACTTTGTCACAACTTTGTGAAAGATGGCGGCGTGAGTAAGACCGTTACATTTAGTATTTTTTTTCCTTGCTGTTTTTTTTCCCCCCGTCCTGTTCTTCAATAATATAACACGGAAGGTTATCTTGGATCACCTAATTTTATTTTTTTATCTGTCATGTTACTTGTTTACCAAAATCGTGATGGGATTATTTTTTTGAAGGAGGCTATAAAAATAGTCTGGAATAAATAAATACCTCTTATTTAGCAAGCCGGTGCTGTGGGATGTAATATTTTAATTATTTTCCTATATTTCTCCCACTTAATTCATTGAATGAGAAGAGAAGCTCTTCCTGTTCCTTGCCCCCAACAGAAAGGGGCTGGAGATTGATAACATAAGCTACAAACTTATGCAGAAGAAACAATGGCTACCAACCTGCCTTCCATTGAGGGCCTGTATACTGCACGAGTCAAAAAGAGGGCTGTGAAAATATCTACAGACCCCTCGCATCCTGGACATAAACTGTTTCAACTCCTACCCTCAAAACGACGCTATAGAGCACTGCACACCAGAACAACTAGACACAAGGACAGTTTTTTCCTGAACGCCATCACTCTGCTAAACAAATAATTCCCTCAACACTATCAAACTAGTTACTAAGACTGTATTACTATTCTTCTTCTCTTCCTTACTAATATCTACCTCCTCCCACTTATTACTATAACCATGTTGCTTGTATCTTTCAATTATATTGTTTTTATTTGTTTCCTGGTACGATTTGATAGCTTATTAGTAACCTTGACTCTCACTAAGTGTATCTTTTTATTCTTGATAAATCTATTTTATTCTCCTTATGTACACTGAGAGCATACACACCAAAGACAAATTCCTTGTGTGTCCAATCACACTTGGCCAATAAAGAATTCTATTCTATTCTATTCTATTCTATTCTATTCTATTCTATTCTATTCTATTCTATTCTATTCTATTCTTCCTCCTTTCTTCTTTCTCTTCTTCTCTCCTCTCCTCTCCTCTCCTCTCCTCTCCTCTGCTCTTCTCTCCTCTCCTAATTCTATTCTAAAAATAAAATTTGGGTTGTCTTTCCAGAAAATATTGACTCATGCTTACTCAAAAGTGGTGCTTCGAGTGTTAGAAGAAGCTGCACAGGCCAAGAAACGTTTTAGCGTCTACGTCACGGAATCGCAGCCAGATCGAGCAGGGCAAGTAAAAAATATTTGCCCCTTCTTTCTCTCGGTGAGGTTGTCTGAAGGGGCTTGTTTTGAATTTGAAATCCCTAGCCTGTGATTTTTGAAGAGTCTCCCAGGTCGGGGGCTTTCCTTTTGTGAAAAAGAATAAAAAGGTGTTTTAAAAATAGGAGTAACAAAAGGACTTCCCATTTAAAATTTGTGTTAATAAAATTCGTTTAATAAAAAGTAACTTATAGGATCAAGGTTCCATTTTTTTTATTCGTTTTAATATGCGTGTCCTAACATTAACACAGGCAGAAGATGGCAGAAGCACTCAAGAATCTCGGAATTCCTGTCACCATAATTCTAGATGCTGCAGTGGGTAAGTCTGATGGTTTTTTTTTTTTTTAATTTGATTTATGTGCCGCCCTTCTCTGGAGACTCAGGGCGGCTTACAATGCGCTAAGCAATAGCCTTCATCCTTTTGTATATTTATACAAAGTCAGCTTATTGCCCCCACAAACTGGGTCCTCATTTCACCTACCTTTGAAAGGATGGAAGGCTGAGTCAACCTTGAGCCTGATGAGATTCGAACTTACAGTAATTGCAGACAGCTGAATGTTAATAACAGGCTATATTAGTCTGCTGCGCCACCAGGCTCTTACCAGGGTTTATATTGGCAAAGCGCTTTTGAAATGAGAAATTTCCCGGAGCAACATGAGATAAAAGCCATTTGGGTGAATACTGTTTGGAGAGTTTAAACGTAAGAGCAACGTAGCTTATTCACGGGAAAAGTGACCTGGCTCACACATGTTGTGGTCCGTCGGCGGCCAGCAGAGCTGACAGCAGAATCGGACAGTGAGGGGTTGGGGAGGAAGATGAGCCAGTCCTGGGGGCTGGGGAAAGCTCGGACGAGGGCCTCCGGCTCCCAGTAATTTACCTCCTTGCAGCAAGAAAAAACAGCCCATTTCAGCTTCAGCACAGCCTAATTAGCACAAGCAGCTGATTGTCGGTTGGATCGGCTTCCCGACCCTCAGCTGTTTCAGGCTGCAGGGATTGCCATTGCCAATTGTTGCGCTGCCTCCGCTGCTTGTTGCAAGGAGGTAAATTGCTGGCTGACTTCTTGTGCTAATCAAGCTGAACGAATGAAAGTAGTTTGCTGCAACGAGGCAAATTGCTGGGAGGCAGAGGCATGACAATCGTGTCTGCCAAAAAGCATCAAGTAACGCCAAAAGCATTATTGTTAATACTGGAGGAGGTTGTACAGTGTACATTTACACCTTGACTTATGACTGTAATTGAGCCCGGCTATGATGGTCATAAACTGTGACGATCACAAAGCATCCTTTGCCAAAAAGATCTGGACAGAGAACCATGTTTTTCTGTCTCTCTTCAAAGATACATCATGGAAAGGGTCGATTTGGTGATCGTGGGGGCTGAAGGCGTGGTCGAAAACGGCGGGATCATCAACAAGGTGAAGAGGGTTTGTCTGTCAATCAGGCAGTGACCTCCCAAATGATTCGTGTGTGTCCCAATTCTCCCTTTTGTTTGAGGAAAGCATTCTGACTTAGCACAGGCTTTCAACCTGTGAGCACGAAAGTAGTTCTGCTTCTCCTAGAAGGCCCTTCCAACTCGCCCTTCCGTGCTAGGCTGGGGGGGGGGGTCTCTTAACTCTTACTTATTCAATTTATTTCCCGCCTTTTATTACTTTCACGAAGAACTCAACATCACCGACAGATCTTTCTTCTCTGCTTTTTCCCACAATAACCCTGTCAAGTGGGTTGGACTGAGAGAGAGAGTGGCCCAAAGTCACCCAGCTGGCTTTCATGCCTAAGGCAGAACTAGAATTCACTGCCTCCTGATGATTGACCCAACAGCACCCAGCCAGCTTTCATGCATAAGGCAAGAAATTCCTGTCTTCCGGTGATCGACCCACAAGCACCCAGCCAGCTTTCATGCATAAGGCAGAACTAGAATTCACTGTCTCCTGGTGATCGGCCCAACAGCACCCAGCCAACTTTCATGCCTAAGGCAGAACTAGAATTCACTGTCTCCTGATGATTGACCCAACAGCACCCAGCCAGCTTTCATGCATAAGGCAGAACTAGAATTCACTGTCTGCTGCTGATTGGCCCAACAGCACCCAGCCAACTTTCATGCCTAAGGCAGAACTAGAATTCACTATCTCCTGGTGATTGGCCCAAAGTCACCCATCAGCTTTCATGCCTAAGGCAGGACTAGAATTCACTGTCTGCTGGTGATTGGCCCAAAGTCACCCAGTCAGCTTTCATGCCTAAGGCAGAACTAGAATTCACCATCTCCTGGTGATTGGCCCAAAGTCACCCATCTGGATTTCATGCGTAAGGCAGAACTAGAATTCACTGTCTCCTGGTGATTGGCCCAAAGTCACCCAGCCGGCTTTCGTGCCTAAGACGCGACTAGAACTCCCATCTCCCACTTCTGTTTAGAAAATTCCAGTGAGTCAAATGGCTGCTTCGGGCACGTCCTAACCACTGTGCATCTTCTCCCTCTGCCTAACGTCTTTCTTCAGATTGGGACCAACCAAATGGCCGTCTGCGCCAAAGCGCAAAACAAACCCTTTTACGTGGTTGCCGAGAGTTTTAAGTTTGTAAGGCTCTTCCCTCTGAACCAGCAGGATGTGCCGGATAAATTTAAGGTAAGAGAAAAATCTACTTCTTGGGTAAAACCGAACCTGTAGCTGGCTGGAAAGGTTGGCCTTCATTGTCTCAGAATCGTCACGTTTTTCTCCGCTGTTGTAACTTCACTCACTAAGCGAATGGTTGCAAGTAGAGGATTACCTATAATCCATCTTGAATGCAGGTCCTTGACCTACGATTGAGCCGCAAAACTGTTGTTAAGCGAGACAGTTAAGTGAGCTTTGCCCCGTTTTACGGCCTTCCTTGCCAATGGTTAAGTCAGGAGTCAGCAACCTGCAGCTCTGGAGCCGCATGTGGCTCTTTCATCCCTCTGCTGCGGCTCCCTGTTGCTGGTCGGCTCCACAATTGATAGGGTTTTCGGTTAGGACAGGTAGAAGAAATAGGACGCCGTGCTAGGAGGAGACTCTGTGGTGGGGGAACCGGACTTCCGGTCGGCTCCAGAATTGAACGGGGTCTTCCGGTTAGGACCTTTGTGGCTCTTTGAGTGTTTAAGGTTGCCGACCCCTGGATTAAGTCAGTCACCGGCGTTGTTTAGTCACATAATTGTTAAGTGAATTTGGCTCACTTGTCAGAAGGTTGCCTCTTCCCATCCTGCTTACAATCTCTTTGGACTGTTGCCTTCCGGCAGAAGATACAGAACAATTAAAACAGTGTCGACTGGCGGCCCCCAGGGGGGGGAGAGCCTTCTCTGTGGGGGCACCTACCATCTGGAACGAGCTCCCCCCCAGAGATACGGAGAATCCCGGACCTGCGCACGTTTCGTCGTGCTCTCAAAACTTTTTTATTTCAGCAGGCTGGCCTGGCCTAACTCTCCTCTTTTAAATTTTTTAATTCGTGATTTTAGAAATTGGGTGTTTTAATCTGTGTTTTGGCCAAAATATTTAATAATTTTAAGGGATTTTAATATTTGTATTATCTGTATTTTATCTTGGCTGTTCACCACCCTGAGTCCTTCGGGAGTAGGGCGGTATAGAAATTTGATAGATAGATAGATAGATAGATAGATAGATAGATAGATAGATAGATAGATAGAGATAGATAGATAGATAGATAGATAGATAGATAGATAGATAGATAAAACGTGGACCACACGTTTTCTGAATAGTTTTTATCCCGGAGCTATTAATTGCCCTCAACAATGAACTAAAGGGCCACCATCGGTGAGCTGTTGGACAGCATGACTTGGTCCGTTGTGTGGATGTTTGGGTGGTTTAGGGGTGGGGAATGTGTAGTGGGTGGATTTGGGGATTGTTATATGTGTTGGACCTGGGCTTTGGGTGTTAAGTGAATTTCGTTGTGTGGGTATACTGTGTATACACGTACAATGACAATAAAGTTATTATTATTATTATTATGGATGACTTGATGACATTTGGTAACCCAAATCATTTGTTTCGTTCTTCTCAGTACAAAGCAGATACGCTGAAGACACAAAAGCCTCTCGCAGTCGAACACCCTTGGATCGATTATACATCCCCGTCTCTTATCACGCTGCTCTTTACGGATCTCGGGGTCTTGACCCCTTCGGCTGTGAGCGACGAACTGATTAAACTCTATTTGTAAAAGGGCTTCCCCGAACGTGGGGATTGCAAGCAGTTAAAGGTTAAAATAAGCAACGGAACTTCCTGATCACTTGCCAATTTATTTTACTGACTTTTTTTTTTTTAAATTACATTTGTACAAAAAAAAAAAGAGCTCGCCGTCCATCCGAAAAGTAAATTATTGGAATAAATCGGAAACAAAAAACCAAAAGGTTTCGTCATTTATTTTGGCCTGAAATAGGCTGCAGGAGAATTTAGTTTAAAATGTATTTTCCGAAAAGTGAGAGGGCGACAAAGTCAAAACTGGGTTGGATCCATTGAATTTAAGGTAAAGGTAAAGGTTCCCCTCGCACATCTGTGCTGCTCATTCCTGACTCTAGGGGGCGGTGCTCATCTCCGTTTCAAAGCCGAAGAGCCAGCGCTGTCCAAAGACGTCTCCGTGGTCGTGTGGCCGGCATGACTCAACGCCGAAGGCGCATGGAACGCTGTTCCCTTCCCACCAAAGGTGGTCCCTATTTTTCTACTTGCGTTTTTTACGTGCTTTCGAACTGCTAGGTTGGCAGAAGCTAGGACAAGTCACGGGAGCTCACCCCGTTACGCGGCACCAGGGATTCGAACTGCTGACCTGCCGACCTTTCTGATCGACAAGCTCAGCGTCTTAGCCACTGAGCCACCATGTCCCTATAACAAGTGGATAGGGAGGTCTAAAGAACTATTAGAAGCAGCAGCAACTCACTAATGGGATTTATTGAGTTTACGTGCAGGTAAAAAATATGTCACCAGGCTGTATTTGGGTAACGTTTTTGCTTGGATTTCACTGCTTTTTAGACCTGCAGGTTTTTTAACGGCGGGGGCTAAATAACGTCTCCAAGTCATTTGCTTCCACTGAAAGCAGACAATACTGAATTAGACGGACTGATTTTTTCTGGAGAGTTGGCTTGCAGAGCCTCCGGTGGGAATAAGACGAAAAGCAGTTTGGAGAAACCCAATTTTCCACGGAGAAACCCAGAGTCGACGTTAAGGAATTTCAGCTCTACCGCCAAAGAGTCCGTTATTAGTTGAGAAAACGTTCACGTTTTCACTTCATCTTCTATCCTTCTGAATCCGAGCCGCTTCCTCCTTTCTTACTGCCCAGCAGCGTCTTCTCAAACTCCTTCTCGCTGATTTTACCCCTTTTGAGCTTTTTCAAAAGCCGGGTATCGTTCAGAAGCTCCTCCATATCCTCGTTGTCAGGGTCAGAACCCTAGAGAGAGAGAGAGAGAGAGAGAGAGAGAGAGAGAGAGAGAGAGAGATTTTAAAAACAGAAAACAGGACTCAAAACCAGCAAGCTTTTGTAGTGAGTTGATGCTTCTAATAGTTCTTTAGACCTCCCTATCCACTTGTTATAGGGACATGGTGGCTCAGTGGCTAAGACGCTGAGCTTGTCGATCAGAAAGGTCGGCAATTCAGTGGTTCGAATCCCTAGCGCCGCATAATGGGGTGAGCTCCCGTTCCTTGTCCCAGTTTCTGCCAACCTAGCAGTTCGAAAGCAGGTATAAAATGCAAGTAGAAAAATAGGGACCACCTTCGGTGGGAAGGGAACAGCGTTCCGTGCGTCTTTGGCGTTGAGCCATGCCGACCACATGACATTGAAAAAGTTTTAAAACAAACACAATTTGTTTTGGGGAAATTGTGTTTGTTTTAAAACTTTTTCAATAAAAAAAAATAAATAAAAGTCAATAGAGTCAATAAAAACAGGGGTACCTGCTCTAGCTCCCCTCTCCCAGTCCCCTAAGGCATTTTAGCTCACTTGCAAGAAACCAAGAGGTACAGAAAAGACCACTTCCTGCCCAAACTCACCTCCTCCCTTTTCCGTTTCGCTGTCAATTTCCTTTTCTTCTCCTTCTTTGCTTTCTGCTTGGACCAAGGTTGATTTCGGGGCGTCTTCCTCCCCGCTCTGCGGACGGGACCCTCCGCCTTCCATTGCTCCAACAGCTTCTGCCTCTGCCTTTCCCTGTTCTTGTCTTTGAACGCGATCGAATCCGTGTCGATATCGACGGGGGTGAAGCCCGAGAGATCCTTCCATTTCAGCTCCGGCATCTTCGGCATCTTCACCAGGGCAAAACCTCGGGCGAGGCTGGCAAAGTCCAGATCTGTTTTAAAAAAAAGGGACACAGACCGGTGGCTCTCGGCACCCGTGGAACCCAAACCCAAAGCGGAGACTCGGGGCCCCACTTCAGGTGCCGTAATATCCCTAAGCTTGTGGTGGCAGAAAGCTGCAAACAGTTTGAGGGCGACAGAGAAGAGACCACGGTGGATGGGTGGCCAGGCGAAGTGGGCTTCTCCCAGTCATTGGACAGGAGCAATTTTTTGGTTTCTAACTATTTTGGTTTGCGTGTGTGTCTCACTTCGACTTGGTAGAAAACCATGTGGTTGAAATGTAATGAGAACAGGAAAGAATTCTTGGCTATAAGCTCCCAGAAAATGTTTAACAGGTTTTGCCTAGTATTGGGCATGGAATCTCTCTCTCTCAACACATACACAGAGGGAGAGAGGGAGGAAGAATGTGAGAAAGAGAAGGGGAGGGAGAAAGGGAACAAGGGAGAGGGAGGGTGGAAGGAAGGGAGAGGGAGAGAAGGAGGGAGAAAGGGAGGGATAGGGTGGGAGGAAGAAAGGGAACAAGGGAGAGAGGGAGGAAGAAAGGGAGAAGGGGAGGGAGGGAGGGTAGAAGAAAGAGAAGAGGGAGAGAAAGAAAGGAAACAAGGGAGAGAGGGAGGGTGAGAGAAAGAGGGAGAGGGAGAAAGGGATGGAGGGAGGGAAAAAGAACAAGGGAGAGGGACGAAGAAGAAAGAGGGAGAGGGAGGGAGGGTAGAAGGAAGGGAGAGAGGGAGAGGGGAAAGGGAAAAAGGGAGAGAGGGTGGAAGGGAAAGGGAGGGAGAGAAAGGGAGTGATAGAGAGGATGGAAGGGAACAAGGGAGAGAGGGAAGAAGAAAGGGAGAAAGAAGGAGAGGGAGAGGGGGTGGAAGGGAGAGAGAAGAGGGAGAGGGAGGGAGAGAAACGGAGGAGTAGAGAGGGAGGGAGGGAGAAAGGGAACAAGGGAGAAAGAGAGAGACCGTTATTTAGAGATCATCAGACATTGAAAATAGCAAGACAAATAGCAAAATAGCAAGACATGGTTTTTTTTTAAAATATATATCAAGAAACCAGGATAAAAAAACAGGAGTGGCCAAAACTAACCTAAAGTTCCAAGAGATTGCAAAGTTATTTAAGAGCTGGAATGTCTTCGAAAGAAATGCTGGAAATGCTAATAGGGAGAAAACACCCCTCAAAAATAATAGAACAAAAACGGTCGGTGTTTTAAAACGAACCAACTCGCCTTTTATTCGGAAGATCAGGTTGCATTCGTGTTTGGCGTAGGCTTGGACGCAGGAGACAAACGCCTTCATCCCTTTCTCGTAGAGAGCTCTGTCGGCCAGGCTCAGCGACTTCAGCTTCGGTAGGACATCCGTGACGTTCCTCTGCGGGTTCAATTCCTCCATGGGGCACTAATTGTGAAGATTGCGCTTTTAGCCAATTCAAACTCTCAAGTGACACGTTCTTCATATACCGTACGAGTATAAGACGCACTTTTTCCCCCCCCCTAAAAGAGGGTGGAAATGTTGGGGCGTCTTATACACCGAATACTGCCATTTTTGGCCTCCCGAAACCCCACCGCACGTTCCGTTTTCGCCCAAAACAGGCCCTGTTTTCCATGAAAATGGGGCGCGCGGAGGGTTTGGGAGGCCTGCAGAGTGCTCCTGGGGCCTGGGGAGGGCAAAAATGCCGTTTTTGTGAAAAATGGGCCCGTTTTTGTGAAAAATGGGCCCGTTTTTGGCCTCCCAAACCCCACATGCCTCACGCTTTTGCCCTCCCCAGCCCCGAGGAGCACTCTGCAGGCCTCCCAGACCCTCTGAAGGCCTGTTTTTTGTGAAACGGGCCCGTTTTTCACAAAAGTTTCACAAAGTTTTTGCCCTTTGTGAAAAACGGGCCCATTCCTAGTTTTGGATCAAAATACAAGAGACAGCTCCCCTCACCTTTTGGTTAATGGCCAGGAAACTGATGTAAGCTTCTTCCATAGGAAGTAAGAAGACGAGCGCACTGCCCAGGTGGCCGATGCGGGCAGTGCGGCCGCAGCGATGCACGAAGGCGCTGCAGAAAAACGGAGAGGAAAATGTGCATTTAAACGGTTCACGCTCCGTTTAAACAAGCAGGAAATCCTCCCTGAAACCAGCTCAGCAGGCTGGGGAATATTCTGGGAGTGGAAGTCCAGAAGTCTTAACGTATCTTGAGGTCGGATGCCCCTGCACTGAGCAGTAAGATTTGGGGAAGCGCTAAAGGGCTGCCCCAGGCTGCTTTTGAAGAGAGGGAGAAAGAGAGGGCTACCTGGCACTGCTTGGGGGGTCGTACTGCAGAACCCAGTTCACCTCCGGGATGTCTATGCCACGGGCCATCACGTCGGTACACACCAGGATGCCGCTGGGAAATGCAGAAGGACGACAAAATGTTGAAAAGGGGAAGGAGACCAGAGCTCCAGCAGTAACGTCGCTTAATATTTGAAGCACAGCAGGAACTCACATTAAACCACAGTAATTATCATTAGATTTCATTTATCCCATTATTAAATTATAACTCGCTCAAGGTGGTGAACATATCTAATACACCTTCCTCATCGTTCTCCCGCTGAGTTGGGTTGGGTTGGGTTCAGTGAAAAGAACTGGCTCAAAGTTGCCAGCCAGCTTCTGTGCCTAAGGTGGGACTAGAACTCACCGTCTCCTGGTGATTGGCCCAAAGTCAGCCAGCCAGTTTTTATGCCCAAGGCAGAACTAGAACTCACAGTCTCCTGGTGATTGGACTATAGCTACCCAGCCAGCTTCCGTGCCTAAGGTGGGACTAGAACTCACCGTCTCCTGGTTTCTATGCCAGCACCGAAACCACTACACCCAAGTGGGTATATTAAATTAGTTTAATATAAACTTAATGTGGTTTGCTGGGTTAGCAAAATAGGATCTACAAAGCCAGTTCCTGGGATTTACATACAATGGATTGTGGCCAATTGTGAGTTCTCCAACAAACCACGCTTAGGGAAATCTCAATTTAGGGAAGTGTGAATTCACCCAGCATGCCATAGATTTCCTAAGTTAGGAAATTTTGAATTCTTTGGACCTAACTCTCGCAGATACCTCCCACCTCAATTAAGATGGTATTTCCGAGTGTGTACATATGCACAGACACCCCTCCCAATGCACCGCTATACATTCTCTCTCTTCTTGCGGCTGGTCGGTTTTAGCCCTTGCAAAAATATTTCTCTACCTTGGAAGTTTCCGGAACTCTGTAAAGATCCTGTTCCTTTTGTGTTTCATCTTTCCGTGGATGCACATGATTTTCACATTCTTAATCAAAGACTCCAAAGCCTTCCCATAATATTCCACGCAAGCACAGGTACTAAAATTGAAAACAAAGAGCTAGGTTTAAAAAAAAAACAAAATATTTTTAATTCTACGTAGCCTATAAGCCACGATCTTGGGAACAGTGAAAGTTATTCGTCCTCCTATCCGTTTTATCCTACCTGAAAAAGACAAGATGTTTTTCTGGTTTGTGTTGACGAAGGAAGTGAACCAGCTGATTAAATTTCTCGTCGGCCTTGCAGATCTGAAAATATACCAAGTCGGGAGCAATTTAGCAAATGATATTCAGAGAAAAAGAGCCCTTTGTGGAATTACTCTCAAAAAAAGGATGTCTTTTTTTTTCCGCCTTCATCTCTCATCTCTCAAAACAAACAAAAGGGCATTTAATTCACTCCTCCCAGTAGAATGCATGCTTTTCAGAGCTAAGATCTACTTTGTAAATTGAATGATTCGAGGATCTGATTTATGGACCTCACCATGTAATAGTTCTGGAGCCGAGTGGGCGTCTTCTGGGTGTTACTCGCTGCCATTCCTTTCTCCTTCACCGCGATACGGACGGGGTTCCGGAGTCCTGCTCTCACCAAGTTTTCCACCTCCTGGGTCTGAGTTGCGGAGAAGAGCCCTGTCCGTCTCTGCTTAGGCAGAAAATCCAGGATTGTATTCAAACTACAGGCAAATACAACGAACGGTGTCAGAAGCATTCTGTTAGCAAAAGGCTAAACCAGTTTCCCTACTAGGCCAAAGGTTTTTACGTTTTCTCAGGCTGCAGAAGCTGTTGCGTTAAAAAAATAAAAAATACTTCTGAACCCGTTATCGAGACATAAAGCTCCAATGATATATAACCTTTCCGCACCTCCCAGGGAACTGTCAGGATTCCAAATAATACACCCATTGCAAACAGAACCCCGAGGCAGGTTGATTCGTCTTGGCACAGACTGGTGGAAAGCCAACTCTGAGAGTTCCCGCGCTTTCCCCCTCATTAAAAAGTGAAAGTTTCCTGTTCTCCCAAACAATAAATCACATTATCCAATCTGGGTGTTGGCTGGTTGCCTGGTTACTTCTCCTCCTCCTCCTCTGGCCATTTGGAATGTCCTTGGCTCATAAGAGAACTATTTTGTTTTGGCTACAAAAACCCAGCTATCTCTACACACAGACACCCCTCAGCTCCAGACTGTGTCAAGCCTGAAGCCATGTGAAAAGAAATCCCTATAAAAAGCTACAGAAAAGAAAACGGCCACGGACAGGTCAGCTTCAGGGTTGACAGGAACGCAGTCCGAAAAAAATCAAGCCCTAGACAATTCAGCAACGGTTGCAAAATATAATTCCTGGAAGCTGGAACAAGCAACTTCGAGAAAGGAAAATTAAATCCATCGATCCAGTTTATAATAATGAATGTCAACAAAGACAAGAATTTACCTTGCTTCGAAGCCCATGTCCAGGAGCCGATCTGCTTCATCCAAGACCAAAATATCCAGAGATTTTACAGCCTTGGCCAAATCCAGGCCCTCTGATTTCCTCCTGAACATGTCCTCCAAACGACCTGGAGTGGCCACCAGGATGTTTCCGCTGTTCAGGACAGAAAAAAGAAGATTTGTAGGTTGGTTAATTAAATCATGAGCCTCTTTATTAGGAGCTTCATGTCCACAAGTTCCCAAGTGAAGCCAGTTCTGACCCTATGTAATTTACGCCCCAATCATGAACCTGTTTCCCCCCTCCCTCCCCATGGTGTGTCATCAATCACATTCTCAAACAGAGCAATTTCGCAGGTTGTAGAGACCACTCTCCCCTTCGGTCGCTGTGGGTAACCCTGGGAGACAGCCTTGAAAGAGATAAGTCTGGAATGTGCATTTGTCTTTGGCTGCCATGCCGTTTGGTTGGTTTCCCATCCCTCCTTGCTTATGGCAACCCGAGAGCAGGCCAGTTGCTTTGCGAGTTGACAAACATCTGCCTATTCTAGATCCTTGGGAAGGACTCCATAGGTGGATAAAAGTGCCAAATCTAGTCTAAACAGCTGGCTGGCTGTGCGACCAATAATAAATTAAATTTATATACTGCCTGACTCCCAGTGACTCCGGGTGGTTAATAGTTTTAAAGCCATGGCCTCTACATTTAACTCACCCTCGTTCTTTGAATCTTTCTACATCTTCCATTGGATTTTTTCCACCAATCAAAAGGCACTGACTGGGGAAAAATAAAAAAAGAAGCAACATCTTAAATCAAAAAACGAACGAGGTCATCCTGCTTTCCTAACCACCAGATGGGACTTACCTGAACTGTGGATAATATTTAATGAAATGGGAGATCACCTCATCTATTTGGATAGCAAGCTCTCGTGTGGGAGTGATGATAAGGGCGCCAATCTAAAATGGCAAGCCACAAAAACAGAATTATCATCAATGCAGCTTCAACTGCACTTAAATTATATTAGCAAGACCTCTCTCTCTCTCTCTCTCACACACACACACACAAAAGATGCAGACCAGAAAATAATTATACTCAATATTCCTTACGTAGGAACAAGGATTTCAGTGCTGAATGAGAGAGTTAGAAAAGTTGGATTCCCAGATTATCCCTCTAGGTCTTAAAAAAAAAAAGAAACGAATCCACATATTACCTGCATTTTTTTAAGCTTTTCTTCACGCCTGAGAAGTATTTCTATGAGGGGAATGACAAATGCTAGCGTTTTTCCACTGCCGGTTACCTGAGGGGACAAAAAATAGAGATATCCAAGAGGTTCCTGAAGGGCTCAAAGAAGAAAAATCATGGCTAAAATGATTTTTTTTTAAAAAAATCACTCACTGCTTCAGCTGCCACATCTTTATTAGTCATAAATAAAGGGATTGTTGCGCTCTGTTGAAGAAGTGAGAGGAGAGATTATGAGGGACTACAAATGCTTTGAAAGAAATGCATCAGAGGAACAATGTGGAAAGGGAGATTTCTAGTTTGGCAGTTGATTCAAACATCAAGATTTCATTCATTCATTCATTCATTCAATTTTCCATGGCTGCCCAACTCAACAAGTGATTCTGGCTGGCTTACAAAGTCTAAACTTTTAAAGCAATTAAACTAGTTACTAAGTCTGCATTACTATTAGTCTTCTCATCGTTCCTATCACCCATCTCCTCCCACTTATGACTGTATGACTGTAACCTTGTGGCTGGTATCCTTACGATTTATATTGATATTGTTTCCTGATTGCTTATTTGTACCCTATGACTATCATTAAGTGTTGTATCTTTTTATTCTTGATAAATGTATTTTATTCTCCTTATGTACACTGAGAGCCTATGCACCAAAGACAAATTCCTTGTATGTCCAATCACACTTGGCCAAGAAAGAATTCTATTCTATTCTATTTAAAACATTTTGAAAAATGTTAAAACAATACAAGCTTCCACCAAATGATATTTAAAACATCCCACTGGAGGCCCAAAGCATCCAAAAAGATGTTTATTCGTTTTTTTTTTTTTTAGGATTTTATGTTTTATTGATTTTATTGTTTTACTGGCTGCATTTTTTTCTGTGTGTTGTGAGCTAACATCAAAGCCACCGAGAGTCAGGTAACATACACATTTCATATATTATTATGGTTCATTGCACAATCAGCCAGATGTTTGGACTCAATTTGGGATATTTGCCAATAGAAATAGCATAGCATAGAATAAATATTGGAATGAAAAGTAGAGTAGAGTAGAGTAGAGTAGAATAGGAGACTCAAATCATTCCTCTGTCGAACTGGATCAACAGCTCTTTGGGCAGTTTGAGCTTCTTGAGTTGATCCATCTATCAAGTCCCTTCCCAAGAGCTGCCTTAGGGGGGTGTTATTTAGTTAATATTAGTATTAATATTAACTAAAGCCAGCCAAATATTAATAGGTGCTATTTAGTTAATATTAGTATTAACTAAAGCCACCCAAATATTAATAGGTGCTATTTAGTTAATATTAGTATTAATATTAACTAAAGCCACCCAAGCTCTTCCATACGGGGATTATTATTATTATTAGTATTATTAGATAATCCCCATATGGAAGAGCTTGGGTGGCTTTCCCTTAATCCAAGGAGGCAGCCTTTTGTAGGGTCGTCTTCTTCCTCCTCCTCCTCCTCTTCCTCCAGGCGGGCTGGCATCCAACCCCTACAGGCGGGGGGGGGGGGGGGCAGTTTGAGGGGCTGGGAACGATGGGACTTGGAGTCCAGCCTGCGGGGAAGCGGAAAGGGAGCCCCCCCCAACCCCTCTACCTGCACGGGCGTCATGTGAGAGAAGCGCAGCTCCCGCAAGGCCTGCAGGACTCCCGGGCTGAGCTCCACGGGCAGCGATTCCCACGTCCCCTCCGTCACCTGCTCCATCTTGCGCCCTCCCGACTCTTGGTTTTTTATATATATATATCTATATTTTAAATTTTTGGGCCCGGAAATCCTGTCCGACCTTTTAAGAGGTCCCCCTCGTGGCGAGCGTCCATCACTTCCGGTCCCCCGACTGGGAAACAAATCCCGCACGGAAGGTTCCGCCCCCGTGATGAATCGTCGCGTGGATCAAAATAAATGGAATTTCTACTCCCGCCCCCCCCCCCTCCCCCCCCCCCCAAGCAGGAGACCCACCCGGGACCCTCGTGGACCGTCCAGCCTCTTCTTGGAAACCTCCAGAGATGACAAAAAAGCACCTTTGGGACTCCAGAAATGGAGCATCCACAACCCCCTGGAAGACTAGGTGGCTCAGTGGCTAAGACACTGAGCTTGTCGATCAGAAAGCTCTGAGGATTCGAATCCCTAGTACAGCTCTCCTGCTTGAGCAGGGGGTTGGACTAGAGCAGGGGTCTCCAACCTTGGCAACTTTAAGCCTGGCGGACTTCAACTCCCAGAATTCCCCAGCCAGCGTTGCTTAGCTGGGGAATTCTGAGCTGGGGAATTCTGGGAGTTGAAGTCCGCCAGGCTTAAAGTTGCCAAGGTTGGAGACCCCTGGACTAGATGACCTCTAAGGTACCTTCCAACTTCTGTTACTGTTAAATCACCCTTGGTCATGTACCTTGGCAGAGTTGCTAAACTTTTCTAATCGTATTTAGGAAACTAGGGTTCTTGGGAGCAGCTGCCTAGGATCTGAGGGTGCAGGGAGGACTTTTCACCCCCTCCAAGAAATGCCAAATATTTGCACCCTCAAAATGTCCCGAGGAATACTAGGGCAGCGCTTCCTTTATCATGGAAAAAGAGAAGAGGCGAGATTTCCCGCAAAAGGAGATTATATTGTTCTGAGGAGGACCACCTTTGAAACACTTCCCTAATTTCAAGAATACTTTCTGTGTTGTGTGCATTTCCCTAAAATGATGCTGGTGGGGTTTTGGTTGGTTTAAATACCAACTTTAATAGGTCCCATTGACTTGTAACCATCATATAATCCTCCAGATGTTAGTCTCCGCTGCCCACCTATTTGAAAGAACTTGTCCCTTTAAGGTAAAAAAATAAAAACATACCAAAAATAATAATAATGATAGTTGAAAATGTAAGATAAGCATCAGGCTAACCAACTTTGTTTTTTTTTAAAAGAAGGTATTTATTTAATTGAATCTGGCCAAATTTCAAACATTTTTAAATGTACATTTTCTACGCTGAGCTCCACTGATCTCGTATTAGGATTGGCATACAATGGGTGTACTGAGTTGGCGTAAGCAGTGTCCTTACGTCTCCGCCTCTGGCTGAAAAGATTACTGGAGCCAGGAAAACTTGTAACGAATTTTAATTAAATTAAATTTGGTACAAAACTCTTTTATGCAGTACTGACAGAATTCTCCCCACCCCTCCCCTTTGAAAAGAACCCCACTCCCGCCCCACTCCCCAAATTATAACCAATATACATCAGTCCAATATACATCAGCCACCACATAATCTTGGACCAGGCCCACCCCGATAGATAGACGTGGTGATTGTTAATTCCATCATCCGGATAAGTAAAGAAGAACGAAAGGAAAACAAAAAAAACACCTCAATTCTATAAAAACTTATGTCGATGCGTGAAAAAGAGAACAAGCAGAAAATAAGATGGCGGCCAAAATTCAGAGCAAAGATGCCTTCCTTGAGAGAGAGGCTCCTGTGCCTTGAAGAGCAGGGCAGCGAGGAAAAGCTGGAGAGAAAATTTATGGAGTTGCAGTCATAACTTGGAGGGAAAAAAAAGTGCACCGGTTCAGTATGCGAATAGCCTCTGGGGAAGATTCAGCAACCAAGAAAAGTGACGTTTTTTCCGTTTGATTTCTCTCAGGGAAGGAGAAAAATCATTCCCCATCCGAAGCTGCCATGACCAAGTGGCAGTGCTGTACTGTAGAAACCTTCTGCCCCACTCCTCTCAAAAGTGGAAACGGTGAGGTCAGAAAGGAGGGACATGTTCCTACCCTAGTACTACAGAAAGGAGCAGCTTTGGAAGTATCAGGCTGAAAGGGGAAGACGTTCGGCTTACGCAAACCCCCAACAATAATTGCCAGCTCCTAGGTTGGAAAACAAAGGCGATGTGGAACAAGGCTATCCTTGTTTCTCTAACTTAAAATCTCAAGGAACAAATCGGTGGAGCCACCATAAAGATATTGGGGATTTTACAGAAGCCACTCAAGCATAGCTTAACTGCACCCATTCCTAGTTTGTGTATGCCTGAATAGTAACCGTGTTCGTTTCTTCCTCGGCATAGTGCCTTTTGGGGGAAGCACTGCTAGGATTGGGGTACACCGTTAACTGTTCTCCTCTAGTGAAAGTAGAGAGGAAACCCACTGACTGAGTTAGAGAATCTTCCCCACAGGTCTGTACGGTATTATGAAAAAAGCCCTGTACCATTTCTCCTAGACAAAATATCAGCAATTTGCTACAAAACAAAACCCCGAGAAGCCAAAAGAAAGGGGGGGGGGGGGGGGGGGGGAAACAAAAAACCAAGAATTAAGATGAGCAAGGGTGCTGTTTTCCAACTAACATCTGTCATTTTGGTTCAACTCATTTTGGCTTGTGAGAAACAAAATCGTCCAATTTCAGAAAATAACTCATGGCAAGGTTATCATTGCCTCATATCAAAACAAAAAGAAAACAACAACCAAAACAAACCCCAAAGAAACCCAGAATTAAGCTAAGAAGACATTAAACTTAAAAAGTTTTATAAGTTCAGGATGCGGGGGAGGATAAAGGAAACTACGTGATTTTTGCAACGAAGTCGTTTGGTAAAAGAGTGAAACAAGAGTCTGGGGTCACCAGAATGGGGGCTGGGTAGCCAAGTTTGATTAAACCACTCTCCGGACTTCAAAAAACCTCTTCAGGTAGTAGATCTGTCCCAGTGTCATGGCAACTAGTACGAGGGCTTCGAAGAATGACCAGAGGACCACTCTGCTATTTGTGTTGTCGTTAACTGGAGAAGAAACCGAGAAGAAAACACAAAATTAGCACATGAAAACTACAAGAGGTCTTAGGGTCCAGAACTACGCAACTTCAGGAATGCCTCCTATCTTAAGCCTCACATACTTAGCATACATCGATGGAGTCTCTACTCCAGGGGTCTCCAAACTTGGCGACTTTAAGACTTGTGGACTTCAACTCTTAGAGTTCCTCAGCCAGCAAAGCTGGCTGAGGAACTCTTGAGAGTTGAAGTCCACAAGTCTTAAAGATGCCAAGTTTGGAGACCCCTGCTCTATTCCATGTCGAGGAATCTTTCAGGGGGGGGGGGGGGGGAGAGGAAGGGGAGAACCAGCAGTGCAAGTATTTCTAGAAAGCTTGCAAACCGAGCCTAGAAATAACGGGAACACCTAGCAAGTTTCTGCTACCACTGAAGATCTTGAAAGTATTTATTGTATTTTTATTCCACTTTTATTACTTTATAAATAACTCAAGGCAGCCAACAGATCTAATACTTCCTCCTCCTCCTCCTCTTTATCCCCATAACAACAATCCTGTGAGGTGGGTTGGGCTGAGAGAAAGTGACTGGACCAAAGTCACCCACCTGGCTTCCATGGCCAAGGCGGGACTACAACTCACCGTCTCCTAGTGATTGGCCCAAAGTCACCCAACTGCTTCCATGCCAAGCGCGGGACTATAACTCAATGTCTCTTGGTGATTGGCTCAAACTTATCCAGTGGGCTTTCATGACTAGGTGGGACTAGAACTCGCTGTCTCCTAGCGATTGGCCCAAGGTCACCCTGTCAACTTTCAGGTCTAAGGCAGGACTAGAACTCACCATCTCCTGGTTTCTCGGCCAGCACTTACAGACCAATTGTTGAATACAAAAAGCGGACGGGGGAAAAAAACACACCACCCCAGTAGAAAAAAAAAAAACAGGGCCCAATCCAAGGCTACTTACTCGCTCGATGTACTCTTTCGCGAACTTCCATGTATTCCTGTTCGTGTTTGACGGCTGTCATGGCCACTGCTAATTCGTTAATCATCTCTTCTAGCTTGTTCTGGTGAGCTGCAGAAGAATTACACAACCTCAACACTTGTGCCCCAGATGCTACGTTCCAGCTGCAATTAGGAAGCCATCCAACATGTCCACGGCCAGCAAAGTATATGAGCACAGAACCTCTCAAAATAAAGCACGAAAAGCATGCTGGCTAGATGAGTCATCCTAAATCCCATCTAAAGGATATAACGGTCCGAGGAGGGCAGCTGTTAAAGAGACAGAAACGCTATTCCAAAGGGTCCCTGGCCCTCATACAGAACCCTTATCTCTGTTATTTCAGGTGTTGGCACGGACTGATTTCCTATGTTCTATTACTACAGAAAGGAGGAATTATTCCCAGATAGGAAGAAAACCGACCGTACTGTAAAAGAGGAACCACCAAACTTACAGGAAGGACATCGAGGCCAAGACAACTGTGTAAGCGAAGAGGCACGGGTGCGTTATTAGTAGAAATGGTTTCACGGTGGCTTCGAAACATGCTAACATTCACAGCTCAAGAAAACATTCCAACTGTCATCTCAGCTCACCGCTTCCCTTATCGGGGGGCACTCAAGTTAAAGAACACCACAAAGCCCGTGCAGAGTTATTGAGTTTGGAGGGAGGGAGGCCTGACTTGCCGTCTGATCTGACCCATGGTAGGAAAATCCAGAGCACAAGCAACTGGATGAAAGCAGGGAGGCGATGGTAATACAAGAACCGTGAAAGGAAAGGAAGGGAGGGGGAGAGAAAAGAGAAGCTTTCGGCATAGAATTCTGAAGACCTTGCACCCAATTGGCCTCAAATCCTGAAGATAGCAGGAAGCAAGGAAAAAAAAGGACCGAGATATTTTAAAAACTGAAGGTGAAGATTGAGGCGTGAACAGAAAAGGGAGCTTTAGAATGGAAGGTGGACAAAGAAGCCTCATTTTTATTTTAATGTTTTTGGTTGCTATGCTGTAAAACCACCAGGAGTTCGTTGGAGGGGTGGCGTTACAAAAAGCAAGCAAGCAAACAATCACTACGGTAGCAGCTCATGTTGCTTCTATGAGCTTCTCTTCAGGGCAAGGTCAGAGCCAAGTACAGGTAATCCTCGACGTACAACCGCTCGTTTAGTGACCATTCAAAATTATGACGGCACTGAAAAAAGTGACTTTTTTCGGACCGTTTTTCAGACTTTAGGATGGCTGCCGCATCCCCAGGATCAAAATTCAGGCACTTGGCCACCGACTCATATTTATGACGGTGGCAGTGTCTCAAGGTCATGCGATTCCCCTTTGGCGACCTTCCGACAAGCGAAGTTAATGGGGGAAGCCAGAATTCATTTAACAACCGTGTTAACCAACTGGACAACGGCAGGGATTCACTTAACAATGGTGGCAAAACTCAGTTGACTATTGTCTTGCTTAGCGACGGAAATATTGGGCTCAATTGTGGTCGTAAATCAAGGACTATCTATAGCTTGTTTGAGATGTTTGTATCTCCATTGGAGAACAAACACCTCACTGTCTGTTTTGAGACGAAAGGGATAAAAATCTTGAAGTGCTTCTTTGGCGTACAACATTCGGGCCTTTCCATCTGAGCCCGACAACCCTGGGCCACCAATATGTTAGCAAGGAGCCTCTGATCCCATCACACAAAGCTCCGTAATGCTGTTAACAGATTAGGAGAAACAAATCAAGAGGGATTAACAGATTAATTTCTTCAGAGATTAACACCTACCATCCCAGGTATCTCCGCCACCTAAGGAAAAGCAAAAGAGATGAGCAGGAGGGGGGAATCAAAAGGAAAGACGCTATTATCCCTCAACAATGGGCGCAATTTTAGCACGGGCCTCTTTCCAACAGACAGAAAAGGGAGTTGCCAACTGTTAGGCCTGGCCATCCCACTGGATTAACAGCTTCCCCAAAAAGGAAAGTGTGGGGACATCACAGGAGGGGCTCCATCGTGTTCTCTGAGAATCAAATACAGATGACTCTCTATACACGAGAGGGAAATGAGGATGTGGTTTGGCTCAGGGTGGAACAAAAGGGTTACATCCCATTTTCAAATCACAATTCTCTGATGAAGAAAGGAAAGAAAGAAAGAAAGAAAGAAAGAAAGAAAGAAAGAAAGAAAGAAAGAAAGAAAGAAAGAAAGAAAGAAAGAAAGAAAGAAAGAAAGAAAGAAAGAAAGAAAGAAAAAGAGAGGGAGAGAGGGAGGGAGGGAAGGAAGGAAGGATAGTCTGGTAAAGAGGACTGGGAATCTAAGAGATAAGAAAGTACTTAGAACTATAGTAGTAGAGAATGAGTAACTAGAAGAAAGGGCTATTCACTCTTAAAATCTAGGGGGGGGGAAGTCTATCAAGGACTGTGTGTAAGAGATATGAAAGAGCTGGGGTAAGGTTGAGATGCCAAGCATATCCATAGAAACAGTAGCATGAAGGCCACATAAAGAGATAAAGACCAACACTTCGGCCAGCGTTTTAGAACAATTTTTCAGTCTGGCACCCCTTTCCTTTATAGCCATTCATTCTATCTGGAGTTTAGAAGAAACTAAAGTAAACACACCTAGAATGGAAAGGACGTTCGGATGGCTAGGTCTGCGGAAAATGCACAAAAATGAAATATAAACAAGACCCACCACATTGGAGACCGCCCTAAAATTACTTGGAATGTTCAAATCAGGAATCATTTCCCTGGGAAAATTCCATTCTGGTATTCAGAGAAGTGGTGATGCTGTCCTCCGAACATTTCAATCCCCAGAAGAGAACAAGAAGCTTAGAATTTATGGAACGCATAATGTCGGGGGGAGTAAACGAAGCAAGCAGGGAAATTTGTGGGTGCACCTGGTCTCACCTTCTGTCTCCATGTCCTGTCCCTTGGGAGCTTCCCCAATGTCGATAGTGAACATCACTATCTTTGGAGTCATGGTGGACATTTTGTTGCTGAAGCAGAACTTATACGTTCCGTCCATGTGAGCTGCGAAGGTGTATTTTCCACTGGATTCTCTGTCGCCTTTGTGAATGCCTTTGTTATCAGGGCCTGTGATCTGAAAGCAAAGGAGGAAGGGGAGCGGTTATTCTTCAATGCACCCAAAGCGAAATGGAGCTTATTTGTGGTGCGAAACGTGGCAAGAGTCAAATAATAACAGTATATATTTTAACCCTTCATTTCAAAGAGAGCCAATAAGGCAGTGGCGAAGATGTTTGGCTAGAGCACTGCACGTTTTATCATCTCTCCAAGCATGCACGCTGTCTGACCTTGAATCAACTACCTGCCTCACAGGGCTGTTGTAGGAAAACTATGGAGGTAGGAACATGAGGTATGTACACTGCCTTAAACTGACAAAGAAAAAGGCAGAATAAAAATATAATATATAACTAATCCAGCAGATGGCATTCAGTACTGCTCAGAGATAAAAATTCCAAAAATGAATTTCAAGGTATTGTTCTTACTGGATCTTATCAAAATCTAACCAGGCATCTAATTTCCGCAGTAGCCAACCAGAGGAGTGTGAGAACACAACTCACAACGAAACTTTATTATAGTCAAAGAGACTTTAGGAGCAAGCCAAACAACTATTCTACACTTAAAAGAACCGTACAACGATCTCTCACAACTATGTGTCATTGTTTTGTGTCACTTTAACCAAGAAACACTACAACCCCACACCTTTCTTTAACTAATCGATCAGTGATTTTCCAGGTAGCACCAAAGAACAATTATTTACATTTTTTTTTTTTTAGAAAGTCCAACAAGTTGATACAGGGCCACTGCTATTGTTCAATCTTTTCTAAACACAACACACCCAACAAAGCTAAGCACAGGTGATCCTCCCAGAGTTTATCACGCAAAACTAAAAATGCCCAACTTTTTTTCTGTTATAAATTGAAAGTTTCTGCTAAGAAGCGACAAATAGGAGTTGAGAAATGATTGTTTGGTTGTCACATGTGCCTGCCTGGTGGCACCTCATCTGTCCGTCTTTCCACACAATTACTTCTAACCTATTTTTTTTTCTTGTTCTCAGGCCTTCTGCGTAAGGCTACTCCAACTAAGGCTACTCCTGGTAGCAAGTGCGGGTGATTCCCGACTTTTGTTTAGTGACCGTTCCAAGTTACATCAGCACCGATTCACACTTTTGACCGTCTGCACCATCCCCACAGTCACGTGATCAAAATACAAGACCCTTGCCAACGGGTTCGTATTTATGACGGTTGCAGCGTCCCGGGGTTACGTCATTCCCTTTGGACAAGCAAAAGTCAGCGGGGAAGCCGGATTCCCTTAACAACCAAGTTATTGGACTTACTTAACAGCTGCAGCAATTCCCTTACCAACTGCCGGCGAGAAAGGTTGTAAAATGAGGGGCAAAGCTCACTTAACAACTGTCTCGCTTAGCTACGGATATTTTAGGCTCCATCCTGGTCATAAATCGAGGACCACCTGTGTAAATGCACTAAATGTACATGCAAGCTCAGCTCCAGGAGACTTTAGAGCTTCCCTTTCTCAGAAGCCCAGGAAGATTCCATATTGCTTGAGCTGCCCTTATAAGTCTGCCCTGCAAGTGTTTCCCCCGGAGTAGAACCTCCAGCTGACAAGGTAGTCTACCCCCCACCAGCTTCCCTTTCTCAGAAGCCCAGGAAAAAGATTCCAGTTTATAACTCCCACCCAAAGCATTTCCCTGGAGTAGAACCTCCAGCTGACGTGGTACTCTACCCTCCTGAGCTTCCCTTTCTCGGAAGCCCAGGAAAAAGATTCCCATATCGCTCGAACTGCCCTTATAACTCCCACCCAAAGCGCTTCCCTGTTGTAGAACCTCCAGCTGACGAGGTAGTCTACCCTCCTGATCTTCCCTTTCTCGGAAGCCCAGGAAAAGATCCATCACTTGGGGCTGCCCTTATAAATCCACCCAAGGCATTTCAAAGTAGAACCTCCAGCTGACGAGGTAGTCTACCCGACCCCCCCCCCCCCGAACTTCCCCTTTCTCAGAAGCCCAGGAAAAGACTCCCAATTTATAACTCCACTCAAAGCGTTTCCCTGGGAGTAGAACCTCCAGCTGACGAGGTAGTCTACCCCCCCTCCCCACAAAAAATTAAACCTTTTTCCTCCTTTTTTCCCTTTTCTCCTTAAACGTGAGGCGGCGAGAAGATAAACCTCCCAGCTTTGCCAAGGCCCAGACCTGAGGGGTGGGGGTGAAAAGGGCGGCACTCTGCACGTGCTCAGAGGCGCCCTTGGCCTTCCCACAAACCCCCCTCCCCTCAGCCCGGGTTCATTTTTTTCTTTTCCCCCTCACACACTCGCCTCGACGTCGATGTCTAGGAAGCCTCCCTCGGCCACCTCGAAGATGAGCCCCATCTTGGTGCCTGAGGGGACCCTCTCGAGGAAGCACTCCTCGGCGTGCGCGTCGATGCTGACGAAGTAGCCGGCCGCCGGGGCCCAGAGCGCGGCCAGCAGCGCCAGCACGGCCCGCACCGGCGACATGGCGGCGGGGAGCGAGGCGGGCCAGGCGACGGACGGAAAGCGAGGACGAGGCGAGCCGGGCCTCGGCCAACCAGCCACAGGAAGAACAGGCGGGCAACGGAGAAAGGGAAAGGGGGGCGCTTCCGGTCCCTTCGGACACGCCCCTTCCGGTGCACGGGGCCGCTCCTCATAGGCCCGAGACGGGCCCGATGCCACGTACAGCGACGCTGGATTGGGAGGGGGAGGGAGGGGGAAGGAGCGCGGGGCGGGGCCCGTCGGACGCTGATTGGAGGAGGAGAATTGGAACGGGGGGGTGTAGAGAGAAGAGAGAGATGGGTGGAGTGGTGGAGGACGGTGGCCGCGCGAGGCCAATCGGCGCATCTCGTGGGGAAAAGAAAAGGAAAAAAAAGGGGGGGGGAAAGACTCCTGCGACGGCGGCTCAGAAGGGACAGTTCCGACGCGTTTGGGAAAGGAAGGGAGGTTGCGAGGCACAATTCAACTCCCAGAATTCCCGTTAGGAAACCAACGTTAAGATGTCCGGACTTCAACTCCCAGAATTCTCCAGTTAGGAAACCAACGTTAAGATATCTGGACTTCAACTCCCAGAATTCCCTAAGCAGTTCTGGGAGTTGAAGTCCCCACATCTTAAGGTTGCCATGCAGGTGTAAGTTCAATAGTCACTAAGCGATGGTTGTTAAGTTGAGGAACGCCTGTTCCAAGAGTTTTCTATGCAGGTATGCAGGCTTTCCCCCCCGTTAAAATAAAGCCAGCTTTACAGAGCTTGCTATAACCCCACCACCCCGTAAATCGTCCCAGGACATTTCAAGTTTCTAATCCACATGTTGCCTTCTTGTCGTGTGCCAGATTTAGCTTCTTCTCCCGCGACAAGAGACGCCTGCAAGCGACCCAGCGAAACAGCTCCTTCCACGGCTCCTTCGGCGAATGGGCCGACCGGAACAAAGACGACGTCTACACCGAACAAGGCTTAGAAGCTCTGCAGCACCTGTGACTCGAACCCAGAACTCTGGCTTGTACCTAGGCGCCAAACGCAGAAACACGGAAGCCCTCGTGTGGCGAACGGCGCCTGTTCCCCCTCCCCCACGAATTCCAGGTTTTGCGTTGTCGTCAGCTCAAGGTGGGGGAAAAAAGATGCATTCAACCAGAATTGACGCACCAGATTTGTCCTGCAAGTAACGGAATCCCAATATGGATTTGGGAAGCAAATCACGGCGATTCCTGCAGCCCGGCCATCGTTTTGACTTCTGGTGATGTGAACGTCACATCACCAATGCTTCCTTTTATCCGCCCCTACCCCCTCCAAAAATAAAAAAAAAAAAAAAAGGATCTGGGCCAGGGGTGAAATCCAGCAGGTTCTGACGAACTGGTAGCGGAAATTCTGAGTAGTTCGGAGAACCGGCAAATACCACTTCTGGCTGGCCCCAGAGTGAGGTGGGAATGGAGATTTGGCAATATCCTTCCCCTGGAGTGGGGTGAAAATGGAGGTTTTGCAGTATCCTTCCCCTGCCACGCCCACCAAGCCACGCCCACAGAACTGGTAGTTAAAAAAAAATTGGATTTCACCACTGATCTGGGACATTCCTGAAGAAATGTCCTGCTAAGGACCGATGTTTCCAGGCACTCCTTATTTAAAAGGCATTTGAAAAAAATATATTATTTTGTTCCCCCCTTCCTCTCTTGCTTCCTCCTGCTTAAATGTCCTGCTCCACATCTCAAACGAGTTTTGCAGAAGTCTTCTGGAACTATTCTGGAGTGAAGGGCGGGGGGTCTCTTTAAAAACGGGATTCAGAAGTATATATATATATATATATATATATTTTGTGGCTTATTTATAGTGCCTGCAGCGTGATGTCCAGGGATATCCGGTGCCTTGTGTTTTGCTCTGAATTCTCTTGACGCAGGGATGGCGACTGAACACCTGAAATCTAGATTAATCCTTTTTTTAAAAAAAAAAAAATTACAACTTTCACCAACCTTGTAGCAGCAAATCCCCCTCCCCCCTTCAGTGTGAAGGTAGTCACTTCAATCCAACACACTGACTTCAGTTTGACAGGTTTTTGACCGCCAATTTCGTTGTATAGCTGATGTACAATGACAGACTAAAGGCTTTTCTGTTGGGAACAGACTACCAGCTGCTTCTGAACAGCTTCCCTTCCCTCTTTCTGGATGAGATCAAAGCTGCCTTGAAAATGGAATTTGGACGGTCTGAAATTTGGTGCACGGCGGACGATCGCTTAGCTGCCGGAATTAGAAATATGAACATCGAAGGGCAACGGGAGAAAAAAAAAAAATGAAAGGGAGTTTAATTCCCCAAACCTCAGAAAAAATAAAAAACAAAACGGTGTTTTTCCAGACTTGGCAACTTTAAAAAGTGAGAACTTCAACTCCCAGAATTCCGCCACCGACAGGAAACGCTCAGGACAGTTCTAATTAAGATCCAAACAGCTCTTTAGGAATTTCAGTTGCTTTGCACACTTCCCGGGTTAACACTTTACTGTATTCTCGCTTAACACAATTATCTGGGAAGGTTTAGGACGGGGGTGTAAAAACTTGGCAACTTTTGAGACTCGGCTGGCTGGGGAATTCTGGGAGTTGAAAGTCCGTAAGTCTCAAAAGTTGCCAAGTTTCGACAGCCATGGTCTAGGACAGTGATGATTAAATCACAATTAAAAAGATTAAATCTTTTTGCCGTCGCGTGCCAAAAGCACGGGGAGCGCGGGGGAGGGGTACTCGCGTGCACACATGCCCACACCCATAATGCAATACCCCCCGCGACCCCTCGTACATACGCACACGACCCCCCCCCCATGCCCCCGTTTTGGGCCTAGCAGGCCTCCCTGAAGCCTCCGGAGGCCGGAAACGGCCCGATTCCAGACTTCCGGTAGGCCTGTTTTTAGCCCTCCCCAGTCTCCAGAGGCTTTCCTAGAGCTTGGGGAGGGCGAAAACAGCCTCCCTCAGCACTCTGGAGGCCCTCCAGAGACCGGAAACAGCCCGTTTCCAGACTTCCGGAAGGCCCATTTTCTGCCCTCCTAGAGCCTCCATGCGAGCCCTGTACTTACCTGGCATTCAAAACGGGCTGCATGGGCGGTGCCAGCTGAAAATCAGCTGGCTGGCAAGGGCGCGCATGCGTGGTGGAGGTGACCTAGGGCAATGGCTCGTGTGCCCACAGAGATGGATCCGTGTGCCACCTGCAGCAGGCGTGCCATAGGTTCGCCATCCCGTGTCTAGGACAACAGCAATCATGCAACCACAGGATATGCAAAGAGGACGCCTAATTTTTATTCAAGATTCAGGGTATTAGATAGTTAAAAGGCAATAAAGAAGATTTGGCTGGGATTAGTAGAGAGAACAATATCAAACTGTAGAACTCTTTTTAATATGCTAAATAAACTTATTTCTGAATTAACAAGAGGCCTCCGGGTGATTTCACTGACTCGTAAACAGCCTTTTGGTCCGAGGCCCTCGCATCCCATCTATACAATCTGACTTTTTTAGGGTAACAGCTATCCTTCTGCCTTGAGGAAGGTTTCTACCGGTGGAATCAAGACCTTGTTTTAATCCAGACCTTTTCAAGAATTAAAGGATGTAGGACGGGGTGGGTGGGAATCCTAAACCAGCTCTCCTTTTTGGCATTTCAGATAAACAGGCGGTAATTATCAGTGTTGGGAACTTTGGATCCATCTTTCATCGGATCCTGGAATAAGACACGGGCACAACTATCAAGCGAGGGCAGCCTGTGGTACAATGTTCACTCTTCTCCAGCTGGGAGGTAGCCATTCCTGCTCGCAACATCTGTGTTGATTCCAGAAAACCATCTATCTTGGTTTGGAAGTGAGGTCTAACGCTTCTAATGGATCTCCTTTAATTGCACAACATTTGAAGGAAACGTCCCATCGATGGTGGCCTTTATCCTTTGCCGTCTTTGGCCTCGCGATTCCGGTCTTTCCTCTCCCGCTCCCTCCCTTCAGCGGCTCTGCCTCGGTCTTCCCTGGCCCGATGTTCCAGCTCTCTTTCGCTCTTGCCGTACCCCCCTGACGTTCGTTCCCGTTCAGATCGCCGGGACTCTCGGCTCCTCTCGTAATCTCGTTCCCCGGTCTTCCAATCCCTCGATCCTCCCCGGGACCAAGCCCGCTCTCTTTTCCCCTCATTATAAAAGTCGTTTTTCATGGCAGGCAAGTTGATGGGCTTCCTAAATGGTCTGTCTCGGCCTCCGAACCGCAGCTGGCCCGATTCCTTTTTACCGCCAAAACCTCCTCCAAGCCTGCGGGGAATCCACCCTTTGAGGGTCCTTTCCAATTCAAAGTCGACAAAGATTTCCCGCTGGTCGATGATCAGCTTGTTGGCGTCGCGGTGGGCTTTGAGGAGCGCCCGTTCCTCTTTATACTCAATAAAAGCGTAGCCTTTGGAAAAACCCGTAACCAGATCCCGAACCAGGCGGATTTTCCGAATGTCTCCGTACCGGGAGAAAACTTCTTTTAACTTCTCTTCCGTGGTTTGCAGGTTGAGCCGGGCTACGAAGAGGGTCAGGTGTGGGTCTCCGGAAACGTCTTTGTTGGGGACGTAACGGGCTGACATAGCCCTCCAGACTGCCCGGTCGTGAGGCTCTTCGTCGGTGCCATCGATGCTTCCGGCTTTGAGGGGGTCGTACTCTTTAGCGATGGGCACCCACTCGTTCATGGCTGGAGGAAAATATACTTATTTAGTGTACGGCAAAAAGGCTCTGACGATCACAGCCAGGCGATCGCTGGAGCCTTTTTTTTACCTTTTTAAAGCATTTTTTTACTAGCAGCTCGGGCGAATAGGTAGTAAAAAAATGCTTTAAAAAAGTTTTTAAAAAGGCTCCAGTGATCGCGCGGCACAGCTGTAATCATCGGAGCCTTTTAAAAAATTTTTTAAAGCATTTTGAACCCCCAGTCCTTCCCTCCCTCCCTTCCTTCTTTCCTTCTCCTTGCACACCCCACTCCCTTCTAGCACTGATGATATTAGCTAGTTGGGTCATGAAATGTCTGCAAGAAAATAAGTTCAAAGAGCACCATGAACCCCCAGTCCTTCCTTCCTTCCTTCCTTCCTTCCTTCCTACCTACCTACCTACCTACCTACCTTCCTTCTCCTTGCACACCCCACTTCCTTTAGCACTGAGGATGTGACCTAGTTGGGTCATGAAATGTTTGCAAGAAAATAAGTTCAAAGAACACCATGAACCCCCAGTCCTTCCTTCCTTCCTACCTACCTTCCTACCTACCTTCTCCTTGCACACCCCACTTCCTTTAGCACTGAGGATGTGACCTAGTTGGGTCATGAAATGTCTCTGCAAGAAAACAACCAATTTCAAAGAACACCCAGGAGTCCGCAATCCTTCCACTCCTATCCTCTGTCCCTCCCTCCCTCCCTCCCTCCCTCCCTCCCTTCTCCTTGCACACCCCACTCCCTTGTAGCACTGATGATATTACTAGTTGGGTCATGAAACGTCTGCAAGGAAATAAGTTCAAAGAACACCATGAACCCCCAGTCCTTCCCTTCCCTCCTTCCTTCCTTCTCCTTGCACACCCCACTCCCTTTAGCACTGATGATGTTACCTAGTTGGGTCATGAGACGTCTCTGCCAAGGAAACCACCAAGCTCAGAGAGCACCCAGGACCCCTACAATTCAACCCTGAGCTACAGATATGCTCCTTTATTGCTAACTCACAGATCTTGCTTCCCTGGTACGTTGGCAACCCGGTCAGTTGGCAATCCCCATTTCCAGCCTTCCATGCATTTTGCAGACAGAAGCCCTATCCCCCCCCCCCCCCCCAGCCCTGTCCCCCCCCCGCCCCCCCCAATCAATGCTTCCTCTCCTCCCCGGCCCTCCCCGCCCCCAATATGCCCCCCCCAGGACCCTCCCCCAAATTATGACTTTGCAAAAAGCAAAACAGACTCACTTTTCCCATGCAAGAATCCTGGAAGAGGGATCTAATTTCGTTTCCTCCTGGGCAGATTCGTCAACGAAGAAAAAAATAAATTCCAATAGAAGAGTGAATTTCCCCGGATTTGGCAATACGAAAGTTGCTTTCTAAATTCAGGGTCTTTTTTAAAAAAAAAAGCAAAAGAAAACAAATCCCACCCTTGCAAAAAAAAAAAAGGGCCAACGCAACGTGGCGAATCGACCAGCGGGGAAAAGAAGACTCGTTGGCGGGTAGAGTCCTCATCAGCGCCCTCTGGCGGCAGAAGCATGTCTTAGCAGGCGTTTTTGGCCCCGCCCTCGAGGCGAATGCAAAGCTGTAAAATTTAAAAAACAACAACAACATACATTTAAATAGAAAAGAAGCTGAAAAACTCTCTTTATTTCTTTATCAGCAAAATATAAATTTGATATATAAATATATATTCTTCTCTTTCCGTAGGCCTTTATGTATAAATATCTTTATACATATATCTTTACACATATATATTTATTTTTATGTATAAAGATCTTGATTTACGTAGGAAAAAACCGGGCTGAGAGAAAATTCTTTTATTCATGCCAATTTCACGCCAGAGAAAAGGGACTGGCCTCAGGCCGGCTAGTAGAATTAATGCCAAACGTCATTCCAATGGGAAACTGGTTCTATGGGCCCATTTTACAGGAGAGGAATACTGAGGCCCAGGAAAGAGAAGCAAAGGATGGCTGAGCATGAAATCTCTGTTTGCTTTTTTTTTTTTTTTGGCCAGCAGAGGAAAGCTTTGCAGGGACTGAAGGCAGGAGGGGGAAAGAGGTGTAATGCAAAGCGACAGTCCTTGGAGAGCCAGCCGGCTTGAGGGGAACCAGTCCTATGGGCCCATTTTACAGGGGAGGAATACTGAGGCCTAGAGAGAGAGAAAGAGAGAGAGAAAGAGAGAGAGAGAATAAAGGCTCAGAGTGGAATATGTGTTTGCTTTTTGCTGGTGGAGGAATAAAGTTTTGCAGGGACTCAAAGCAGGAGAGGAAAAAAAGGGGTTAACGGAAAATGCCAGTCCTTGGAGACCCAACCTCATGGGCCCATTTTACAGGGAAGGAACACCGAGGCCCAAAGGGGAGAGACCGCTCATTGCCATAAAATCTGGATGAAATGGGATCTATATTTATTTTTTACTGGCAGGGGGGAGACTGCGGTGACCAAACAGCCAGGACTGGAAAATAAAACCAGGTTTGTTTATTTATTTATTTATTTATTTATTTATTTATTTATTTATTTGTTTGTTTGTTTGTTTGTTTGTTTGTTTGTTTGTTTGTTTAAATTTCTATACCGCCCTTCTCCAAATAGGACTCAGGGCGGTGCACAGCCTAAGTAAAAACAAAACATACAAAATTTAAAAAACAGTATTAAAATAATTAGATATTCTGGCCGTAAATTAAAACAACCCAATTTAAAACCAATTTAAAATTTAGCTCAAGCCAGCCAGGTTGTGCAATCGCTGAGCCCTCCCCTTTGTGTCTCTTGAGGGAGGGGAAGTCTGCCCCCACGCCTTCCCCACCAGCTCCATGGTTACAAACCCCCCCCCACTCCTTTCGCTTTCAACCCCTCCACCCTCCTGCCTGCCTGCCTGCTGCCAACTTTTGATTGGACTCTGCAAGCTCTCAAGAGCAGTTTGGAGAGGTTTTGGCCAGGAGTTGAAACTTTGCAGAAAGAAGGAAGCTGCTCTTCTCCCATCATGTCTCAGCTGGTGCGTGGCCTCTTGCTTTGAACCTTTCCACCATGCAAGCCCAGCCGAAGCAGCCTTGTAAAGGAGAGGAGGAGGAGGACGAGGAAGAGGAAGAAGAAGAGGGAGAAGGAGGAGGAGGAGAAGGAGGAGGAGGACGCAACCACAGTGCATCAGAGGGTCCTTTTGGAAAAAGCCCCTTCCATCTCACGGCTGAAGATGTATATGACATCTCTTACATCCTGGGAAGGGAGCTGCACACCCTCAGCACCGAACCCCAGGCGGAGATCCCCGCCCGGGTGGCTCGCCTGCAGTTCAAGGTAGTCAGCATTTTGGAAATGTTGGAAGCCCTGGTGAGCGAGAACCACCTGGCCGTGGAAGCCCTCAAACTGGAAAGAGACAGCTTGAAAAGGGAATTGGAGGATCTCCGGCAGAGGGTGACATCTGGCACCGCAGGAGAGGTAAACGGGAATGGGGTGGGTGGGTGATGGAGAGGAGATGTTGGTTGACGTCTGGATCTTGGTCCTGTGGCTTCATCCGTCTCAGATGCAGAGGGAGGATTAGTTAGGATGTAGGGCAGAGATGCTTAAGCTGGCCAAGTTTAAGATGGGTGGTGGCACTTCAATGCCCAGATTTCCCTGGCTTCACCAGAGCAGGGCTCTCTCTAAACTTGTCGACTTTTAAGACTTTGTGGACTTCAATTCCCAGAATTCCCTAGGGTCTGGCTCCTCTAGAGCAGGGCTCTCCTGTCTTAACAACTTTAAGACTTGTGGACTTCAACTCCCAGAATTCCCTAGGATCTGGCTCCTCTAGAGCAGGGCTCTCCATCTTAACAACTTTAAGACTTGTGGACTTCAACTCCCAGAATCCCTAGGATCTGGCTCCTCTAGAGCAGGGCTCTCCCATCTTAACAACTTTAAGACTTGTGGACTTCAACTCCCAGAATTCCTCGGCCGGCATAGACTCCTAGCTGGCTGAGGAATTCTGGGAGTTGAAGTCCAAAAGTCTTAAAATTGTCAAATTTTGGAGACCCTTGTTCTATTTCTCTAGATAACTCAGAATCAGCTGCTTGGGGCACCCTGTTTCTCTCCAAGGGAGGATCTGTTATGACTGCCTTTGGCATGGTTTGGAGGAAAACCTTGCCAGCCGTTGACATGCGTCAATCACAAGGGCGCTGGGCGGAAAGTTCCGATTTAGGAAAGGCACCCTTGCTCCAAGGAAGCCTTGTCACATGTCTGAAAGCGTCAAGGGGAAAGGAGAAGTTCTCTTAGGTTTCAACTTTCTGCCCAATAACCATAAGTTAAACTTCCCTGGTACATTTTAGCTTCTGCAGCTATCACTTTCCATTCCTTCGATTTAATTGGGGGTTGTTTTTTTTAACCTCAAAATCTCCCTTAAGGGCGTCATGAAGTTTGCAGGTTCTTTGCTGTGTATGTCATCAGTGCAGCTTCTCCCAAAATCTTGCTGGATTTTTATTTTTTGATAGAATGCCATTTTTTTTCCCCCCTGGCCTCTGCCATGTTTCGCATTGCCTCCCTTAGAGTTCACCGTCTGTGGTGGAACGTAGCCTGGATTCCAGGAGGGAGGGGCTGCATTCCAGAGGAGCAAGAGGCAACTCAGCTCAGATAGTTCATGTGAGAGAAAGAGGGCGAAGACAGCTCCTGCTTAACAGTCCCCAGAGTACACAGGTAGTCTTCGACTTACGACCATTATTAGGACAAGAATCTTTGTTTCTAAACAGGGCGATTGTTAAATGAGTCGTGCCTGATTTTACCACCTTTATTTACCACGGTTGTTAAGCGGATTCCTGCAGTTGTTAAGTGAACCCAGCTTCCCCCATTGCCTTTAGGAAACCAGCTGGAAAGGGGGGGGCAAATGGTGATCACGTGAGCCCAGGAAGGCTGCAACCTTCATAAATACCTTCCTGAATTTTGATCACGTGACCCTGAGGATACTTTAAGGGATGTAAGGATGAGAACTGGTTGTAAGTCTTTTCAGCGCCGTTGCGACTTCAATCAATCGTTAAACCAATGGTTGTATGTGGAGGACTGCCTGTTTATGCTTTAGGTCAGGGGGTCCCCAAACTCGGCAGCTTTTAAGACTTGTGGACTTCAACTCCCAGAATTCTCCAGCCAGCTTATGCTGGAAGCTATACCCGGAAGCCATAGCTGGCTGGAGAATTCTGGGAGTTGAAGTCCACAAGTCTTAAAAGCTGCCAAGTTTGAAGACCTCTGCTTTAGGTGGTAGAGTCGTCTGCTTTAGTTTGGCAAGATTCCGTCTAAAGGTGAGGAAAGTTAAAACAGATCTGCTCGAAGGAATCGTCAAGTGGTCTTTCTGGGTTTTGGGGAAGCTGATCGCATCCTTCTCAAGAGCTCCGTTTCTGTTGTGGGGGTCCATTTCGCTGTTCTGTCCTCCTGCAGGTAAATCCGGGTCCCAACAAGATGATCGTGGACCTCACCGATGTCAACCGGCCCCGTTTTACGCTACAGGAGCTCAAAGACGTTCTTCAGGAACGCAACCACCTAAAAGCCCAGCTTCTCTTCACGCAGGAAGAGTTGGAATGCTACAAGAGGTACGAAAAAGTGCAGGTTTTCACAGTTTTTACGTTCATTCACAGCCGAGTCCCAATTAGTTGCAAAAAGTCCTTCGGGATAATCACCAACCTTTATCTCCCTTGACACGCTGCCAAAGACCTACTTGGCAAAGCCACACGGAGTCCAGAATCAAACAGAGATGCCGACTGGGAACAGAATCAACAACGTTGCTTTCCTACAAAGGGCCCACGTACCTTTGCTTCTCTTTTAAGCCTTATGGGAGGGGCCAAACATCTCCAGGCCCTACTCCCGAGTTGCCCCTTTTGTTTCAACTGTTCTTGCCTTCTGGCAGCTCTGCGCATGCGTGCACTGGGAACAGGCTCCCCCCGTTCCTCTGCCTCACTGACGTCCGACTCTGGAGTCTTCGGAGGCAGCACATAACTCCCAGATGGCCCTTTCTCTGCCTCCGATGCTGAGCCCTCGTCCGAGCCCTCCCCAGACTCCAGGACTGGCCCATGTTCCTCCCCAGCCTCCTCACTGTCCAACTCTACTGCCAGCTTTGCAGGCTGCTGGCGGACCACAACATTCTGCTAATTATTCCTCATTCTAAGGACCATTCGTATAGAACTTACCTGTTTCGATTTATTATTTGCTAGAATAATACTCTTTACAAGGGGCGCCGGGGACCTTGTAAAGGGGCCATGAGATGGAAGAATAATGACCAGCAATTGTGGCTCACCCCTAGTTAACCAAACCATGGTTTACCCAATTAAACCCCTGTTGTCAGGCTGTTATCGTACGTTAAACCGTAAATGGAGAGTCTGGGTTGGCCCCACACCCTGGAATAAATGTCGGTTTGCTCTTTGTGAGTCAGCATGTTGTGCAAACCACAGCACAGCTGAGGAGGCGTTTGTGGGGGTTTGGCGTGTAAGCGGACTGCAACTAACAGCTCGTGTCGTTCTCTTTCCTGTTGCCTAGTGGTTATATTTCTCCGAAGCAGGAAAAGGAGAGTCCCACGCAAAGAGAATCGACCGTGGGCACACCCTCCGGCCCCGCTCGACTTAAAGAGAAAAGTACAATCAAGCAATGGTGAGTAACTTAAGATTTCTGATTTGAAAGGGAGTCAACGACTGGCTAAAATCTCGCGGAAATGCCCCACAAGCTGAATTAAAATAAAGGCCTTTAAAATAATGGGCAGATTTCAATCTAAGACAGAGTTTTTCAACCTCTCAGGAGTTTTTAAGATGTCTGGACTTCAACTCCCAGAATTCCCCAGCCAGCCATGCTGGCTGGCTGGGGAATTCTGGGAGTTGAAGTCCACTAAGGTCGTTCTCCTTTATCACCAGTTCTCTGGAGAAGGAGGGACCAGCTAAAACCTCAGATGAGGGGCTCACAACATGAATAAAATGAAGCCAGGTTTTTTTAAGACAGCGGGGCAGGTTTGATTCCTCAGATTTCATGTTTGCTGGGGGATTCTGGGAGTTGAAGTCCACATTATCTTCAAATTGCCGGAGTTCTTAGCCAATCTCCTCTATCACCAACTCCCTGGAGACTCAATTTACCCACTCTTAAGCAAAAGTAATTTTCAATATTTGGATTGATAAAACACTCCCAAGCATTCAGTATTCGAAATTATCGGCTGGTGCAGAGAATTCCTTTAAAGTGATTTTTTTTTTGACTTTTACATTTGGGTTTATCTTTAGGAATTCAGAATCTGTTCCTGCCACTCAGACATTAACGCCTTCCTTCAATTGCAGGTTTGCCTTTAAAAAGTTACGGTGAACTGTTTCCGCGCTGGGATGTCACAACCTGGAAAAGTCGAATTTTAAAAAAGCAGCGGTTGCAATCCTGGAAGACTGTTTTAGTGATTCGTTGCAGCTGGTAGAGGCTTCGACCTCTAGTTTTATCCCAGTGGGTTTAGGATCGTCTTCCGTTTTCTCGTTAAAGCTTTTCTAACCTGCTGACTTCCAAATCTATGGGACTTTTACGGCGGGTTATTTTGATCATGCAACTTTGCCACCGTAAAAGTTTTACTGGAATTTTTTTTTATTTCTGCAGCCAGCAGAATAAAGTTACGCGCGTCGGTTTCTAGAATCCTTGCAGCGATGTTTGCCAACACGGCTTCCCAATTTTTAGAGGCTTCGCGTCCCGGAGGAGGAAGGGTATATACAGGGAGTTCTCAACTTAGAACCATTCGTTTAGTGGCCGTTTGGAGTTACGACGGCACTGAAAAAAAGAGGCTTGTGACTGTTTTACACACTTATGACCCTTGCAGCCTCTCCATAGTTATGTGATCAAAATTGGCACGCTCGTGTTTATGATGGTTGCACTTTCCCGAAGTTACTTGATTCCCCATTTGTGACTTTTCTAGCCGGCTTCCGACAAGCCAAGTCAATGAGGGAAGCCAGATTTGCAAAACGACCACAGTTTTCACTTAACAACTGCAGCAATTTTGTGACAAACAAGGGCATACAATCACTTAACAGTGGCCTTGCTTACCGATGTAATTTCTGGTCCTGAGTTGAGGATTATCTAATCCTCGATTTACAGAGTACAAGCCCCAATTAAGAGTTTTCACTAGTGGCTGGTTCAGCATTAGCACTTACTTATATACCGCTTCATAGTGCTTTCCAGCCCTCTCTAAGCTGTTTAGAGTCAGCCTCTTGCCCCCAACAATCTGGGTCCTCATTTTACCCACCTTAGAAGGACTGAAGGCTGAATCAACCTTGAGCCAGTCAGGATTGAACTGCTGGCAGTCGGCAGAATTAGCCTGCAATACTACATTGTAACCACCGTGCCACCATGGCCTTCCTTCTGTCCTCCCTCCACACTTAGCAATAGCCCTTAAGACTTATATACCGCTTCACAGTGCTTTTACAGTCCTCTCTAAGTCAGCCTCTTGCTTCCCCAGCAATCTGGGTCCTCATTTTACCCACCTCGGAAGGCTGAGTCAACCTTGAGCTTGGTGAGATTCAAACTGCCAAATTGCAGGCAGCCGGCAGTCAGCAGAGGTAGCCTGCAGTACTGCACTCTAACCACTGCGCCACCGTGGCTCTCAGCATTGTGGGTTTATTGACAGAAATCATTTAAACTTGCACACGTAGCCAAATGAACCATAAGGCACAGGAATGGTAAGGCGTACCAAAAGTCTACGGCGACGTATTTGTAGTAAGCCATAGTTTGTTTATCTACGGTCTGTCGTAATCGAGTTATGGAGGTTCTGTTTTGGTTTGGTAGTTCAGAGACTTGGTCAAACCAAACCCGGTTCAGGCATTCTACCGGGACTATGTCAGGTTGCTATCTCAGGCACAACGGCCTGGATTCGCAGAACAGAGAAACCACGATTTGAAAAAAGAAATACCCTTACTCTTATGTTCCTATGAACAACCGAGGCCTCCGTCGCTGTCAAGTCAGACACAAAAGAAAAGCCTTTGCTTTTAATAAATAGTTCACTTTATTTATATTCTTGCAGAGAGAAATAATTTTTCTTCAGATCACTCCTTTTTCATCATTTCTTTAAAAAAAACACTCCCACATCATCGCCCTTAGGTCCCCAATTTTTGTAGCACCAGCAGATCGGAGCTTTTATTGAAAATGGTGCTCGCTCGCTCTCGCCCTGCAAGAGTGTGTGACGCTCAGCTGGGACTACATTTCCCAGGATTTCCAGCCAGGTGTGTCATCCCCATCTGTCTGGAGAGCACCAGGCGGGGTGCACAGGGAGGAATAAATGGTGAATTTCAGGCAGAAAGTAAAACTCGGAAAACATGTTTCTCGATTCCGCCTCCTGATCCTTATGCATTTCACAATTCTCTCCCGCCCATCACCACCAAAGTGCTTTATTGCAGCCTTCACCTAGCCCCCAACCCTTCCCCAGGGATGAGAGCTAAGAATTCTGGGAAATGTAGTCCCAATGCCACTCTTTCTGGGAAAAAATCCATTCCGTTCGCTCTGATCCACTTGGCCCGTTTCTACACGTCGGGGAACGCCGAGTTCGAGAAACCTCCATCCAAATAGTTTGATGCGGGAAGTGATTTCATCCTAAAATGCTTGGTTTGCTAAAAGCCTGTTTAAGGACGAGCCCCAAATTCCATTAAAAGCCCTTTCCCCCCCTCCTTCCATTCCCAAAAGGAAAGAGAGAGAGAGAGAGAGAAGGGAGCAAATACAGAGCACAGCTCAATAACTCCTCTGGCTGGTTTTCCGATGTTGCGTTGCCACCCAGAGCTGACCAACGAGTTTCTCAAGCCCTACCCAGCAATCTACTTTGCAAAACTGGAGGGGGTGGTGGAAGAAGAGTTTTTGGGGTGCCAGAAAGCACCGAGGATCAAACAACGATGTTCAAACAGTTGGGCCTCTTCTCCCAGCTGAGGAAATTGCAAAAGCGAGTAGGCCGTTTAGAGCCTGTCGCCTTCCCTGGCTCCGTTCGCTTCCTTCCTCCGCTCGCCAACAGCAATTTTTTGGATGGCTCACGACAGCAAAAAAAAAAAAAGAGATAAAAATGGCAGTCAGCCCGCAACCAGATCCCTCAGTCACATGGGGTACTGGGTTCTTTGAAGGAACAAGTCGACCCTGGTCTTCGCATTGCAACCTCTGTATAGTTCCTTCCTGACGACACGTCCAGTGATTCTCAGCTGAGTTAAAACTGGTTTCCAATTTTCTTCCCCCTTTTTTTAAAAAAAGGTTGCAAACGGGCTGCTTTGAAAAGACCACAGGTTTTTGGGATTTTTTTTGGTTCTTCCAACTGCTCTCCTGAGCCACAGTTCTCCATCTCCTGTCCGTTTAGCAGAAACATGATCTTCTCTCCCCTCAGCTTTTGAGGCACAGATCACCCCAAAATCTCCAGCCCGCAAAGCGGAGGTGATAATCCTGGATAAAAGGGGCCCAAATCCCTCTAAGGAAAGCTAGACGGTCCTTCAAATGTTGTCAGCTTTGACCGGTGCCTGGCTAAGAAAAGTGGGGGGGAAACCAGGCTTCCTTCACAAAATTCATTCTTCGCCCTTTCTTGAACAGGCCCCATCATCATCTTCGATCAAGTTTCAAGATTTAAGTGTTGCATTTGTAAAATATATATGTATATATATCTGTCGAGTGCAGAAATCTGAATGCTTCAGAGATTTCCATGCAGACGGGAAGAACGAATCGAAGCAGGGAACTCTGCGAAGCCGAAGGAAGGAGAGAGAAGAAGAAAGAAGAGAAGAAGAAGGATGGATGGAAGGAAGGAAGGAAGACGAGGAGGAGGATGGAAGATGAGAAGGATGGAAGGATAAAAATGAGAAGGAGGAGAAAAAGAATAGGAAGAGGAAGAAAAATAGAAATAACAATAATAAAATCAGACCTTTCATATTTAAGTCTGTTCAGGTGAAGACTCCATTGTCCCTGCTGGCCCTCCAGCTAGTCACAAAGGAGACCTTTTGGAGGTAACCTCTCTTAAGAGCTGCCAATAAATCCTCTTTAAGGAAAACCCAATGCTTACTCTCGTGCAAGGGATGCCCTTTAGTGTTTCAACCAGGGATGGGCCTCCAAAGAAGCTTTGCTCCGGTCCCCATAATCATACAGCAACTCCTCGCCAGCTTTGATGTCCCGGGAGGCCACCAGGATGAGGTGGGGGACGCCACTGATGTCGTGGAGCTTCGTCTGACAGTTCCCACACTTGCTGTGATTGACCAAACGTCCCAGGCGGTTTGTCTCTTTCGTGGCATCGACGCTAAGAGGTAGATTTCAAGGGAAGAGAGAGAAAAAAAACCACAGGAAGGCCTGATTTCTCTGGCCCAATCATGGATAGCAATTTATAAAAACCCTTAAAAGAGGTATTTTAAGTAGAAACAAACCCAGGTTGCTATTGTGCTGGCAAGCCGTAGGAATTTTTTTAAAAATAAGAACACCACTGTTCTAAACCAGATTGAAGATGGGTGGACTTCAACTCCCAGAATTCCCCAGCCAGCACATCATCTGAGCGCCAGCAACCATAGAGTCTGGGCCCTAGAGAAGCCAGACCCTAAGGAATTCTGGGAGTTTAAATCCCCGCTTCTTAAAAGTTGAAGTCCACCCATCTTCTGAGCGCCAACAACCATAGAGTCTGGGCTCTAGAGAAGCCAGACCCCGGGGATCCCTGGGAGTTGAAGTCCACCCATCTTCGAGTTTGCGAGGTTGAGAAATACTATTGTAAACCATGGTTTGTTGAATGTAACGCAACGGACTAAATCTGCATGACATGTCAGGCTGTTGAAACTCTAGTTTCAAAACATGAGCTATAGTCTGCCTTGGTTGCTTCTCTTGCTCTTATTTACTTCTTTTATTAGTGTTATTTTCTCATTTTAAGAGGGGAAATTGGTTTTCGGAGGAGGATAGGAAGGAAGGAGGGAGGAAGGAGGACTCTTACCAGAAAGTCTTACTCAAGTATTGGAAATAGTACATATAACAGCCCGTGGATGGGTCCTGGGCGTAAGCCGCTTCTCGTTTCTTTGCGTCCGTAATTTCAATGAGGTCTCCATGATATTCGACCACAAATTCACCCCTGTTAAAATGCCTGGTTGCAATGACGCCCCGGCCTTTGCCGTCAATAAAATCGATCTGCGGAAGACAGCAAAAGAAATTATTCGTTAAGGGAAACCTTTTTTTCCCCCGGCCAATTCCTTAAACTTTGTTCAAAAAGGCGAAAGCCGGTTTGTAAACGTTCTTGTTCAGAGGTGGGTTTCAGCAGCTTCTGACCAGTTCTGGAGAACCGGTAGCGGAAATTTTGAGTAGTTCGGAGAACCGGTAGTAAAAATTCTGACTGGCCCCGTCCCCCCATCTATTCTCTGCCTCCTGAGTCCTAGCTGATAGAGAGGAAATGGGGATTTTGCAGTATCCTTCCCCTGGAGTAAGGAGGGAATGGAGATTTTACAGTATCCTTCCCTTGCCACGCCCACCAAGCCATGCCACGCCCACAGAACCGGTAGTAAAAATTTTTTGAAACCCACCACTGTCCTAGTTCCACCTAAAAATAGGCTGCATTTTATTTCCGAATTTCAATTGCAGTAGCCTTGCTTTTAACTGCTTTTTATGATATTTATAACACAGCTTTTAAGTTTTTACACGTCTCTTTGCACATGGCCCGTTGGTAGGCCAGGCGCGAGGTGGGCGATTTCTAAATGCGATCTATGAAATTATAAATTTACCTTCATCCCGTCTTCTTTCCCACTCTTGATTAACTCATCTATCCGTTTCTTCTCCTCCGTCTACGAAATACAAGACAAGGCAGGGAGTTACTGCTACAATTTGCCAGACTGTCGGTATTTAAGGCTGCCCAAGGTTGTAGAAATCACCTAGTCGTGCCTAGTTTGGGTAATCGTAAATCCAACTTTAGCCATGAAGGCTGGTTGGGTGATTTTCGATCGATCGCCAGGAGATGGTGAGTTCTAGTCCTGCCTTAGCCATGAAAGCTGGCTGGGCGATGTTGGGCCAATCACCAGGAGATGGTGAGTTCTAATCTTGCTTTAGAAACGAAAGAAGGCTGGGTGACTCTCTCAGACCAACCCGCCTTACAGGATTGTTGTTCGAGAGAACCCAGCGTTATTGGAAGGAATTCTACAAGTCGCTTTCTTTCTTTCTTTTTTTTTTTATTTGATTTATATGCCGCCCTTCTCCGGAGACTCAGGGCGGCTTACAGTGCGTTAAGCAATAGCCTTCATCCTTTTGTATATTTATACAAAGTCAGCTTATTGCCCTCACAAACTGGGTCCTCATTTCACCTACCTTAGAAAGGATGGAAGGCTGAGTCAACCTTGAGACTGGGGAGATTCGAACTTACTTTAATTGCAGACAGCTGGTGTTAAATTACAGTGCCTTTGTCTGCAGAGCTATCCAGGCTCAAAAAACAGCGCTTTTCCATTTCAGAGAAACCTCTCTTCTTTTAAAAATCCCTGGCTATTCCTTTATCACCGAGGGCAAAGTCGGACTGGGGGGCAATTTGGGAATTTGTATCGTTCTTTGGTAGACCTGAAAAGGAAAACGTTTGTTAGTAGTAAGAATGAAGCTGCAAAACAGATCATACCTGTAATTCTTTTTTATTCTTTCTGGAACTTCTTCTAACCGGATAATAGTCTGTTACCTTTCGGTTTGGGGGGTGTTTTCCCTTGGCCTCTGAGACGGAAAAACAGGTCAACGTGAAAAGACCGGGGCTTTTTCGTTGCCTCCGGACGCTCCCAAAAATTCAGAATTGAGTTACCCAAAGCTTCCCACCCACCTCTTGAAACGTTGGACTCACTTCCTTCGGGATGCAGGTTTTTTGCCTCCCTTGTTCGGGGCCTGTTTTTGGCTGGGGACCACGCCTGATTTGGCTGGCGGGAGTTTCTGAGTTTCCGTCGGTTCGGGATTCGGGCTGGAAGGAGACGCTGGAGATTCACATTCGGTGGCTTTGCAGGTCTGGCTGTCGGATTTTGCAACGCTGGAGGTCGAGTCACCCACCGGTACTCGGTCTGCCATATGCGGGTGAAAAAGGAAGAGGAAAACTAGCGGAAGAGATCTTACCGGGTTTTTTTTTCCCCTTCGCACCTTAGAAAATTAGAAAGTACATCGGGGTGCCTGGCTAACTCCCAGGAGAGAAGATTTATTCTTACCTTCCAGTTTTTGGCAAGTTTCAAGTTTGCAGATTTGGCCTTTCGTCTCGGGGGGCGTGGTGGAGTTTTCCTCTTGAAGCGGGGGCCGAGAGGTGGGAATTTTACTGGGATTCACGTAGCTGTAGATTTTGGCTTGACAAGTGAAGATGTTCTCCTAAGAGGGAGAGATTGGAAAAATACAGACCTTGTTCACTGTTGTCGGCTTTAGCTGAATTTGCTGAATAATAATCTACCAGAGATTAAGTTCCTACAGTGGGTTAAGCCACAGAGCGTAGATTAAATCCAAACAATACCCTAAACCAGAGGTCTCCAACCTTGGCGACTTTAAGACTTGTGAACTCTCAGAGTTCCTCAGCCAGCAAATTCTGGGAGTTGAAGTCCACAAGTCTTCTGGGAGTTGAAGTCCAACTGCTCTAAACCAGTGTTTCTCAACCTCTGCATCTTTAAGAGGCACGGGCTTCAACTCCCAGAATTCCTTACGGCTGGAGAATTCTGGGAGTTCAAATCCGTTTTCCTTTGGAATTCTGGGAATGCGCAATGTTAGAGAAGTTCAAACATACCCTCCGAAAGATTTAACAATTAGAAAGAGATTAGATTGCGCCGAGATGGATAAAATGACATTGGAACTGAAAAGGACTGATGGATTCGGACTTTTACGTAATATGGGAGAAACGGTATAATTGGATCGGAGATAGGAAAAAAAGGGAAGAAATAACAGATAGTAGATTTTGTAAAATCATATGGAGCAGTGTTTCTCAACCTTGGAAGCTTGAAGATGGGTGGACTTCAACTCCGAAGTCCACCCATCTTCAAGCTACCAAGGTTGAGAAACACTGATATAGAGTATCGGAGAACATTAGTGTGATGATATGTAAAGGGTCACAGCCACGCACAAAAGTTGAATAAGAATTGTTTAACTTTCTTTCTTTCTTTCATTTATATACCACCCTATTCCCGAAGGACTCAGCCATAATAACACAAATATAATATAAAATTTAAAAAAACAAGTTAAAAGACATATTAAAGTAGATTTGGCCCACTAATTAAAACACTGTTCAAACCCAATTAAAAAATACAGAATGCCAATATAGCCTGAATATAATAGGCACAAATACAGAACAGGCATAAATGCAGAATATAGGAAATATAATAGGCATAAATGCAGAATATAACAGGCATAAATGCAGAATATAATAGGCACAAATACAGAAAAGGCATAAATGCAGAATATAGCAAATATAATAGGCATAAATGCAGAATATATTTATTTATTTTATATTGGATTTCTATACCGCCCTTCTCCCTAAGGACTCAGGGCGGTGTACAGCCAGATTAAAAAAACATGCAGAAACAAATATTAAAAACAATTAAAAGATATATAAATTTGGCCAATTAAAACTCATTTACCAATTAAAAACGTTTAAAACATTTAAAAACAGTTAAAAATTTCATCTTAAGCCAGCCCGGCTTGTTTAAATAAATGGGTTTTAAGGGCGCGACGGAAGGCACTGAGGTCTTGGATTCTCCTTATCTCTGGGGGGAGCTGATTCCAGAGGGTGGGTGCCCCCACAGAGAAGGCCCTCCCCCTGGGGGTCACCAGCCTGCATTGTTTGGCTGATGGCACCCCGAGGAGGCCCTCTCTGTGGGAGCGCACGGGTCGCTGGGAGGTCGTCGGTAGCAGCAGGCGGTCTCGCAGATAGCTAGGCCCTATGCCATGGAGCGCTTTAAAGGTGATAACCAACACCTTGAAGCGCACCCGGAAGACAACTGGGAGCCAGTGCAGCTCGCGCAGGAGCGGTGTTACATGGGAGCGCCATGCTGCTCCCGTCACTACCCGCGCTGCTGCGTTCTGGACCAGCTGGAGCCTCCGGGTGCTCCTCAAGGGGAGCCCCATGTAGAGAGCGTTGCAGTAGTCAAGGCGAGAGGTGACGAGGGCATGAGTGACTGTGCACAGGGAATCCCGATCAAGAAAGGGCCGCAACTGGCGAATCAGGCGAACCTGACAAAAGGTCCCCCTGGTTACAGCCGTCAGATGATCCTCCAAGGACAGCTGCATATCCAGGAGGACTCCCAGATTGCGAGCCCTCTCTGTGGGGGCCAATGACTCGCCCCCAATAGTCAGTGATGGAGTCAACTGACTATATCGGGATGCCGGGAGCCACAGCCACTCAGTCTTGGAAGGGTTGAGCTTGAGCCTGTTCCTCCCCATCCAGACCCGTACAGCCTCCAGGCACTGGGACATCACTTCAAGGGCATCGTTGGGGTGGCCTGGGGTGGAGATGTACAGCTGGGTGTCATCAGCGTACTGGTGGTATCTCACCCCAAAGCCACGGATGATCTCACCCAGCGGCTTCACATAAATGTTGAACAGAAGGGGCGAGAGGACCGATCCCTGCGGCACTCCACAAATGAGAGGCCTCGAGGTCGACCTCTGCCCCCCTGCCAACACAAACTGCGACCCGGTCGGAGAGAAAGGAGGAGAACCACCGCAACACGGTGCCTCCCACCCCCAACTCTTCCAGCCGGTGCAGCATGATACCATGGTCGATGGTATCAAAAGCCGCTGAGAGGTCTAACAGGACCAGAACAGAGGAACAACCCCTGTCCCGAGCCCTCCAGAGATCATCAACCAACGCGACCAATGCCGTTTCTGTGCTGTGCCCAGACCTGAAACCCGACTGGAACGGATCTAGATAAGATGTTTCCTCCAGGAATTGCGGAAACTGTCGTGCGACCACACTCTCAACAACCTTTGCCATAAAGCGAAGGTTGGAGACAGGACGATAGTTGGCCAATATTGCCGGATCCAGGGACGGCTTCTTGAGGAGAGGCCTCACCACCGCCTCTTTCAAGGCGGTGGGGAAGTAACCCTCACTCAACGAAGCGTTGATAACACCCTGGAGCCAGCCTCGTGTAACCTCCCGGGAAGCCAGTACCAACCAGGAGGGACACGGGTCCAGTAAACATGTGGCCGCACTAAGTCTCCCCAAAATCCTGTCCACATCATCAGGAGTCACAGCATCAAACTCCTCCCAGATAACATCTCAATAACTTCTCGTCACCCTGCCCTCTCCTTACCCAGTCAGAGTCCAAATCCCCCGGATCTGGGCGATTTTGTCATACAGGTATTGTCCGAAATCCTCCGCCCTGCCTTCTAAGGGATCCTCCCGCACTCCTGGATGGAGCAGGGCGCGGGTCACCCTAAACAGGGCAGCCGGACGATTCCCTGATGACGCAATAGAGGCGGAAAAGTAGTTAGACTTTGCCGTCTCTATCGCCACTAGGTAGGCCTTAATATGCGACCTTACCAGTGTTCGATCAGATTCAGCGAGACTGGCCCTCCAACCGCTCTCCAGGCGTCTTTTCCGGCGCTTCATTTCCCTCAGCTCCTCAGTAAACCAAGGAGCCGCACGGGATCGGCATCGGGTCAGAGGCCGCAAAGGCACAACTCGGTCCAAGGCCCCACCAGCCGCCCGATCCCAGGCGGCTACCAGGTCCTCGGCCGAGTCATGTGCTAGATCCTCAGGAAATGGCCCAAGCTCCGTCTGGAACCTATCAGGATCCATCAGGCGCCTGGGGCGGATCCATCTAATTGGATCCACCTCCCTGCGGCGAGGGGTCGCGGTTCGAAGATCTAGGCGAAGGAGTGAGTGGTCAGACCATGACAAGGGTTCCATGTCTATATCCCCTATAACAAGACCACTCAACCACTGGCCAGAGACAAAAATCAGATCCAGAGTGTGACCTCCCCTGTGAGTAGGGCCATGAACTAACTGGGTCAGGTCCATGGCCGTCATGGAAGCCATGAACTCCCGAGCCACCTCAGACGTTTCACCGACGGATGGCAAGTTGAAATCACCCATGACTAAAGCCTGGGTGTATCTACTGCCACCGTGGCTATCACGTCGAGTAGCTCAGGTAGGGCTGTTGCCACGCGGCAGGGAGCCAGGTACGTAAGCAACAAGCCCATCTGAACCCCACGGCCCCACCTCACAAGGAGGGACTCACATCCGGCTATCTGAGGCACAGTGGTCTCCCTCGGACCCAGATCCTCGTTAATAATAACCGCCACCCCCCCGCCTCCCCTGAGCCCTCGGCTGATGGAATGCTCTGAAGCCTGGTGGGCACATTTCAACCAGAGGGACGCCACCCTCCGGGCCCAACCAGGTCTCCGTAATACCCGCCAGGTCCGCTCCTCCCTCTTGTATAAGATCGTGAATGAGGGGGGCCTTATTGACCACGGACCTGGCATTGCACAGCATCAGCCGAAGGCCCAGCTCCTGAGTATCTAAGCCACCTAGTATCCGAGCAGAGCCTTCTTTAATAGGCATAAATGCAGAATATAACAGGCATAAATGAGAATATAGCAAATATAATAGGCATAAATACAGAATATAGTCAAAATGTGTTTCCTGGAGAGAGAGAGAGAGAGAGAGAGAGAGAAGGGAAGGGGGACCCATCCTCCTGCCTGCCAACCGCCCACCCACCACCAGCAAGGCTGTCCCTCCCTCCCTCCCCCTCCCAAACCCCAGTGCTGGACTACAAAGCCCATCCTCCCCAGCCAGGAGGGAACTCCTAAGCTCGCCTGTTGCAAGAGCTGCCTTTTCTCTTGGCTGGCTCCTTTCTTCCCATTTCTCTCCGGCGGAGCAAAGGAGGCGGTGGGTGGGTGGGTAGGGAGAGAAAGTGGGGGGTGGGGGGGCTCTGCAGGGCAGAGGGGGGGGGGGTGAGTGGGTGGGAGGGAAGCGGCTAAGGACCCCCCACTCCCTTTGCCACCCACCCAACCCCACCCAGCCAGGGCCCGATCCCGCCGTGCGCCCCTGGAGAGCGGGCCCTTCCCCAGCTTTGCGCTGCGCCCTGGGCGCACGGCGGGCGCTTTTGCCACCTCCTGGCCGGGGAGGCGAGGGCGATCTGGGCTTACCCCGTTCATCCTGAGCCGGGCCGGCTCCCGCTTGTCTCCGCCGGGGCCCTGGTCCGCCGCCTCCGCCCTCCCCGGCTTGGGCTGGGGCATCTTCCGCCGGCCTGCGCAGGGCGAGAGAGAGAAGCGGCCGCTGCCCGCGCGCTCCTGGCCCGGCGGGCACAGCTGGCAGAGCGGCGGCAGGAGGAGGAGGAGGAGGAGCCGCCGCCCGCCCCGAGCTTCTGGAAAGGGCTGCAGCAGGGGGGCGCGTCCCGGACACCCGGCGGGCAGGTCGGCCCCGCGGCGCCTGGTCGCCTAGCTCCGTTCTCCGAGCTGGAACGGATCCCGCCGGGAGATCCCGCTGCGGCAGAGCTGGCCGGTCCTCCAAGGGGGGCGGGCAGGGGGGATCCTCGGCTGTTTGCAAGGGGGGAGACAAGGAACTCCGGTGGCTTCTCTTTCCTTTCCTTTTCCTTTTCCTTTCTCTTTCTCTTTCTCTTTCTCTTTCCTATCTATCTATCTATCTATCTATCTATCTATCTATCTATCTATCTATCTATCTATCGCTCTCTCTCTCTCCCTCTATCTATCTATCCATCCATCCCTCTCCCTCCCTCTCTCCATTATCTATCTATCTATCTATCTATCTATCTATCTATCTATCTATCTATCCCTCTATCCATCCATCCCTCTATCCCTCCTCTCCCTCCTCTCCATCTATCTATCTACCTACCTATGTATCTACCTATCACCTATGTATGTATATATGTATGTATATATGTATGTATGTATGTATGTATGTATGTATGTATCTATCTATCTATCTATCTATCTATCTATCTATCTATCTATCTAATCCATCTATCCATCCATCCATCCATCCATCCATCCATCTCTCTCCCTTCCTCTATCTATATCTCTATCCCTCTATCCATCCCTCTCCCTCCTTCTCTTCTCTCTCTCTCTCTCTCTCTCTCTCTATCTATCTATAACCGCTATCTATCGCTCTATCGCTCTATCTATCCATCCATCCCTCTCCCTCCCTCCATCTATCTACCTACCTATGAATCTACCTATCTACCTATCTATGTATCTATCTATCTAATCCATCTATCTATCCCTCTATCTATCCATCCATCTCTCTCTCCCTCCCTCCCTCTATGTAACTACCTATGTATCTACCTATCTACCTATGTATGTATCTCTCTCTCTCTCTCCCTCCCTCCCTCCTTCTCTCTATCTATCCCTCTATCTGTCTGTCTGTCTTTCATCTATCATCCATCACTAGGGAAAGGAGACCACAAGGAAATCTTAATCTTAAATTTTAAGACAAAACCCTAGCATGAAAAGTCCGGAAGAAAGCAAGAGAAAAAACAAAATGGGCGTGGCTTGCCACAGAAACCACCCAATCGCTAAGAGTTGAGTCTTTCCATCTTTTGCACAAATTCACACGTTTAGTCAGAATCCCCGTCTTGTTCAATAGGCCTCGTTCGCAAGACGGGTGGATTTCCACTTCCCAGGATTCCCCATAGTTGGCTGGGGCATTCTGGGAGTTGAAGTCCACCCCTCTTCAAGGGGGCCAAGGTTGAGAAACCCCAGAGAAGGCGATTAGAGAGGTTTCTGCACCAAACCTTCCAACCCACCCAACTCTCCATTCAGGACAGGGGTGGGCAACTATGGGTCCTTTCCACCTGCGGACTTCAACTCCCAGAATCGATTGCAGAAAATATGACTTCGGCAACAGAGTTTTCAATGCCTGGTATGCACTACCTGACTCTCTGGTTTCTTCCCCAAACCCCAAAACTTTAACCTTAGACCCGTGATGGAGAACCTATGGCAAGTGTAACCATATCAGTGGGCATGCGAGCTCAGCTCCGGCTCGCGCACTGGCCAGCTGATTTTCGGGCCATCAGAAGTAGGGAAACAGGCCATTTCTGGCCTCCGGAGAGCCTCCGAAGGGGTGGGGAAGGCTGTTTTAGCCCTCCCCAGACTCATAGAGAGGATCTGGAGCCAGGTGAGACAGAGAAACGGGCCTACCGGGCCATCGTGTGCCAGGAGCGGAGGGTCGCACGCGCACGACGCATAGAATTATGGGTGTGGGCACGTGCACGCGAATCCCCCCCCGGCACGTGACGGCAAAAAGGTTAGCCATCACTGCCTTAAGACTGTCTGCTGTTGACCTCACCCCATTCCTAAGAGGTCTGTAAGGGGCACGCATAACCGCAACAGCGTGCCTTCTGGACCTGTTCTAATGTTCCTTTTTACTCTTTTACCTTTTTCATGTATTCGAATTACGTTTATACTTTTACCTGCTATCTTTTATTTTATATAGATAGATAGATAGATAGATAGATAGATAGATGTCTTTTTCTTTTTCGTAGGCTTTTGTGTGCATATTCTTTCTAGCCAGGTTTTACCTACATAAGCTAAGATGTTCTACAGCCCTGGTTATATATATATATATTATTTTATTTTATTTGTCAAGTGTGTGTGTGTGTGTGTGTGTGTACACACACACACACACACACACACACACACACACACACACTTGACAAATAAAATAAAATAAAATAAAATAAATAAATGACCTGGCTCATTCTTGGACACATTCCTAGCTCAGGAATTCTGGGAGTTAAAAGCCCGCAGATCTTAAAGGGGCCATCCCTTTAAGTCAGTGTTTCTCAACCTTGGAAGCTTGAAGATGGGCGGACCTCAACTCCCAGAATCCCCCAGCCAGCGCTGCTGGCTGGGGGATTCTGGGAGTTGAAGTCCACCCATCTTCAAGCTTCCAAGGTTGAGAAACACTGCTTTAAACTCCAAGCTTGGACTACAAGTCCTCATCATCCTCATCTCCCGTCACCCCTCCATCGCGAGACCCTTGCTCCCAGCCCCCTCCCCCCCCATCAGGAGCCCCCCCAACCCATCATCCCCCCCCACCTCCTTTTGCATTACCTTTCGCCATGGCTCCAACCTGCCAAAGGGGTCCTTTCCTCCTTTGACAGCCCAGCAAAGAAGGAGGGAAGCGCTTCTTCCTCGAGGATCCCCCTCCCCAAAGTCCCCTCCCAAGACTTTTCTCAAGGGGGGGGAAAGACCCCTAGCCCCCCCCCTCGGCCTGCCACTCAAGCCCCTCCGAGCTCCGGATTGGGCGGCTGGGAAGGCGCTTTCCCGGTTTCCAACTCAGCAGTCCGAGCAGGGAAAAAAAAAAAAAGAGTTTGAAATGAGCTTGCCGGGCGCTGATTGGACGGCGCGGAGGCGAGGCGGCGCCTGATTGGAGGAGGCGCAGCGCGGCGCCTGATTGGAGGAGGCGCGCCGCGGCTTCTTCCGCCTTTTGGGGAAAGGGAGCCACGTGGGTGAAAGCGGCGGATGATTGTTTCTCGCCTCTCGGTCTCCGAGGCGGCCGGTTGTGGGAATCGGCTCATTCCTGGACACGTGTCGACAGCTGGGAAGGGCAGGCCGGTTTTCCCCGCAGGAGATCACGGCTCCAATCTTTGCCGCAGCCCCGAATTTTAAGTCAACGGCGGCATGTCGGCTAGAAGAGAGTCCCGGATGATGCGGAACGTGGGAATCCGATCGCGGAGGCGGCAGCTTGCAGCGCTCCCTGCGGTTTTGGCTTCGCTCTCGAAGGATAAAAGGCGTTTCATTCATTCTTTTAGCATCAGGGCGGGTTGTCGGTCCACCGCCGGTGGCGTTTTTAATCTTGCAAACGTAGGACGCTCCAAACCCATCAATAAATAAATGGGAGCCTGGAATAAGACACTCAGTAGGGCATTGGCTCTTTTATTTGGAGACCTTGATGGGTAAAGGTTTATAGGCCCCTCCAATAATTGCTATTTTAAGCATCACGTTTTTCCTTTTTTTTCCCCCCTTCCTTCCTTCCCCAACACAAAAAAGGAAAATAAAATAAATACTGGAAATTCAGCCTCAAAAAAAAATACCAGCAACGGTGCTATGGTATCCAAACCGCAGCTGGCTTTACTGCGCCTGCGCAGTGCGCTCTAGCGGGCAGTTGGCTGGTGCCAATGACGTCCCGTCGCAGGACTTTCTTTTTTTTTTCCGTCATGCACCAAGCGGCTCTCGCGATCCGAGGGAGGACGTCACGCCCCGTTCCTCCTTTGCGTGGCGACGTACGGCGCCGCCATCTTGGGGAACAGGAGGAGGGGGGTCACGTGACTCCCAACCGTCGTCTCCTCGACCTCCTCTTTGCCCTCCCAACGAAGAGGAAAAAAAAAAAAAGACGGGCCTAGATCAACTTTTCGAGCCTGGAAGCGCGACCGCCGTCGAAGAACTGCTGCCACCTGCGAGGGGAACGAAGCGACCACGGAAATCCGACCTCGCGGGGCCTTTCCGCGATGAGGCGCTGGAGAACATGCGCGCCTCCATCTTTTTTTTTTTTTTACTCCTCCTTTTTTTTTTTTTTTACTCCTTTCCCCCCCCTCCCTTTCTTCAGGAACCAGCCTCGGCGCTCCGTCACGTGACCCGGCCGGCGAGACCACCTGACCTCCGGAGGGAGGAAGGGAAGAAGTGAGCAGCGTCTTTTTTTTTTTTTTCTTCGTCGCGCTTGCGCACTGCGGCCTTTTCCGCCTGGAGGGAGGGGAAAGAAAGCCGCGACGACGGTCACGTGGGGGCGGCCTTGGTTCGCCCGGCAACAGGAGAGAGAAAAGCGCGTCCCTCGCCTCGCGGCGGTCACGTCGGGGGCGTGGCCGCCGTCAACGCCGCCCTTCCGCGCAGGCGCACCTCCTCCTTTTGGCCTTTTTTTTTTTTTTTCAATCCCCCTCCCCGGCTCCCCCCCTCCCCTCTCCGCCTGAGGGAGGGCGCGAGCGAGCGGAGGGCGCGCGGGCCAAGATGGCGGCGTCGAGTTAGAAAGCGGCGGACGGCGCGACGGCTGCTGAGGCGACGGCCGCGGGGAGGACGCAGCGGCGGCGGCGAGGAGGAGGAGGGCGGCGGAAGAAGAAGAAGCGGAGGAGGAGGAGGAAGGGAAACGGCGGCCGGGAACCTTCCCGACGGGGCCTTCCCGACGCGGCCAGAGTGAGTCTCTTTTTCCACCACCCCCCCTCCTTCCCTCAGCCCGCTTGCCCGGCTTCGCGGTCCGAGTCGCTGCCGCCTGAGGAGAAGAGCCAAGGCTCTAAAGCGGGCGAGGCGATGCATGACGAAGGGCTCCGAGGCGGGGTCCGCATTAGGCCCGGGGACGCGGGGAAAGGGCTTATTCTCCTCAGAAAGCGGGTGGTTTTTTTTTGTTTTTAAATAAACCCCCTTCCCGGCAGCTTTCTGCACGGGTCCGTCCCGCCGGGAGGGTCCGGGTGGCTGCATCCCCTGGAAAGAGAAAGAAAGAGAAAGGCAGCTTTGCTTGGAAGCCTTGGGGGAGAGAGAGAGACCCTCCTGCCCCCCCCCATAGAAATTGTCTTTCCACACAGAGAAATACACGCACAGTTTAATATTATATATTAAATTATGTGAGTGTTTGTATTTTGACTGTTTAAGAAAGAGAAAAAGGCAGCCTTGTAGGGGAGACCCGGTCCCTAATAGAAATGCTATCTATCCACACATATATATACAGATAGTTTAATATTATATATTAAATAGTGTCTGTGTGTGTCTGGGTGTTTTGACTGTTTAAGAAAGAGGCAACCTTGCTTGGAAGCCTTGGGGGAGAGAGAGAGAGAGACCCTCCTGCCCCCCCCCCCATAGAAATAGTCTTTCCACACACAGAAATACACGTACAGTTTAATATTATATATTAAATTATGTATATGTGTGTTGTATGTGTATTTTGACTGTTTAAGAAAGAGAAAAAGGCAGCCTTGTAGGGGAGACCCGGCCTATAATAGAAATGCTATCTATCCACACACATATATACAGATAGTTTAATATTATATATTAAATAGTGTCTGTGTGTGTCTGTGTTTTGACTGTTTAAGAAAGAGGCAACCTTGCTTGGAAGCCTTGGGGGAGAGAAAGACCCTCCTGCCCCCCCCCCATATAAATTGTCTAACCACACACATATATACACGTACAGTTTAATATTATATATTAAATTATATATGTGTGTGCTGTGTGTGTATTTTGACTGTTTAAGAAAGGGAAAAAGGCAGTCTTGTAGGGGAGACAACCCCCCCTAATAGAAATGCTATCTATCCACACATATACATAGATAGTTTAATATTATATATTAAATAGTGTGTGTCTGTGTGTTTTGACTGTTTAAGAAAGAGGCAACCTTGCTTGGAAGCTTTTGCAGAAAGACCCTTGGTCCCTAAGAGAAATTCTGTCTCTATCCATGCACATAAATACACATACAGTTTAATATTATATATTATGTATGTGTGTGTGTTTTGACTGTTTAAGAAAAAGGCAGCCGTGTAGGGGAGACAACCCCCCTAATAGAAATGCTATCTATCCACACATATATACACATAGTTTAATGTTATATGTTAAATAGTGTCTGTGTGTGTTTTGACTGTTTAAGAAAGAGGCAACCTTGTTTGGAAGCTTTTGCGGAGAGACCTCTGGCCCCTAAGAGAAATTCTGTCTCTATCTACGCACATATACACATGCACAGTTTAATATTATATATGGAATTTTATCTATCCACACGTATATAGAAATTTTATCTATCCACACATATATAGAAATGTATCTATCCACACATATATGTACACATAGTTTAATATTGTATATTAAATTATGTATATGTGGGTTGGACGTGTATATTTTGACTGTTTGAGACAGAGGTCTTCAAACCTAGCAGCTTTAAGACTTGTGGACCAACTCCCAGAATTCTCCAGCCAGCTATGCTAAGCTACGCTGGCTGGAGAATTCTGGGAGTTGAAGTCCACAAGTCTTAAAGCTGCCAAGTTTGGGGACCCCTGGTTTAAGAAAGAAAGAGGCAGCCTTGCTTGGAAGCCGGGGGGGGGGGGGGGGGGGGGGGGGAGAGCCCACCTGTCCCCTATTGACATACAATAGAAAAATGTATCTCTCTCTCCATCTATCCACACAGGTACAGTTTAATGTTATATATTAAATAGTGTATATATATGTGTGTGTGTGTGTGCATATGCATATGCATGTATGTATATGTGTGTGTCTTTGTGTGTCTTGACAGTTTAAGAAATGGAAAAAGGAGGCTTGCTTTGGAGCCTTCAGGGGAGAGTAGGGGGATAGGAATAAGGGGTGGGAGCCCACCCTCCCCTCCCCTCCCCTCCTGGCTCCCATTGACATTTCATATATATATATATATATATATATAGACACCCACACAGTATGTGTATATACATATAAACACACAAATGCTGTATATAATACAGCATGTGTATATGTGGTTATGTGTGTGTTTCTATATAAATTTCTGCATATATATATGCTCATGCTATATATAAATTTAATTATAAAAAAATAAAAAATAAATATAATACAGTGATTTACATTGTAGTGCATGTATGTATGTATGTGTGTGTGTGTGTGTGTATTGGCGATTTAAGGTCAAAGGTGCCTGTGGACTCCAGCACAAGGGGGTCCAGAGGATCATAGTATGCACGCAGGGTGGCCCCTCCGCAGCCCTGGGAAACTTTGCCTTCGGTCCGCAATTGCAGGGTGTCCTTCTTCTCCCAGCCCTTGTTTTCCTGCCTTTTTTGTTCCCAGATGTGCTGGGTGGAAAGACTGGAGCCTGGAGCCATCCCCTCTTGATTGGGGAAGGCTGGAAAGCATGGAGTCCCCCCTTTTTTTGCTAAACAAGGGGAGGGGGCCGCAGTTTGTTCCTCCTGGCTGGCTCAAGAGAAACGACTATTGTTTCCAGGTCACTCTCTATTGGTTACCCTTCTCCAGCCCTGGAGGATCTATCTGGTTGCTGCTGCTAACAGGATTCATTCAGGTTGATCTATGGGGCAAATGTGGGGTCTGAGTGTTCACTTAGATCCAGCCCTATCCGGAAGTTTATGTTCTAACACGTGGCTGGGAAGGCCACCTAGGGAGATTTATAAGGTTTATTTTCTCTTTTACTATGCCCTCTTGCACAGAAGAGAGTCTTCAAGTCTCTGTGACATTATTCGGGATTATCGTTGATTAGATTTTACATCCTGACAAGGACAGTTGAGAAGATCTCAGGCAAAGAAACTGCCTGGTTGACTGTATGCTCATTAAACTCTTTCCTCCAGGCAAAGGCTGTGTTGGTTGTATTGACCGATGCATAATTTTCTATCAATCTGTTTTGAAAAGTGATATCTGTGTCTCACGAAGCAAGCGCTAATTGTTTGGAAACTAATTCAGTTTCAAACCTTGAAGAATATCACTGCAATCTTCAGGAGAACGCCAGAACCTTTTGTTTTGATAACATGCAGGGTTAAGGAGCGCTCGTTCATAATTCTTGAAGGTCTTGAGGGTTTTTTTGGTAGCTCTGAGGAAATTTTACCCTGGCCTCTAGGTTAGCAACAGAGGGCAGTTTGAACTTTGAGTTGCTACGTGTCTTTGTGTTTGGTTTTTCTTTCATTACAACCCTTTGAAAGGGAGTGTAAAAATCTGCATGCTACGTCAAGCTTGAAAATGAACCCCCCCCCCCCCCCCCCGATAAGTTGGTGGAATCTGGGTTTATCACTGTAGGGTACATGCACTACAGGGAGATCATCAAAGAAGCTTAAGCTGTAAATTGGAATGTGTACGTCGCTTTCTAGTAGCGCAGTTCATGGTTCCTGTTTTCTTTTTAAATTTAATTCCTGGAACCTCATGGCCAAAGACAGAGGCTTCCTGTCTTCTTGGGTGACTTCAGAGAAACAGGGCTAAACTTGATGTGAGCAGTTACAATAAAAAAAAAAAACCCCAACCACTCTCTACTCCAGCAGAGTATTTAGCTACAATGTGATGTGGTCTGCCTTCTAGTAGCAATCAAGGAAAATTTGGCTAGAAAAAAAGCTAGAAGTTCCTCCGTGAGGCAGACGGGCAGTTCCTAAATATGCTAAACATATAAAAACAAAATACTTTTGGTGGGGGTGGCTAATGGATGCATGAACATGGGGGGTTACCTTGTTATCTGTGTCCAGCACTGTCAGGCTCTGATCCTGCCTGCTGTTACGCTCTAAAGATTAATCAGATATTTCATCATATTTGTATTTTGGATTCATGGTTTATTTACAAAGAAGATTGCTCTTCACTGGGCTGGGGAAACTGGAAGCGCTTTGGCATTTAGCCAAACTATTGCTCTTTAGAGAATGACTTGGAGAAGGGATTTAACAAAATAACAGAACCGGAAGGAACCTTGGAGGTCTTCTAGTCCAACCCCTGTTCCAGCAGGAAACTCTATAACATTTCAGACAAATGGTTGTCCGAATCTGATTTTCATTCAGCCTTCCTTATTCAATGATCATTTTCTGTCACATGTTTTAGGTGCTTCTGAACTAAGTTGGGGGAGCTTTTAAGGGATGGCAACTGAGAGGCAATACGATGCCATTTTAGAAGTAAAAAGATAAAAGAAATAATGGTTTAGCAGAAGCAGCTGTCCCGGTGGGAAAAGCTTATCTATCATTTGCCTTTGTTTATTTCAGAAATGGTGGAACCAGGACAGGATCTTTTGCTTACAGCTTTAAGTGAAAGTGGAATTAGTCCAAATGACTTGTTTGATATCGATTCTCCAGACATGGGCCTCGCAACTCCACCTCCAGCGATTCAGCAGGTTGGAAAGCATTTCTACAATTTTGTATTTGAGTTACTTTTATTTCCCTGGGAAAAAAATCCATTGCTGATACAGTCCATTACTAGGCAGAGAAAAGCTGGATATTATTTATTTTATCAACATAGCAAAATAACATCATTCTAAACTTTGTTACTTTATTACCTGTAAATGGAAAGCCTTCATTCTCAGATTTCCTGGGACTTGTAAAATTGGTACTGACCTTCTGTGTGTCTGCCATATATCAAACCTGCTTGACATCTATGGGAATAAGGAATTAAGGCTAGATTTATAATGTTCAGCTCTGGGAAATAAACTTTTTCAGATTATATTCTGCTGGCCCATTTAAAACATTGTATCGACTTTATGTCACATTAATCTCCTTACCAGGTTTCTCCTCTAAGAATGCAACATGTTGCATTGCTGTCCCTTTTGTCAGTTGCAAAATATAAGCCTCAGATGTGCTATTTGAGGCACACTTTCCTCTGAGAAAGTTTTCATTGGCCAAGGTAGATTGGTTTCTGTGTAAGGAATAACAGAACCATGACTGAGTTCAGACAATACAAGAAGCCACACCAAATATGCTTGGCCAGCCCCTCCTTGGAGCTGTGAATTGGGGATTATGGCCACAATGCACCCCACTTACTGGCTGTGCTTATAGAACTTGCTGAACCAGAGACAAAGGTCTAGCAGCCGTATTCACACAGGGCTTAATATCAACCTGTGATATTGTGTTTGTTTTGTTGCTCAGAGAGTTGTGCCTAACGTCCAGTTTGTTTATTCTTTGAATATACAAACTGGTTTAACTCATTAGCTAGGTGAAGGATTCTCTAGCAGTGCAAATATCTACTATTTGATCTGTTTACAAGGGTATTTACCAGTGATAAGCTGCAATTCAGATGATCTGCATCGTTCGCTTAAATCATCATTCAGATTTTGTATACCAAAATGGTGGGTGTTAAGGACCAAGTTATTGTCTCCACACCATGAAAGCAACCTGTTCACCTCATGTCGCTAGGCAGACTAATCCCCACCGGAGAGGAGTCCTACCACTGTTGTATCATCTGCAGATTTAGTAATAGTATTACTAGCGTGAGTGGGAATGCAGTCATGCACACAAAGAGTACAGAGTAAGGGACTCAACACGCAACCCTGTGGTGTACCAGTGTTAAGAATAAGGGCTGAAGAGATATGATTACCTAATCTGACCCTCTGAGAGCGGCCAGACAGAAAATCCATAATCCAAAGTCAGATCCAAAGAGGATCCTTAGAGAAGGTTTCCAAACTGTTGTACGGAGTCTGTAGAATCAAACCTTCTGCCTCTTTCCTATGGCACATCCTTCTACCTGAAGTCAGGTCAGCCTCATCCTATCAGCATTTAGAATACCTGCCCAAACTTGCCTGTTTTAGAAAGACTAATAGAAAGGTATTCCTCAGCATGAATGATACGTCTCTAATGTTGCTGTAGATTTTATATTATCATCCTCTTTTAACGACCTCTATTATCCCTTGCGGGGTGGAGTCTGGGCAACTGAATGGAGCCGAGTGTTTACTGGCCGGATGCCCTTCCTGTCGCCAGTACGGAATTTTGTTCAGCAGATACATTCTCATCGTGCCCAGAGAGAGAAATATCTGCCTCTACCTAGGATCGAACTCACAGCCTCTAGATTGTGAGCAGAGAGCTCCACCTTTAGGCCACTGTAGGTTTTATATTATGTTATGATCATTTTGCTACTTTAATCCTGTTTGCTGCCTGCCGCTTAGAATCACTTACAGTCGAAACAACTTCCACCCCTAAGTTAGGAAGAAAAATGCCGGGCAGTTGTCCGTGGTTCTCCTGCAACCACAAGAACGAGTTTTTCCCGTTCCTTTAGCAACCACCTTCCACCACAACCTTTGTCCTGAATCAAATCAATCAGCTGCCTACTCTGGGGACGACCATCGTCATGACGAAAACGACCCCCGTGACCAGTACCAGACAGACCATCACCGTAGCAAAAATCATACAAACCAGCACCACCACACGGCCCTCGGTGACGGTGCCCGTGGCGCGCAACACCCTGACCACCCCCTTGCCCAAGGACCAGATCCAGCTGAAAGATCTCCTCAAGAACAACAGTCTTAATGAACTGATGAAACTGAAGCCTCCGCCCAACATCGCCCCTCCTGTGGCGACCGCGGCGAGTAAGTAGCGGAGTCGTCTGAATGGATTTTGGCGGGCGGGCGGGCTTGGGGATAGGGAATGGTGTCCCTTCAACTTACGTAGACTGTTCTGACCCAGCTCTCCAAACACGACAAACCCTCTGTAGTTGAAGCAATGATTCCTTTATTAGGAGCGCCAGCAGCCCTGGCAAAAAGGTTCTCGCTCACTGCAGGCTAACAAGTCCGTCTGTCCGTCCGGAGAATGAATAGTTGCCTGCCATACCTATTCATCTCCGCCCCCTGCCTTTTATCCCCAGAGCTAAGGTGGGGCTTTGGGAGCAGCGGTGGCTCTTCCGTCCCAAGGACCGGCCCATAGATTTCCCCTGTTCTCCTCTCCTCTGCCTTCTGTGCATCAGGCACTGGACCCAGCTGTTCCTCCTCTTCCTCATCCGCCACCTCCAGACCTGGAGGCTGTTGACTCCATCTGAGGGTTGAGGGTTTTTCACACGACAGTTGCAGCATTCCCCTAAGAGTCACGTGATCAAAATGCAGACGCTTAGCAACTGACTCACATTTACGGTGGTTGCAGTGTCCCGGGTTCACCTGATCGCCTTTTGCGACCTTCTGACAAGTCAGGGGGAAAAATAAGAACGGTTTTACTAACTTAACTGCAGTGATTCACTTAACAGCTGTGGCAAGAATGGCCGTAGAATGAGGCAAAATTTACTTAACAAATATCTTGCTTAGCAACAGGGTTCAATTATGGTCCTAAATCGAGACCTACCTGTACTAGGAATTCTTTAATCCAGGGGTGTCCAATCGTGACTATTTAATCACCCTACCCATACTGCAATGCTATCCTCATAATTATTCATTTAGGTAGAGAAAAAGAAAGCTAAAACAGCTGGATGTTAAAAACATATTGAGGTCCCAAATGTTGCCTTTTTTACAGAAATATTTCTTCTGTCCTCAAACGTGGTAAACGTTACCACTGTGCTTGGTAAGATCACTTCCACTGTTGAAACGGGCTATAGAGTTTCCTTTCTCTCATCCCCACGTGGGAAATTCGGCGTAATCTTCATCCAACTTTGGTGCTTTTACACTTTGCATCCTCCTGGTAGCCGTAAATTTAAGACTGGCTTGAAGCTCATCTGCACTGTGGTGTTTTGGTGGATAAAAAAAATTGCCTCTCATTTACACCGGCTTCGAGAATACTTGTATTACATCATAAACATTTTTCTTAATGTTTAATCCTTTGGGACGTTTTCCTTTCAGCTGATATGAGTAACGGTGCTGTTAAAAAGGAGACTTCAACTAAAGAGGTCACGAGGATCTGGGTAAACGATCTAAAAATGAGAAGCTTCTCTCCTACCATGGTATGTACGACCCTAGATTTATATTTATATGGCTTTATTTGATTTTATTCATCTCATGTACTATGTTCATGTTACAATGAAACCCTGTTCCTTAAACTCTGAAATCCTAGATTTTGCTGTGTTGTATAGACTGATTTCTTTTTAATACTTGGTTTCGTGTACTTGATCGTAATATCGTATTGGAGACAAAACCTTTAGAAGTTTTGTAGATGTGCTGTTTACCAGTGGGCACCCTGCTCAGCCTTTTCAAAATGTAATATACCGACACATTTCAGGCACACATTTCTTTGCTTCAAAGTAACATAGTACAGGTCTAAGACCCCCTGTGGGTATTTTAAAATCTCTTCTGGTGGAAAATAACTGTACTCAGAAGGAGAGCACCTTAAAAGTAGCATTCTAAAATTCAGCAAGAAAAAGGTTGTAAGGTTAGGCAACTGTCTGTATCTGCTCACCCTTGAACTTTGCTGCTTTGTGTGAGACAGATTGCAACACCCTCTGTTCTTTCCTGCAGAAAGTGCCCGTCACAAAAGAGGAAGAAGAACCAGAGGAAGAGGATGAAGAAGAAATGGGCCACGCAGAGACCTATGCCGAATACATGCCCATAAAATGTACGCCTACTACGGCTTTTTATCAACATTAAATACCCGAATATATCCAAGCTGGAGAAACACCGCCTTACGCAACCCTGCCTTTTCTCCCGCAGTAAAAATCGGCTTGCGCCATCCTGATCCGGTGGTAGAAACCAGTTCCCTCTCCAGCGTGACCCCTCCTGAAGTATGGTACAAATCTTCCATTCCGGAAGAAAGCATCGACAGCGGTTGGCTGTCAGCCTTGCAGCTTGAAGCAATTACTTACGCAGCACAGGTACTACCTCCTTCGTCGAAGGCTAGCTACAAATTCGTGCCCGTCCCGAAGCCCACCAAAACTGAGACCGAAGACAAGTTCTTGCCACAGATATTGTAACAGGTTTTTGTGGTGGCTCAGGGGTTAGAATGCAGGACTGCAGGCTACTTCTGCTAACTGCCGGCTGCCTGCAATTGGGCAGTTCGATTCTCACCGGCTCAAGGTTGACTCAGCCTTCCATCCTTCCGAGGTCGGTAAAATAAGGACCCAGACTGTTGGGGGCAAGAGGCTGGCTCTGTAAATCATTTAGCGAGGGCTGTAAAAGCACTGTGAAGCGGTATATAAATCTAAGTGCTATTGCTATTTCTGTAAAAGCAGAGTTTCTCCAACTAACTTATACCAGGCTTAATCAGAAAAATAGCCTAGATTAGTGGTTCTCAACCTGTGATCTGAAGACACCTGGGAGCCCGGAATGTTGTCACGGGATTCCGCAAAGACTTGAAGAAATGTTATGATTTAAATCTTGAGTTAAGTCTTGGGGGTCCGGGGCCACAAAAGGTATTTAAAGGGGATCCGTGGTGAAGAAAAGATTGGGAACTCCTGGTCTAGATAATGAATCTATAGAACATTCTTTCCCTTCTCACGAAGCAACTTGTTTCAAAATGTAACCTGTAGCTTATATATTACTTCTTGAATTCCTCCTAGTTTACCCAATTGACTACATATTTCCCTCATACGTGCTCCTTTTATACATCTTCACTGCTCTCATCCATGTACTCTAGGCCACACACTAAATAAATTCTGTCACTTCCCCACAGCAACACGAGACATTCCTACCGAACGGAGACCGAGCTGGCTTCTTAATAGGCGACGGTGCCGGTGTAGGGAAAGGAAGAACCATTGGTGGCATCATTTATGAAAACTATCTCTTGGGTAGAAAAAGGGCAGTGTGGTAAGTCTCATACTCGGGCATCAGGGTTAGAAGGGTATGGTTCTCCTTGGCACTGACTTTGTCTTCATGGTGGGTCTGTTGCTTTTGCTCTCTTCCAGGTTTAGTGTTTCAAACGATCTGAAATACGATGCTGAAAGGGACTTGAGAGATATTGGCGCCAAAAACATTTTGGTCCATTCATTAAACAAGGTGTGGAAATATTTTACTATTGTACAGTTGAAGCAAAAAAAACAAAAACCATTAGGTACGCTTGTGTGAGATGCATGCCCGATGAATGCTTTGTTTTAGAATTTAAATCAGAAACCTACCATAGATAGTTTTGTTACTTTTAGGTTTGCTTGCGCTGTGTTGGAAGTAGTGTAACAGTTGCTCGTTCACAAATTATTTTTTGGGTTAATCGTTGCAGTAGGCATGTTGCATGTTTTGAAGGTCATAATGGGGAGGGGGTTTCAAATCCTCAGTTATTGAAACATGGAATTAAATTATGTGGAATAGTATTGTATTTCTGCATTCTCCCGTAAAAATGTGAAAAATTAAATTAGATTTGCCTCTATTGGGAAGTTTTACAGGAGGAAACCACTTGCTAGAATTTATGTATTTATAGCATCTCATTGGACAAATTAGTTAGCAAGATTAATTGTTCCTGGAAAACATACTTAATATGTGATACATAAGACAGTCTTTCTCGGTTTAATGAAACTTGTATACAGTAACAGAGTGAAGAGTCTTCTAAACAAAAAATACCAAAGCAGAAACGTCTGTGGGAGTCCATCAGCTTTCTGATTTATTTTGAGTGCCAAGCACAATAAAATCAGAAATGTTTTTCTTTTTAAGAATGCAGCTTTTAATGCTATTTGGAGTTGAGTAAGGGAAGATAATGCATGCACGTTTGTAATAGAACAGAACAGCCTTCATACCTCTGATCTTATTTCTGCTTTAGTTCAAATATGGAAAAATTTCTTCCAAGCATAATGGAAGCGTGAAGAAGGGGGTCATCTTTGCAACTTATTCTTCACTTATTGGGGAAAGTCAGTCTGGAGGAAAATATAAAACCAGGCTCAAGCAGCTTCTTCATTGGTGTGGAGACGACTTTGACGGAGTGGTATCCTTTTCCAGTTGCTAGATTGGGGCAATATCCCTCCTTTTAAATTAGCATCTTTTGATTGGTGTCTGATACTCTTTTATAAATTGCATTTTTCAATTCCAAGGCTATCAAAATTTGGAAAGCAGATAATGCTTCCAGATAGAGTGGCGACGCTCCAGATAAAGTAATTTTTCAGTTTTCAGAGGTATGGGTTTCAGCTCTCAGAATTCTCAACAATGCCCTCGCTGGCTGGGGAATTCACATGTCAGGAGGTCACATGTCAGGAAGTTGGTCACATGTCAGGAAGTTGCCACAGTTGAAAAACACTGCTAAGTTTTGTATCTAGCCTAGTTAATTCTCAGAAGGATGTGCTGATCTTTAAATCTCCACGTTTGCCTGGAATAACCCTTTGAAACTTTCGTTAACATCCCTTACTTACAGCGAAAAGGTTTATCGTTCAGCATTGGTAAAATAAACATAACTAGTTGATCAATATATATTCGTTATGGACAACATTTTCTGGCTTCCATTCAGTGAAATGTTTACCATGTAACTTTATACACGAATGTTTGTGAAATGTCTTGCTTCTTAACCACGTCTTCAGATAGTGTTTGACGAATGCCACAAGGCTAAAAACCTTTGCCCGGTTGGCTCTTCAAAACCAACGAAGACAGGCTTAGCTGTTCTGGAACTGCAGAACAAGCTTCCAAAGGCCAGGGTTATTTATGCTAGTGCCACGGGTAAGGACCGTTTTCCATCATTTGAACATCGAGTGGATTGCAAGGCTGTTTTCAAAGGGGGAAAAAAAAGCCTGGATAATTTCCCTTTTTTTTTTTTTTTTATGTTGGCTTTCAGGTGCTTCAGAGCCCCGGAACATGGCATATATGAACCGCCTTGGGATCTGGGGGGAAGGGACCCCATTTAGGGAATTCAGCGACTTTATCCAAGCAGTTGAAAGAAGGTATGTTCGTAGGTCTTGACTGGTGTTGCGTCAAACGGGAGAAGCGATCGTCAGAAGCATTGGCGTAGCTTTTCTCAAAAGTTCCAGCAGGTCCCTGGGAGAATAATCTCCCTTTAAAAATTGTCTTTTTTTTTTTCTTCTTCTTCTTTTAATCTTCAGAGGTGTGGGCGCCATGGAAATAGTTGCCATGGATATGAAGCTAAGAGGAATGTACATAGCCAGGCAGCTGAGCTTCTCAGGGGTCACCTTCAAAATAGACGAAGTTCATCTTTCTCAGCACTACGTCAAAATGTATAATAAATCTGTGAAAATGGTAAGCCTTTAAAAAGGGAGAAGTTGGCAGTTCGGGATGCTTTGAGAAAGATCCATTGCGTTAACTCCTTGCAAGAGATACCCGAGTGAATCTTTGGAAGGGTGTAAAGACAAACAGAACAGCGTGAAATCAGTTCCACTAACCATACTTGGGTCTCCAAAGCCTTCATCAGTTTTTCTGCGGACGTTTTATCCCCCGTCACAGAGGGGGCTTAGAACTTAGAGTCTCGCAGGATTTGTAGCCTCCCAGAGAATCTGGGTTTCCTCCATTCCAAGGAATTCATTCAGTGAACCCTATGCGACGTTACTGGAGCAAGGAGTAGATGTAGTAATGCTTCAACCACATTGTTATTGGTAGAATATAACCACCTTTTCTAGGCTAAAACCCGACATTTCAGTAGATAGTTTATAAAAGTGATTTCTCTGTTACTGAAAAATAGTGGATTCCAGATATTGTTTTTTTAAACCCAAAATTTAAAAGCTAGACTTTTAAGAATCAGTTGTCTGTCTGTGGAGCTTCTCAATCCTCCAGGTCATGGTTGTCCCAAAGGTACTTTTTCGAAAAGGCAGCTGGATTTAACTTGGTGCTTTCTTTGAAAACGTTTTGCTTGTCACCCAAGAAGAACTTCAGAACGGAACTGAAGGAGCTTCTTGGAAGACAAGCGAAACGTTTTCGAAGAAAGCACCAAGAAACTCCAGCTGTCTTTTAGGGGTGGGGTGGGGTGGGGGAACACCTTTGGACAGCAGTCAGTTTAGTCTAGCATCCTATCCTCCCATTTTATATTACTGATCTTTTTATGTCTCCCTGAAAATTCTGCCTTCTTTTTTTTCCAGTGGGTAAGTGCCAGGGAGAAATTCCAACAGGCGGCTGACCTCATTGACGCCGAACAGCGCATGAAGAAGTCCATGTGGGGCCAGTTCTGGTCTGCCCACCAGAGATTCTTTAAATACCTCTGCATTGCATCCAAAGTCAAGAGAGTGGTGCAGCTGGCCCGGGAAGAGATCAAGAACGGCAAGGTGGGTTGGTGACCCTTGACTTGAGGGTCCTGGAATGACTGGGGAAGCACCCGTCCTCCACGTTGAGAAGAGCTTAAAAGCTTCCCCATGTGTTTTGCTTCCTACAGTGCGTGGTCATCGGGCTGCAGTCCACAGGAGAAGCCAGGACTTTGGAAGCTTTGGAAGAAGGTGGCGGGGAACTGAATGACTTTGTTTCCACAGCAAAGTAAGTATTGTGACCTCGGCTTCCTGAGTCATTAAAACACTTTTGAGTAGTCCCAATAAACCTCTTTTATTGCAACAGCTGTGAAATACGTTCATTCACAGCTGAGTCCCAATTAGTCGCAAAAAGTCCTTCAGGATAATCACCCACCTTTATCTCCCTTGACACGCTGCCAAAGACCTACTTGGCAAAGCCATACGGAGTCTAGAATCAAACAGAGATCATCTCCAGGGCTTACTCCTGAGTCGTCCCTGTTCTTGGCTTCTGGCAGCTCTGCGCATGCGTGCACTAGGAATAGGCTCCTCCTGTTCCTCTGCCTCTCTGCTGTCTGACTCTGGAGGCTCCGGAATACGCACATCGCTCCCAGATGGCTGTTTTGTGCCACAGCCCCTCAATTCTGGCTACGCTAGGTGATGCTCTTGGGCTAATGTTAAAACACCGCTGTTTTTCTCTCTCCAAACTTTACAGGGGGGTGTTTCAATCCCTCATTGAGAAACATTTCCCAGCTCCCGATCGGAAGAAACTTTTCAGCTTGCTGGGAATCGACCTGTCTCTCCAGAGTAACCACAGCTCTCCTCGGGACAGTCCTTGCAAGGAGGATAAAGTAAAGAAGCGTAAAGGTAAGACGGAGCCCGTTCCATTGCTATTTTTATTTGGACCCCTGAGTGCTATTTTATATAGATGTGCTATGCCCATTTAGGAAAGCTAGAGGAGGAGAAGGGAGCTGATAAAGTTTGTGAATTGAGAAATATTGTTGATTAGTAGCGTAGGAAGGGGGAGACTTAGCACCAGAGGTGGTTCTAAAAACAGCCTCAGAAGACACCTTACAGGATAGCTCAGGGGTCAGGGCTCTGGGGCCGCTTGTGGCTCTTTCACCCCTCTGCTGTGGCTCCCTGTCACTCAAAATATGCGTCATAGCCGCCAATGTGTGACACCCGCCGGTAGGCAGTTTATTGAGCTTTTCCATCCCCCGGTAGGCCAACCCTGGATAAATCCAAGAAAAGAAAAGTTTCAGAAGAAAACAGAACATTTGATTCAACTACATATGCTAGTTTTGTGGCTGCTCAAGAAATAGTCAGGCACGGGAAGGATTTTGTGGCTCCCGATGTTTTCTTTTCTGTGGGAAACGGGTCCAAATGGCTCTTTATGAGTGTTTAAGGGTGCAGACCCCTGCTATAGCTCTTCCACCAAACAGTATCTAGCAAAGACGCAGCCTTTCATGATGGCCATTTCCAAAGAGAACAACCCAGAATAATACTTAGGAGAGGTGAAAAATAAAAATTCAATGCGTGAATTAAGTCAGGAGAATCTGCACCGTTTCTTCCTTTGGCGTCTTATTCTTGTTCAGTTCCGAGGCGATGCTTCTCAGACAGAAAGTCACTTTTCTTTTTTGGTTAACCAACCCCCTCCAAGAATCGAGGTGCCCCTTTCTCTAATGTCCCTTCTTAACTTTTGCTTAATGGAAAAAAAACAAAAAGGGGAAGAAATGACGAGGGAGGTCAAGAAAGCCCGTAAGACCGGCGGCCTGGCCGGGAGCAGTTCTGACGAAAGCTTCAGTGAATCGGAGGCCTCGGAGAACGAGGAGAGCGACAACGAGAGTTCTCACTTTTTAAGTTCCGGAGACGACGATGACTTCAACCCTTTTAGAGACGAATCTAGTGAAGATGATGAGGATGGTGAGACGGTTTGGGTCTTTCTCATTTTTACGACTTTAGGGTGGGGTGTGATTTTGGGATAAAGCTGGTGAGGTTTTGCTTGCCCATTTTGTGTGTCCCCTCCCCCTTTCTTCTCAGACCCTTGGCTGATCCGGAAAGAACATAAGAAAAATAAAGAGAAGAAAAAGAAGAAGAGCATAGACCCCGATTCCATTCAGAGTGCCTTACTAGCATCTGGCCTCGGATCCAAAAGGCCAAGTTCTCTCTCCTCCACAGTAGTAACCCCTTCTACAAATGTCTCTGGTAAGTCACCCGAGAGGCCTTCTCATCTGTTTTGGCTGTCAGAAAGTTTCTGCCTGGCGTGGAAGCATCAGTTGTAAAACCTGCAAACAAAAATCAGAAGAACCGTATTTTTCGGAGTATAAGACGCACCGGATTATAAGATTCAACTTAGTTTTTGGGGAGGAAAATAAGAAAAAAGCTGATTGGTGGAGTACCCCCAATCAGCTGTTCCCAGAGGTGGATTTTAGCAACAGGTTCATTGGTTGTGAGCTCTGTGCCTTGCTTTTTTTTCTGCCTCTGAAACTTCTGAAACTCCATCTCAGGAAAAACTTTTTTTCTGCCTCTGAAAGTCTCCGAAACAGCTTCAGAAAAAAAGCCTTTTTTTCCCCAAAGCTCTGTTTGGAGGCTTTTTTTCTGAAGCTTCTTTCAGAGGCTTCTTTCAGCCTCTGAAATCTCCGTTTGCGAGGCTGGGCAGGCCTCCTACATTCAGAGTATAAGACGCACCCAGAATTTCACCCTCTTTTTGGGGGGAAAAAGGTGCGTGTTATACTCCGAAAAATACGGTAATCTGCCTGCACTTTTTCCAACTGGCCAATTTTATTGAAAATTTATTCTATACTCTTCATAAAATTTGTTGCAAAAAAATGGTATTAAACCTCTCCTGAATTTAGGATTCCATGGATTAACCTGGCTCTCCTTTTTTTTAAAAAAAAATCCTTCCCTCTGTTTTCCCTCCGGTTTTGGCATTTCACAGCACCCAGTAACACAAACACCAGCTACGTGACGAGTCAGGATGCCGTGGAAAGGGCCCAGCAGATGAAGAAAGAATTGCTGGATAAACTGGAAAAGCTTTCCGAAGATCTCCCTCCTAACACGCTGGATGAACTCATCGATGAACTGGGAGGCCCTGAGAATGTGGCCGAGGTAGGCGGCTTGGATGATCCGGAAAGGAAAACTTTTAGCTAAAACTCTTACAAGGAGGGAGCCTTTCCTTATATAAGGAGTTGTAAGAATAAGGGTTCACAAGAGGCTTTGCATTAAAAATAGACAGCTTGTCACTGTCAGTGCTCTGACCCAGCTCCCCAAACACAACAAACCCTCAATGATTCCTTTATTAGGAGCGCCGGCAGCCCCGGCAAAAAGTTTCTCTCTCACCGCAGGCTAACATGTCCGGCCAGCAGGGAGATGAATAATTGTCTGCCACATCTATTCATCTCCGCCCCCTGCCTTTGATCCCCAGAGCTTCGCTAGCAGCAGTGTCTCTTCCGTCCCAAGGACCAGCCCATAGATTTCCACTGTTCTCCTCTCCTCTCCCTTCTGTGCGTCAGGCACTGGACCCAGCTGTTCCTCCTCCTCCTCATCAGCCACCTCCAGACCTGGGAGCTGTTGACTCTCCATCTGAGGGCTGAGGGACAGCCCAGGGTCCCTCTCTCTCTTTCTCTTTCTTTCTTTCTCTCTCTCTTTCTTTCTCTCTCTCTTTCTTTCTCTTTCTTTCTTTTCTTTCTTTCTCTCTTTCTCTCTTTCTTTCTTTTCTTTCTCTCTCTCTCTTTCTCTCTCTCTCTCTCTCTCTCTCTTTCTTTTCCCTCTCTCTCTCTCTCTCTCTCTCTCTCTCTCTCTCTCTCTCTCTCTCTCTCTCTGCCAGTTCCATTCCCTCTTCCCCCTTGGAGCTGTCAGGTTGCCTTGATGCTGACCCTGACTCCCACGCCTCCTCTTCCTCTGATTCAAGATGCAATGCGAAGCTAGCAGAATGGCAGCCATGACAGATTCACTTAATTGTGGCAAGCTAGATCATAAAACAGGGCAACACCTATTTTGCTCAGGAGCAGAAAATTTGGGCTCAGTGGTGGTTGCAAGTCAAGGACTACCTGTATGTCCCCAGTAAGTTTCTCCTCGGCATAGCCTGGAAGAATATTTGACAGGTTTTTAGAGTTATTTCATGGGCCTCAACGCTTGACGTGGCCTGCTAATGCGACTCATTCTTCTGAAGATGACAGGTCGCAAAGGAAGGGTCGTGAGCAACGACGATGGCAGCATCTCCTACGAGTCAAGATCTGAACTTGATGTCCCTGTGGAAATCCTAAATATCACCGAGAAGCAGAGATTCATGGATGGAGATAAGGTACCTTTCGCTCGCTTCAGTGTCGAAATATTTACATTTTCAGCCAGTTAAAAAACAACAACAACTTTGGTGCTCTGGACTGTACTTTTCTTTCAAAACGACAGTATCCAAATATAACTGTCCTTTTCGTTTTTGAAAGTTGAAACTGTTCAGGTAATAATGCCATAAGTCAACACTTGCTTGGAATTAGTTTGTGCCAAGGCAGCTGTGCTTTGGCAAGGGGGTTTGGCTTGCACTTTTGCGAGAAAAGTGTGATCAGTGCAAGCTGTTGATCTTGGGAACATCCTCTGCCACGGGTGATTTTCCTCCTCAGGAAAGGTGACACCGATAAAACATTTGTGAGATAAGTTGGGGGGGGGGAATCTAATTGCCAAAAAAAAGGTGATACCTTTCTCAAGTATATCGCATTATGTTTTCATGACCGAAAGTTTGCATTTATACATCTCACTTTCTTCACCTTCGCCTCCTTCTGCCTTTTAGAACATCGCCATCATCTCCGAAGCCGCCAGCTCAGGCATATCTTTGCAGGCAGATCGAAGGGCCAAAAATCAGAGAAGGAGGGTACATATGACCCTGGAGTTGCCCTGGAGTGCCGATCGAGCAATTCAGCAGTTTGGTGAGTCTCTTGAGGTTGGCTGAATGTGGAAACACGGCCTCTAGCACTGAGCTTCAGTGTGGTGTAATTCTACCACAAGGGCCTCCAAGTTCATAAAACATCTCTATAGGCTTTCAGATTGAAAGATGCTTTGATAGGGAAAAAACTTGTGCTCTGTATCAAACATTAATAGAAGTTATTTGGGTGGCAAGGTGACAAAACAGACTTTCCCAGACTTACTGATAGGGCCAAATTGCTATACAAATCCTGTGCGTATACTCAAAGTGGCTTCTCAGTTGATTGAAGAATCCAATTTTAAGTTTGTATCGCCTTTTATTGTATTGCAATAAAAGTTTCCAGCTGGAAATGTGAACAAGTTGAATCTTTCTACCATCCGCTGGACTTTATTCAGATATTGTCACAAGATGCGGGGTGGGGGGAAGAAGATAATGTCAGTGCTGGTAGGGTGGTTGGTAAACTCCCTGTAATTTTTATATGTATTTGTGACTCTTTTCTTTTTGTTGCGTTCTAGCTTTTTTATAGAATGTAACATGTCCCAAGTAATCGAGAGTCGAGCTGTCTGTGTAAATTTATTCCAATAAAATAAGGCGCATCCCCTTCATGTATGTGACTTTGGGGCCAGTGCTGTGTTGACACCCAGCAAACCAAATTTGCCTTTTTCTTAATCTCCAGGACGAACTCACAGGTCCAACCAAGTGACTGCCCCGGAGTACGTCTTCCTAATTTCTGAATTGGCGGGAGAACAAAGATTCGCCTCGATTGTTGCCAAACGGCTGGAGAGCTTGGTAAGACGTTTGCCGAGAGTTGCTCCCGGTGGATCATTGATTACATCCGTCCCGATTTTGACAAAAGGCGATCCCTGTTATTTTTAAAAAGGCAGCAAACTTCTGTCTCTTGGTTTGTAAATCATCTTTTTTTTTTTTTTTTTGTTTTTTTTTTTTTTTTAAACAGGGAGCTCTCACCCACGGAGATAGAAGAGCAACAGAAACTAGAGATTTGAGTAGATTCAACTTTGACAACAAGGTAAAAATTGCAGTCCTTTCCTACTTCTTGATTCGGTGCCATTTTTAACTCGTTTTCCTTTCTCCTTTGAAATAGTGCAGTGCATATCCATAGTTATATTTGCGACACTGAGCTTGTTGATCGAAAGGTCGGCAGTTCAGCGGTTCGAATCCCTAGTGCCCTAGTAACAGGGTGAGCTCCCGTTCCTTGTCCCAGCTTCTGCCAACCTAGCAATTCAAAAGCAGGTAAAAAATGCAAGTAGAAAAATAAGGACCACCTTTGGTGGGAAGGTAACAGTGTTCCGTGCGCCTTTGGCGTTGAGTCATGCCGGCCACATGTCCATGGAGACGTCTTCGGACAGCGCTGGCTCTTCAGCTTAGAAATGGAGATGAGCACCGGCCCCTAGAGTCAGGAACGACTAGCACAAATGTGTGAGGGGAACCTTTACCTTTATACAGTATGAAAAAGTGAGATATTACAATAGTAATATAATACAGGAATGTGCATAAACTGTAATATTCTGTATTGCAAAGACTATATTTGTTTTTTCTTCCTCTGAAATTAGTATGGCCGAAATGCATTGGAAATAGTCATGAAGTCCATCGTGAATTTGGATTCCCCGTTAGTGTCTCCGCCAGCAGATTATCCAGGAGAGTTTTTTAAAGGTATGTTTTGTGTTTTTTTTCCCAGTCATTGAAATAAAACTTGGAAAAAGCCCTCTTGAATTGAGATTGGATTGCTTCTTTATACTTATCTCCAAAAAGCGCAGCTAAGTTCCCTTAGCAGTTTCTGGGATGATTGTAGATTCTCATTTTCAGCCAAGCAAACCAAACATTCATTTTTGATCATGGCATTCCAGCCATTTAATGATTCAACATTTGGGCAGACAAAATCTAGCCATCTCTTTCTGCTGCTGCGTTTCTTTTCGAAGCCTGCAAGAGATCCTAATTTTTTTAATGTGGGGTTCCGATTTGTATTCCTACTCATGCAGTCAATGGCTGTCTTGAAACGCTGAATTTAACCTCTCTCTTTTCCTCCCAGATGTTCGACAAGGTTTGATAGGAGTCGGCCTAATCAACGTCGAAGATCGGTCTGGAATTCTTACTCTTGACAAAGGTATTTCTTTTGCCATGCTTGGCAACTTCTTTCTGGAAGTATTTCTTTGTTAATGATGCATAGCTGAGCTTTGGGGTTATTTTCCTCTTGCTCAGCACGGAGGGCAGGGAATGGACCCCGCCTGTTTTCTCACCAACGTCACCTCATTTCCCTTCTTTTTTAGATTATAACAATATTGGGAAATTCCTGAACCGGATCTTAGGCATGGAAGTCCACCAACAGAATGCTCTATTCCAGTATTTCTCAGATACGCTAAACGCAGTCATCCACAACGCGAAGAAGAACGGGAGATACGACATGGGCATATTAGGTGAGGAGGCATTTCCAGGCTGGGCAGTACAGCTAGATCTTGACTTACGGCCACAGTGGAGCCCAAAATTTCTGTGGCTAAGTGAGACAGTTGCTAAGTGAACACTTGGCAATTGATTCATATTTAGGCTGGTTGCAGAGTCCCGCAGTTATGTGATCCCCTTTTGCGACCAGCAAAATCAAAAGGGGAAACCAGGTTCACTTAACAACCGTGTGGGGCTCCCTTAACAACCGCAGGGATTGACTTAACAACCGTGGCAAGAAAGGTCGTAAAATGGGGGCAAAACTTACTTAACAACTGTCTGTCTTAGCAACAGAAATTTGGGGGCTCCAGTGTGGTTGTACATCAAGGACTATCTTGTATATGTGTCCATTGCTGATCTCATTCTTTCTTGTGATTTTTTTCCAGATTTGGGATCGGGAGATGAAAAAGTGAGGAAAGCAGATGCTAAAAAATTTCTAACTCCAGGCTATTCTACCTCCGGACACGTCGAACTATACACTGTAAGTTCTTGGATGGTCAGGTTGGGTCTGAAATTCTGAAATATGCGTCCCCATCTGCCTTTCTTCAGAAGAACGTGGAGTTGGCCATCAAGCATCCTTTCTATTCCTGTTTTCTAGATAAGCGTGGAGAGAGGCATGTCTTGGGAGGAAGCAACTAAGCTTTGGAGTGAACAGCGCGGGCCAGAGGACGGGTTTTATTTATCGCTTCAGGTGAGGCTCCGGTTTGAAAGTCTGGCTTAACTTTTTCATATAAGCCCTACTCCCAAAATAAGCCCCGGTTAAGATTGTCAGCCAGATGGATGCATTTAGTACTGTATTTTCCCCCCAAAATAACACTTAACCAGAAAATACGCCCTAATGCGTCTTTTGGAGCAAAAACTAATATAAGACCTGGTCTTATTTTTGGGGAAACATGGTAGTCCTCGACTTACGGCCACAGTGGACCAGCTCAACATTTCTGTTGCTAAGTGAAACATTTGTTAAGTGACTTTTGCCCCCATTTTACGTCCAAGCATCCAGATTTTGATGACATCATCGCACGGATGCTGCAACGGTCACTCACAAGTCATTTTTTTTCCCAGTTCTGTTATAACTTGGAAAGGTCATTAAATGAACTGTTGTAAGTTGAGGACTACCTGTATTGGAAATGAGGATTTCGGCTAAGGCCTCCTTGGGGAGTTTGGCTTAAGCAGCATTTTTCAACCTTGTCAGCTTGACGATGTATAGGTTTTCAACTCCCAGAATTCCCCGGCCAACAAAACTTATCCAGGCTTCCGATTCTAAAATTTGCCTTTTTAGCCGAGTTTTGGCAGCGAACAGCCACACATTCTGTTGATAAAATTTTGTACAAAAAAGGAATTAGATTTTTGTACTCGGTCCAGGTTTATTAAATGGGTAATTTAGGAATAATCTCAACACTATATTCTGGGAGGTACAAACGGAATTTGTCTTTCTATTTTCATTTCTTCCCCCCCCCCCCTTTTCGCCTTTTTTTTTTTAACCAGATACGAAATAGTAAGAAAACTGCCATCCTCATGAAAGAGGTGAACCCCAAAAAGAAGCTTTTCCTGGTTTACAGGCCAAATACCGGAAAACAATTGAAACTGGAAACCTACTCTGAAATAAAGAAAAAATATAAAAAAGTGAGCCGTCTTTCTAAAAGTTACCTTTTTAATCATACACGTGCGTAACTTTTGCTTGATTGCAGATTTAATTTTGCGTCTTTAAAGGCTGAGAAACCTCATTCATGGCTTCCGAATGGGTTTCCAGCCAGATCTGACTATTTAATAACTGCTGTGCATAATTCTAGGTATCCTCTGACGATGCTGTGGCTCATTGGGTAGAACAGTACACCTCATCGGCAGACACATGCACACATGCTTACTGGTAAGTTCTTTTTTTGGGGGGTGGGGGTGGGGGTGGGGGGTCTTCAAAACAGTGGGACTGCTTTAAAAAAAATGGATTTCAGTGGGACTTCCCAATCAAACCCAGCTGGAAAGGTTGAACTCAGGATTTGAACTGCTCTCTGAGCTTGGTGATTTTCTTGCAGACGTTTCACGACCCAACTAGATCACATCATCAGTGGTAGAAGGGAGAGAGGGGTTTGCAGAGTGAAGGAGGAGAGGGATTGTATGGTCCTTGGTGCTCTCTGAGCTTGGTTATTTTCTTGCAGGCGTTTCATGACCCATCTAGAGAACATCATCAGTGCTGGAAGGAAGGAAGGTTTGCTCTCTTGTTTTATATACAAGTGGCTTGCCCTATCGGTGTTGGTGGGAGTCTTCTTGGTTATTGCTTGATTAGCCTGTTGTTGACTGTGTGGGGTAGTTCCTTGATTGGGATATAAACAGAGAGCAACTTCTAGCACTGATGATGTTACCTACTTGGGTAATGAAACGTCTGCAAGAAAACCACCAAGCCTTCAGAGAGCCCCAAGGACCACACGGAAGGAGTAACTTTGTGGCCCTTGTTTTCTCCTCATTCGACTTGAGGATTTACACTTTGCTGGACTCCATCATTTTGCCGTTGTGATTCTATAGGATTCTTTTTTAAAAATATATATATATATCTGGTAAACTTTGAAAGTGCACTCCAAAATTATTCATAATTTTATTCGGGAGCCCATCTTTGACTATGTGCAGGAAACAAAACTCCATATTCAGTTCTTGGGGTTTTTTTTTTTAAGAAAAATTAAGCATTGAGCACCTTCCTTTCCTCTCTTTCAGGAGAGGCAACTGCAAAAAGGCCGGTCTGGGCCTCGTTTGTGAAGTTGGCTTGCGCTGCCGGACCTATTATGTCCTCTGCGGTTCTGTCTTGAGCGTCTGGACAAAAGTGGAAGGGGTCCTTGCCTCCGTGAGCGGCACAAACGTCAAAATGCAGATTGTTCGCCTGCGGACTGAGGATGGCCAGAGAATTGTAGGCAAGTAATGGCAGGGAAGGCCAAAATCCCTTTGTCTGCCCAAACATCTCTCTGCTTAATCGGCCCTCCCAGTCCTAACAATCTCCCTACGTTCTATGTTTGAACCTGCTACTCCCCTCCCCCTCCGAGTGTGAGAGGGGAATGGTGAAAACCCCTTGAGCCAAGCTCCCTAAATCTTTCTGTTCAGCTTTTGCAAATTGGAAGCAAACAAGCACAATACAAAGTATTTTATTTATTTATTTTTCCCTTCAGAGAAACTATAAAGCAGTGTTTTTAAAAGCTCAACAACTTTTAAGATGTATAAACTTCAACTCCCAGAATTCCCCAGCCAGTTTGGGTGGACTTCAATCCTCCCAGCAGTGGAAGTTGCTGACTGAGGAATTCTGGGTGTTGGAAGTCCCACCCATTAATAAAAACACCCATCCTAGAAAGCCTAAGCCATGGTTATATGAGCCCCGGTGGCGCAGTGATTAGAGTGCAGTACTGCAGGCTACTTCTGCTGACTGACGGCTGCCTGCAATTTGGGCAGTTCAAATCTCACCAAGCTCAAGGTTGACTCAGCCTTCCCTCCTTCCAAGGTGGGTAAAATGAGGACCCAGATTGTTGGGGGCAAGAGGCCGACTCTGTAAACCGCTTAGAGAGGGCTGTAAAAGCACTGTGAAGCGGTATATAAGTATTAAGTGCTATTGCTATTCCTTCCTTATCTTCCTTCCTTCCTTATCTTCCTTCCTTCCTTCCTTCCTTCCTTCCTTCCTTCCTTCCTTCCTTCCTTCCTTCCTTCCTTCCTTCCTTCCTTCCTTCCTGTGCAGTGATTAGAATGCAATATTGCACACTAACTCTGCCCACTGTCAGGAGTTCGATCCTGACCGGCTCAAGGTTGACTCAGCCTACCATCCTTCCGAGGTCGGTAAAACGAGGACCCAGATTGTTGGGGGGGCCAAGAGGCTGACTCTGTAAACCGCTTAGAGAGGGCTGGAATAGCACTATGAAGCGGTCTATAAGTCTAAGTGCTATTGCTAAGATCCTAAGCGATGGGAGACAGACCGGGGCTCGCGGCTTAACCAAACAAACGTTGGTTTGTGAAGCAAGGCAGAGCCTCCCCGTCTCAGCTCCTTTGACCTCACCGGCCCCTTAACTGTGTTGCAGGCTTGATCATTCCAGCAAACTGCGTGTCTCCCCTCGTCAACCTCCTCTCGACTTCGGATCAGTCGCAACAGCTGGCCGTCCAGCAGCAACAGATTTGGCAACAGCACCATCCGCAGAGCATCGCCCACTTCAACAACGCATGAGACAGACCCCCGTGGTATTTCGGCTCGACCGCCCCTAAGCGTTGCGCTTTCGATTTTTATTTCTTTTTTGGGGGCTCCTCCTCCTCCTCCTCCTCCTCCCCCTCGTTTTGTTTTTATTTTATTTTATTTTATTTTTGTTCCTTTTTCTTGGTTTGAACGATCAGGGACAGATTCCAAAGAATTAAGTTTTCAGTTCCGTCATGCCGACTTGACTTTACAACTCCGCGGAAGGGAAGAGGAGGCACAGAAGAGAGGCCAAGACCGAAAGCTCAGCTTTGCTTTACAGCGGTCACATCATCATTCATCTTTTTTATTATTATTATTGTTATTTTTTTTAAAAAAAAATTCTCCAGGCTTTTGTAGCCCTGCTTTAGGAACACATCTACACACATTCTTCTACTTAAGCGACAACCGCACCCAGTCAGTTTGGAAGATTTTTTTCCCCCGAACCTGCTTGTCCCTTCCTTCCATTTACTCATTTGACGCTCAGGGTTGAACATCGGGGCCATGCTGCGGGAGACGTCCTACTTGGAAACTGTATATATATGTATGTGTAGATATATATATATATAAAAAAAATAGTGGCCGCCACAGAGGTCCCAAATTATATTAAAAAGTACATTTTATTTAAAGAAGCAGCATGAAAGCCTAGATGTTCGCAACCTGTTTTTTTAAAGGCAGTGTCAACTTTGAGGCTGCCCATCATGTCTCGGGGTACGGAAAGCCAGCGGGGAGCGAGAGAAAGGGACGGTCTCATCCTTAGAATTGCATTTCGATATTTCCCCCCCCCCCCCGAAACTTTCAAAAAGTGATTGTATTTTTTTCTGGATTATATATATATATATTTGAATCTTCCCTGGATATTTTTTTTCCCTCCCTCCCTCCCTCCCGCATTCCTTTCTTCTCCTTTTTCGGGCTTTGCGTATCCCGTGTGCTTGTACAATGAAGCCATCTTAAGTTTTTTTTTTTAAAAGAAGTTCCTTTTTTTAAAAAAAAATATATATAGGTTAATGGCGTTCCTAATGCCCCTCCCCTTCTCTGTCCAAAGTTTCCTTTATTTTTCAGGAAACTAAAGTGCACATTTTTAATTTTTCCAATTCCCACCGCAGTCCCCTTTCTACTTTTTTTTTTTTTTTAAGTTGGTTTCTGTTGTTGTTGTTAAATACCCTTTACTTGAGCTGTAGACTAGATGGGGAGGAGGCAGCCCAATACGAGAGTCCCGGCTTCTGTGCTGGGTTGGTTTTCTTTTTTTAATTTTTATTTTTTTTTCTGTTGCCCCCATAACTTAAATACTTCCTGTTTTACGTCTGTAAGACATTGTAGAGTTTATCCTGGAACTGTTTAAAAACTTGTATATGTACAAAATGTGAATAGTCACTTATCTAAGAATATGGGTAAGGTTTTGTTTTTTTTTTTCTTCGTTTTGTTTTGCCTATAATAGTAGATGTTTATAAGTGAAGGACAATGTTTGTCATATTTCTTGCTTGCACAGGTTGCACTATGAAACATTTTGAGATTGTATAAACCTGTCCACCCCGCCCTGCAAGGTATGCCGAGATCTTGCAAGGGATCAAATTAAAAAGAAACAAAACAAAAAAAAAAAAGAGAGAGAGAGAAAATACTACTGTTCTAACCAGCTTCGGAGTCCTGTGTTTGGTTGATGGTGACCCTGTGGGATCTTCGTGCCTTTGGCCCCCTCCTCCCCTGATCTGTCTCGGAGATGCCACCCGCTCTTCCTGCTCTGCTCTGCTTGCCTATTGCCAGCCATGAGCGACGTTTAGGATCCCATTCCTCGTATCCAAAGGGGGAAAAAAAGGGTTTCAAGGCTTGAGTGAGGATTTAACATTTTCATACATTTGGGGAAGCCTCTCGGCCTCGTTCAGCTCTGCGAGTGAATTTACTTGCTCCGTTTTGAATGCAGAAGGCCTTCGCTGCTTTTCCTTTTATTTATACACGGCCCTTCAACAGATTCCCCCTCCGGGCCACCGGCTTATGAAAAGCTTAACGTTAACAATAAAAAGAAAAGAAAAGAAAAAAAATGACATGGTCCAAGAACTGTGTGGCTTTTTCCCTTCCGAGTCCTATATTCTCCTAAAGGACTACTACTAGACTTGGGCACTTCCAGCTCCCAGAATTCCCCAGCCATCCATCTTCCCTTGCTTCAAACCTCCCCCTGGGATTCACACGTTGCAGGGAACTTGGGGGGGGGGGTCCTCGCTTGGGTTTGGGCTTTCTAGGGGGTGAAGGGAGATGGCCAAGCCCCAACACATTGAGGGGTCCCCAAGTTGGAGAAGGGAGCTTCTCTACGTCGACTGCTCCCCTGGGAATGGAAGGCCCAGGTAGGTCTCCGGGGCGCATTTCCTAGGAGCCGGCCTGGTGTGTGTTCTGTTTTTGTAGTCCCAAGGGCAGAGGGGAACATCCTCTCCCAAAGGTACGCCAGAGGTGTGAAGGGTTTTGAAGGCCAGAAGGTTGAGCTCAAGGCTGAAGAACGTCAACGTGACTTTATACCTGGATGGGCCTCTTTTACAGGACGCACAAAGCCAAACTGGGATATTGTTACGGCACAGAACCATGTGTGAATCCAAGCACTGGTTGAACCCTCAAGTCCCCTGAATAGCCTGAATTTAATTTAATTTAATTTGTTGCATTTCTATGCCGCCCAACTCCCGAGGGACTCTGGATGGCTTACAGCAAAAATAATGCAAACAATGAACATAGAAAAATTATTTAAAAGCATCATATAAACATTTTAAAAACATTAAAAGCTCATGCACAGATGTCACATAGGAAGCAATGGCCACACTTCGAAATAGACAGGACCCCTTAAGTTACCAGCAACCCGATAGATGAACTCTAGAAAATCCATTTTTGATGCAAAACCTGGCCTTAAAATCCCCCTCCACAGATAAAGTTGGATCGTAAGCGGAACAAAAAAAAAGGGTCATTGCAAAGCATTTGCTACCACCCTGCAACCCATTGCAAGTATTGGAGATATGCAGTCTGGGCGTTTCTGCTTTTTGGAACTCTCTTTGCCACCAGGTAGCCCAAACAAGCCGTTTCCTTCCCTTTGCAACAAGAAAGGGGGGGGGGAGAAAAAAGGAAGAAGTTAAGGAAGGAAAGGAGGAAACGGATGAAGGAAAAGAAAAGATTTTACATAGCAGGATGGCAAAGGAGATGTTGTCCCCCCCCCCAAAAGCAGCCCCCCCTCCTTGCCCAGAGGAAGACTTCTCTCCCACTCCCACCATTGAAAAAATGCTAGCAAACTTCTCACTCCTTCCTTTTCCCTGCCCCCTCCTCCTTTTCCTTCCTCCTCTTCTGCCTCCTCCTTCCTCTTTCCCACCCCTTCCTCTTCCTCTTCCTCCTCCCCACTCTTCCTCTTTCCCCCCACTTCCTTCCCTCTTCTTCCCCGCCCCTGCCCCCTCCTTTTCCTACCCCTCTCCTTCCGCTTCTTCCCCCACTTCTTCCTCTTCCCCACCCCTCCTCTTCCTCCTCCTCCCCACTCTTCTTCTCCCCCCCCACTGCCTCCTTCCTCTTCTTCCTTCCCCTCTCCTCCTCCCCCTCCTTCCTCTTCCCCCACTTCTTCCTCTTCCCCATCCCTCCTCTTCTTCCCCCATCTCCTCCTTCCTCCTCTTCCCCACCCCCTCCTCCTTTTCCTACCTCTCTCCTCTTCTCCCCCCCCCTCCTTCCGCTTCTTCCCCCACTTCTTCCTCATCCTCCCCACTCTTCCTCTTTCCCACCTTCTTCCCTGCCCCCTCCTTTTCCTTCCCCTCCTCCACTGCCCTTCCTTCCTCTTCCCCCACTTCTTCTCTTCCCCACTCTTCCTCTTCTTCCCCATCTCCTTCTCCTCTTCCTAACCCCCTCCTCATTTCCTACTCTCTCCCCCTCCTTCTGCTCTCTTCCCCCACTTCTTCCTCTTCCCCACCCCTCCTCTTCCTCCTCCTCCCACTCTTCCTCCTCTTCCCCATCTCCTCCTTCCTCCACTTCCCCACCCCTCCCCTCCTTTTTCCTACTCTGCCCCTCCTGCTTCTTCCCCCATTTCTTCCTCATCCTCCCCACCCCTCCTCTTCCTCCTTCTCCCTCCCCACTCTTCCCCCTCCCTGCCCCTCCTTTTCCTACTCTTCTCCCCCTCCTCTGCTTCTTCCCCCACTTCTTCCATCCTCATCCTCCCCACTCTTCTCTTCTCTTCCCCATCTCCTCCTCCCTCCTCTTCCCCTCCTCCTTTTCCTTCCTCCTCCTCCTCACTCTCTTCCTCTTCTTCCCCATCTCTTTCTCCTTCCTCTTCCTCACCCCCCCCTCCTCATTTCACTCCTCCCCTCCTTCTGCTTCTTCCCCCACTTCTCCTCATCCTCCCCACCCCACCCCACCTCTTCCCTTCCTCCTCCTCCTCACTCTTCCTCCTCTTCCCCACCCCCCCCTCCTTTTCCCACTCCTCCCCCTCCTTCTGCTCTTCCCCTCCTCCTCTCCCCGCCTCTTCGTCCTCCCCTTCCCCGCCCCCTCCTTCCCTCCTCCTCCTCCTCCTCCCCCCCGCATGGCCGAGCCGGGAGCGCGGCGGGGCAGGCGAGAGCAGCGGCGGGATGGGCGGCTGCGGCGGGGCCGGAGGGACCCAGGCCCGGGGGCTGTGCCCCACTAGCCCCTTCCCTCCTCCTCCTCCTCCTCGGGGGTCTCCGGCAGCGGCGCAGGCAGCCCGCCAGCCAAGGAGGCGCGGTGGCGCGGACCTCGCCGGGCGTGCCGGCCCCGGAGCCTCCCGGCGCCCGCATGTCCTACAAGCCCCTGGGGCCAGGTGAGCCGCGGCGGGGGAGGGGAGGGTCTGCAGCAGCCCCCCCCTCCCCCAGCGCCGCCTTTGTGCGCTTGCAAACTTTGGATGGGGCGCCCAGCCGCTTCTCCAGCCTGGGAAGGGGGGGAGGATATTGGGGAGGGGGCTGTCCGGCCCTCAACCCCCCCCACCCATCTTAATGCGGTGGGGGGGGCGGCCAGCCAGAAGGCAGGGTGGGGGGGATGGAGAAGGCGAGGGAGGGGCTGGAGGGGCAGAACAAGGGACCCTCGCCCCCCTCCCCTTCCCAACCCAACTCTGCACATGCTCAGAGTCTCTCTCTCTCTTTTTACCCCAGGAGCGGGGTCTTTTGGGGGGGGTCTTTCACCCCCAAAAAAGGGGAGGCTGGAGGACTTTTGGAACCAGATTGGGGGGTGGGGGTGTTTTCCTTTGTATTAAGCCTCTGGGTGGGCTTTGCTCCCCCCCCCTCCTCCTCCCAGGAAGGAAAGTAAAGGCAGGATTTCGAATTGAGGAGGGGGGGGCTTCCCTTCCCTCCCCCCTCCCTCCCCCTCCTTAAACAACTGAAGAGTGTGGAAAGTTTTCTCCATAGGAATCCAAAGGTTTCCAAAGTCCGCCCCCTCCTTTCCCTTCCAGCCCCCTCCCCCCCACCTCTAATTTGACCCCCTCCTCTGCAAAACTTTCCACTTTGGTTACTGTTTTTTGGGGGGAGGGGGGTGTTCTTCAGTCACCCTCCTCCCCCCCAAGATGGATTGGGCCTCTCCCCTAGATAAATTGGGGACTAGGCTTTCAATGCCTGCCAGGGATTCTGGGTATTGTAGTCCCTCTCTGTCTGTCTCCATCTCCGGTACCACCAGGTCACTTCAGTCATACAGAGATAGAGATGGATGCCTAGAGAAGCCCTGTTCTAGCTAGCTACAGTCTATCAATCATCCATTAATTAATCAATCTATCTATCATCTGTCTCCTCTCTCTCCCCCTCCTTTATTGCTCTCTATCTCTCTCTTCTATCTTTCTGTCATCTATTTATCTCTTCTGTCTCTTTATCTATCATCTATCTGTCATCTATATTAGTCTATTGATATCTATACATCTCTATCTGTCATGTAGAATCTATCAATATATATATATTTATCATCTTCTGTCATCTATATTGGTCTATCAATCTATATCTCTTTCATGTAGAATCTATCAATATGTATATATTTCTCATATCTATATCATTATCTGTCATCTATATTAGTCTTATCAATATATCATCTCTATGTCATGTAGAATCTATTACTATCTATATATTTGTCATCTATATTATCATCTATATTAGTCTATCAATATCTATATCTCTGTCATGTAGAATCTATCAGTATCTATATATTTCTCATATCTATATCTGTCATCTATATTAGTCTATCAATATATTTCTCATGTAGAATCTATACATTTCTCATATCTATATATCTATCATCTATCATCTATATTAGTCTATCATTATATCATGTCATGTAGAATCTATATTTCTCATATCTATCATCTATTCATCTATATTAGTCTATCAATATATCTTCTCATGTAGAAATCTATCAATATATATTTCTCCTATCTATCTATCTATCTATCTATCTATCTATCTATCTATCTATCCATCATCTAGTATACTGAGAATTGAGCAGGTATTGTAGTCTCAGCCTCTAAATAATGGCAAGAAGGTTGAATTAAAAGTTTCTTGTTACAAGACTCTGGTTGTTAAAAACCAGGAAGGGGTAACTTTGCCAGGCCAGTATTTGAAGAGAGAAGGTTTAAAAAGAGTGCTTGCAAAAACCCCTTTCTAAAATGGTTCAGGTTTTCGTCTAAAGTTTGGTTTCTAACTTGGGTTTGGTTAAGTTGGTTAACGGGCAGCACCTTCGTTCATACCATAGGCTAAACCAGTGGGAAGTGGGGGGGTTTCCCCCAAACTTAACATCCTTTAAAACGTTTGGGCTTCAACTCCCAGAATTCCCCAGCCAACATTTTAAAAGTTGCCAAAGTTTGAAAAACACTGTCTAAACTATAATATAGAGGTTTGGTAGGGGGATTAATGGATGTTCTGTGCTCCCAGCCAGCTGTGATTTATTCCGTAAACGACAGCTAAGCCAATAATGGCTTGCTTAATGCCTAAACCAGCATCCTCCGTGCCTTTTCAGAGGGAACAGCTGGCAAAGGCCTACCGAAAGCCAATGCCTGTGGCTATGCCCCCAGGTTTGTGCCCACCTCCCCAAAGAACATCTCTTTGACAGGTTTATTCCAGATGTTTGGATTTCAAGGATGCTGAAGATCCCTGCATTCCAGCTCCCTCGGGTTTTACCGGTGGGAAATTTCAAAGGCGCACCCTCAATCCCTGGAGGGAAAACAAAACCTGATGACCCTGAGAAAATTCAGCTAAAAATAAAAATACAAGGCTAGAGCCCGTGGGACCTTAAAAAGTGTCCTTGTAAGCGAGACTTCGATTTTGGAGTCCGCAGCTGTTCCTTCACATCTGGCCCAGGAATGCCGAGTTTCCCCCCCCCCCGCCACCCACCCACACCACAAGATTCCCTTTTGTCCTGCCTTTTTGACATCCGTGCGTTTGTGTGTGTGTGTGCGTGCGTGTGTAGTAATTGCGACGTTTTGGACGGGCTTCGAAGCGGGAGGAAGGCCATCTGCCACATTGAAAGGATGACTCAGGCTGCCTCCGAAATCCAGTTCCCTTCCTTTCCAAGACGTGAGGATCATCCCCAATGCGAAAAAAGGAAAAAAAAAAAAAGAAAGAAATTTAGAAAGATCTTCCTTCAAATGCTTGGGTTGATTCCAGTTTAACCCGAGCTGCTTTCTTTTATTATTTTCTTACTCTTATTTTCTTATTCTTATTCTTTCCTATTCATTATTCTTATTCATTGTTCTTATGATAGATTTAATTAATTAATTTAATAATTATATTTCTATACCGCCTTTCTCCCATAGGACTCAAGGCGGTGTACAGTCAAGAAAAATATAGATAACACAAACATCATAAAATTGCTAATTAAAATTATTATTATAACATAGTTTGGCCCAATTAAATAGAACCTAACTTAATCTTGAATTCGATTCACAGTCTGGGACTGGTAAAAACTTAACGGTTCAAAGTCCTAACCAAGGATCTAAGAGGTATTAAGTTAGCCTCTGAGCAGTTCTGAATAAGGTGGGGTGGGTTTTTTTTTTTTTTTTTGGCAAAGTTGGGATATTCAGGTCTACTTCAGCATATTCAGTTCAAAATTTCCATGTGTCTAGGCAACCCTTTGGGTGGTATTATCAGCATCTCTTTTATTCATTAGACATGAAACTCAACAGTCAACTGAACATTTAAAAACGTTTCTATCACATATATTGAGTGGCGCTGATGGTTGATATGGGTTGGTGCCAGCATCCTAGGGATCAATCAAGTAGCTTTTTGAGGATGATGATGATTGATTGATTGATATAATCTTTAGTTTGATTCGCAGTCTGGGACTGGTAAAAACAATTCAAGTCGTAACCAAGGATCTATTATTATTATTCTTTTATTCATTAAACATGAAACTCAGTCAACTGTACATTTAAAAATGTATCAGAAATACCATTGACTGGTGCTAATGGTTGATACGGGTTGCTGCCAGCGTCCTAGGGATCAACTAACTAGTATCTTCTTCTTCTTCTTCTTCTTTCTTCTTCTTCTTCTTCTTTTTTCTTCTTCTTCTCTTCTTCTTCTTCTTTCTCTTCTTCTCTTTTTCTTCTTCTTCTTCTTCTTCTTCTTCTTCTTCTTCTTTTCTTCTTCTTCTTCTTCTTCTTCTTCTCTTTCTTCTTCCTTCTCCTTCTCCTTCTCCTTCTCCTTCTTCTCATCATCATATTATTACTATTATTATCATCATCATCTTTTATTCATTAAACATGAAACTCAGTCAACTGTACATTTAAAAATGCATCACAAATACCATTGACTGGTGCTAATGGTTGATACGGGTTGCTGCCGGCGTCCTAGGTATCGATCAAGTATCTTCTTAAAATATATGATATTCCGAGTAGCGCAGCTTTTTGCAGTTCCTCTGGTGGTGGTGGTGTAGTTGTTATTATTATTGATTTAATCTTCAGTTCGATTCACAGTCTGGGACTGGTAAAAACAATTCAAGTCGTAACCAAGGATCTATGATTATGATTATTTGTATTCTTACTTTTATTTTTAAAGGGATGTTGTTTCTTCCGTAGGGTGTTTTTCAGGGGGTGGGAAGAGGGATGTTGAGAGTGTCGTGTCCCGTCCCCACATCATCCATCGTAGCTTCTCCGCCTGCTTTGTGAACGGGGCACACTCCGGCACCCTGGCTCAAGGCCAGCCGGGCAGACAAAGGAGACTGAAGCTGAATGCATTCAATGTTTGAGCTGGCATCGCCTGTCCCTGTGGCCAAGTGCCAGGCAGGGGCTCTGGCACCGATGAGCTTTGTATTCCCCTACTTCTCCGGGGCCCAAAAAACAGCTGAGTTCTCAGGCTGGGCTGGTTCTGGGCCCCCTTGAACAGAACCTATCCAGATGGGGAAGAGATCCCTGCAAACAAATCGGTTGATCCATTGCCCCGAACTTCTTTGCAGTTCTTTGCGATGCTTCCCTCACTCTCCCTCCAGCGTCCGGGCTCGGCTAAATGAGCTCTGGATGTCCTTTGACGAAGATTTCCCGTTTCCAAGCCAGCCTGGCATTGTGTGCCTTTCCTTCCACCACCACCCACCCTCACCCTCCAGCTGGGTGAAGCTGGCACGGCTGCAAAAGGCGGCCATCTGCATTGCGTTTGGGGGGGGGCGGTGGCGCAGCCAAGTCCGAGCCCCCCCCCTCTCCTTTTGTTCCTGGGGGCCTGCTGCCGGCAGAGGAGGCTCTGGCTGCCGGAGGCTATGTCCTACTACGTGTTTGAGGGCCAAGGAGCAGGTAAAGGGACCCCCGGATCGTCGGTTTGGGGGCGGTTGGAGAAGAGGGGTGGTGGGTGGCACAGCCTCGAGATACGGAGCCAGTCTCTAGGGCAAGATGGGGCCAGTGGAAGGCTCATCCTTCCTGGAGAAGGCAGGCAGGCGGGCGAAGCTGGGCTTCGGAGTGGACCCATAATCCCCAACCTTTCCAATGGCAAGCCCCCCCCCCACCCAACCCACCCCATTTGTCACCAGCGTTGGCTTGCCAGCCATGCCAGAAATGAGGAAGGGGTGTCGCCAATTGGGAGAAAGAGACCCGTTTTTTTTGGCCAAGGTGCCTGAATTCACGTCAAACCCCCCCCCCCTCCCTCCCTTATATTTGTGTACCACCACAAAACAGCCGCTTCGCACATGCTGTAAATCACCCTTTGATTGGCTTTACGGAGTAAGTCGATGCCTTGGTGGCCAACTTTAATGGAAATATATTCTGGCGGACACCCACCCACAAAAGAAAGAAAAATGTATATATTTGCTGCCATGCTGGACCCCGATATTCTCCTGCGCTCGAATGAGTTCCATTGCCTGTTTGACAGACATATTTTTTTTTCCCCTGAGCCGGGGAGTCTATAAATTAGATTATTTTGAAGCCCGATCCCATTATTCGTTTGCGTAAGGAGTTTTATTTAGGATTTCTGGGGCTGCCCGCCTCCTAGCAGTGACTCCGAGCTCGCAAATCATGCCAGCGTTACAAGAAAAAATCGCCAATTTTTAATATTTCACAGCTGGGGAGAACAAGGAAAGTCCATGCGAAGGGGGGAAAAGTTTTCTTTCCGAGACAAAAAAAGGACCATTCTTGAAGCGTTCGCATTTATTTCCGAGTTAAGCCTGCAATTCCGTGTTGCTATTAAGCATTAGATAACGCTGTTAAACTACAGAGTGATAGATAATGCATTTTCTCTGATATTTATCTCTTAATTCTTTGGGGATCCAATCTTACCCATTGCGTTTATTTCTCTCCAAAGCTCATTCTCCTTCTACCAGTATGGCGGGCTCGGGGCAGTACCGACATCTGATTAATGACTACGGACCCCCGTCTCTAGGCTACACGCAAGGAGGGCAGGTAAAAAAAAATAAATTGATTTTTTTTTCCGTTTTAACTTTATGGACGCAGGGGACCGTTCAGTCCCCTTGGTCGGTCAATCCTGCTTTCGTGTTCATGTCATGCAGAGGGTTGAAATTGTGATGATGCTACGAGATTCTGCCAAGAAGGAAAAGGCAGGATTTTCTTTGTTACTATTCTAGTGATTAAAGGGGTCTCTGCCTCCAATAGAGTAGAAAGGGTGAAGAGAAGAGCAACGAAGAGGATCAGGGATCTGGAGGCTAAAACATATGAAGAACGGTTGTAGGAACTGGGTATGTCTAGTCTAATGAAGAGAAGGACTAGGGAGGACATGATAGCAGTCTTCCGATACTTGAGGGGCTGCCACAAGGAAGATGGGGTTGTTCTTATCTAGGCCTCCTGAGTCAGTAAAACACACGAGGAGTCCCAAAAACCTGTTTTATTTTAACAGCTGTGAATTCTGTTCATCCACAGAGGAGTCCCCAAATAGTTGTCAAGAGTCCTTCGGGATAAGGCTGATAATCACTCACCTTTATCTCCCTTGACACACTGCCAAAGACCTAATTGGCAAAGGCCACACGGAGTCCAGAATCAAACGGAGCTTCAGGCTGTAAACTGCACAGAATGAACAACGTTGCTTCCTGCAAAGGCGCCACGTGCCTTTGCTCCTCTTTTAAGCCTTATGGGAGAGGCCAATCATCTCCCAGCCCTACTCCCGAGTCGTCCCTTTTGTTTTAGCTGTTCTTGCCTTCCAGCAGCTCTGCGCATGTGCGCACTGGGAACAGGCTCCCCCCGTTCCTCTGCCTTGCTGAGGTCCGACTCTGGAGGCTCCGAGGCAGCACGTACCTCCCAGATGGCCCTTTCTCTGCCTCCGACGCAGAGCCTTCGTCTGAGCCTTCCCCAGGCTCCAGGACTGACCCATGTTCCTCCCCAGCCTCCTCACTGTCCGACTCTGCGGCCAGCTCCGCAGGGAGGTAATTTTGATCCCGTGACCCTGGGGATGTTACAACAGTCGTTAAGTGTGAAAATCGTCCTTTTTTTCCAGGGCCGTTGTAACTTTGGTCACTAAGCGAAAGGTCGTTAAGATGGGGACTATTGTTCTGCTCCTTTGTTAACCCTCGGTTTTTGGATTTATTTGTGACTTAATTCGAGGTTTGTTTGTTTGTTTTTCCTGTCCTTTTCTGTCAGCAGGGCAGCGGCAGCAACCAAGTCCCTCAGAGCAAATACGCAGAACTCCTGACCATCATCGAAGAATTAGGAAAAGAAATCAGACCGACGTACGCCGGGAGCAAAAGTGCCATGGAAAGGCTAAAACGAGGTAAATTTTAGGTCAGATCTTTTAAATCGCCGACGTTTCTAGTCCTCGGGATTTGTACCGCCGTTGAAGCGGGCTTTATCCTCTCCCGGTTCTGAATTTGCGACGGGTAGTAGAGCCGACGACGGAAAGAGGCCGGCTTACTATTTGGAAGCAGATTGGCGGGAATTAACGCAGTCGGCCTCTCTTAACCAACCGAGTAGTTTCGGCCTTGTTCCTTTTCATTGGTTGATCTCCGTTGCCATGGTGACAAGCTTCAGGGTTCGCCCATCCTCGTGGGCGGGAATCGATTTAATCCAAACATCATTTGGCTGCAAACTACAAAAGAGGCCGTTTACGGTCTCGGAAAACCCGCCTTGACTTAAGTGCAAAAGGCAGGCTATTTTCTAGACAGGGTCTCCAACCTTGGCAACTTTTAAGCCTGGCGGACTTCAACTCCCAGAATTCCCCAGCCAGCAAAGCAAAGCTGGCTGGGGAATTCTGGGAGTTGAAGTCCGCCAGGCTTAAAAGTTGCCAAGGTTGGAGACCCCTGCTCTAGAGATCACACCCAAACAGATTCAGGAAAGACAAAACAGCCTTGTCTACCGTATTTTACACAAATAAAAGAGATTTATTCCAAAAGTGGAGACTCAAAATAGATAAGTCCTCGACTTACGGCCGCCATTGAGCCTGACATCTCTGTCATTAAGTGAGCTTTGCCTCCTTTTACAACCTTCCTTGCCTCTGTTGTTAAGTGAAGCACAGCAGTGGGTAAGTTACTGTGTTTCCCCAAAAATAAGCCCTCCCCGAAAATATTAAACGCACGAGCAGCTGGTCCCCGCCATTTCCTCTGGTTGGGGTTAGGGAGACAGAGATAAAAATCAGGTAAGACGGCAAGAGGAGCCCCGTCTCGCTCCCCGCCCCAAAATAATAAGACCTCCCCTGAAAATAAAGTCAAGCACTTATTTTGGGGTTCAAAAAAATATGAGACAGGGTCTTATTTTCAGGGAAACACGGTAGTAACTGTAATTCATTGTTAAATGAATCAAAGTTGCTTGTGAGGAAGTCGCAAAGGGGGATCATACGATCCTGGGACACAGCAACAGTCGTAAGTATGAGTCAGTTGGCAAGCATCTGAATTTTAATCGCGTGACCCATGGGGATGCTGCAGAGGTTGTAAGCGTGGGAAAAGGTTGCACATCACTTTTTTTCGGGGCCGTCATAACTGTGAATGTCACTAAAGGAACTGTCGTTAAGTCGAGGATTCCTGCAAAGGCCAAAATGAACTTTGCACAAAAAGACGGGCTGTTAAAATATGATTTGCTTTGGAATTTGGGCTCTTTTATGATGTTATTTCCCCAGTCAGCAGCTAAGTTGCTCGCTCACCTCGGGGAGACAAAAAAGCATCTTTAACAACAAAAAAAACCCTATTTTATTTATTTTTCCAGGTATCATTCACGCCAGAGGCCTGGTCCGAGAATGTTTAGCAGAGACGGAGAGAAATGCAAGATCTTAAGATCCCTTCGGCCCCTGCCTCCCAAGTGATCCCTTCCCCGTTCCTCTGGAAAAAAATGCAGACCAATCCTTCCAAACTGGCAATTCTACACAGCTTCTTTCTAATTTGGGATGATAGTTCCCCTTTTCGAGAACGGTGGCCGAAGATTGCTGGGCCCCCGTTGAATTCCTGCTCCAATTCAAGATGTTTCTATCCTTTCACAAACTTACTTTTGACTCTTATTCTTTCTGCAAGCCACCATCCTGGATCGATCCATTAAAAAAGAGGAAAAAAAAGAACCCCACCCCTTGGAAGAATGGAAATGGGTTCAGAGGGCTGTTTTTTTTTGTTCTTTTTCCACCCAAAGTCTGCTCAACAAAAGCTTTGCTTCTTTCCCATTTATTTTGCCATCTGCACCCAACATCCCCTCTCAAACTTTCTGCCATCGCTTTCCAGACTCGCAAACCTCTCAAGATCGTTTTCCGGTCTGCGTTCAGGGCCGGTTGAGGGAATCCGTTGCAGCTTTCCAGAGATTCCCTCGGCTGAAATAAAAGCTGGACAGGTTCCCCTCTCGGAAATCTCCCTCCTTGCGTTACTGGCGTTTTTCTATACAATGCATCAGTAGGTTTTGCGTCGATGAGTTGTGGACATCCACAAACACACCAGAATCCTGCACAACGCACCCAGGTAAATTCTTAGGATTTGCAGGGTAAGCCTCTTTTTTGGGGGGAGAAAAATTGCCTTAATCACCCCCAAATTAACTTCCCAGCCCAACGATTTCAGGAATTGTTTTTAAGCTGGAAGGATTCTAAACCTGCCTGCCATCTGCCCTTCAAGCGCCATAATATTTTTTTTTGGCACACAGACCATAAACAATCTCTCTGAAAACGTCCCTTTCTTTGCATGAGTTTTCCCCAACCATCTCCCCCAAAAAACGCACAATTTCCTCCCAAGCAGAAAACAGCCAATTTTCAGCCCCGTATTAACAATTCTCTCCCCTCATCCCTGGATTTAAATTGCAACTTTGCCTCTTTGTATGTATTTATTACTTGACGTAATAAAGCTTATTTTCAGTAATTCCTGTAGTTAAATAGTGGCAAGCCATTGGGAGGGGGATGTTGGGCCTGGACAAGTAATTAAAATTATTACACGAGGACGAACAGAGGAGATGGAAACGATTAAGAAAAGGAAAGTAAGCGTACATTCGGATGGATTCCAGAAAAGGGATCCAGCTTTTCCCTGATTGAACGCCGGGATGCCAAAGTTTTCTTCGATAACGGATTGAACGCATCAACTCGACAACTGGATTTAACGTTTCGGGGAGCGAAATGCAACTTTTGGCACATTACCAAATGGCAGCAAACAAGCCTGTATAATTTGTTCTTTTAAAGTTCCGGAAAAGAATATGCAAGGAGAAGAAATATATTACGTGACATCCCCCCCCCAAAAAAGCTGCGATCTAGGCCCTGGGAAATGAGGAGGGGGGTTTTCTTCTCTGCCATCTGCTAGGATCTCTTGCCCTCAGTGAAATTGGGGGGGGGGGAGAATGACTCCATCGTGCTAATAATTCAAGCACTGATTGTACTGTGTTGTTTTCTGCTGAACCGCCGAGTTCTTAAAAGAAATAGGCATTGATTAGAGTAGGTTGTCCGTTTTTTGGACAGCCGAGACTGTCTTTACGTTCCTATCTTGCCCTCCAGGCCAAGCATTTCTTTCAAGTGCCGCTTCCTCTCCAGGTTTTTCTTGGCTTGCCGTCTCTTCTCTTCCTTTTTTTTCTGGAACTCGTGTTTCTCCTGGAGGACCACGCTGGACTGGCCCTTGTAGAAAACGTCCACTTTCTCCTGAAGGATCTCTCGGGCTTTGGAGCGGTTGGTCTCGAGGGATCGGGTCTGATGGCACTAGGGAAGAAGAAAAAAGGATCTGGAGTTAGAGAAGGCGGGCCGCCTCGTCCGGAAAGCTTTGCTGGGATAGGTGCTACTCGAGAAAAGCATTCGGGCAGGAGACGTTCAGTGGTCAGAAATTGAGAAAAACAATACTGAAGACTGGATAGGCCGGCAAAAGCTCACAAAGAGAGCCATAAATGCCATTAGGATGAGGATGAGCGCGTGGGCCATGTTCTACCAACGCTTCTAGTAGGATGAACAGGATGAGATGGTTTAACTGCCACTAGTTGAAAACTGCTTTCATCCAGAAGTGTTTCTTAACCGTGGCAACTTAAGAGGGATGGACGTCCATTCCCAGAATTCCCTTGCTGGCTGGGGAATTCTGGAAGCCAAAGTCCACCCATTTTCTGATGTCTACCAACCATAGAGTCTGGACTCTAGCGAAGGCAGACCCTGGGGAATTCTGGGAGCCAAAGTCCATCCATTTTCTGAGGTCTACCAACCATAGTGTCTGGACTCTAGAGAAGCCTGACCCTGGGGAATTCTGGGAGCTGAAGTCCAACCATCTTGTGGTTGAAGTTCAGACATCATCTGAGGTCTACCAATCATAGAGTCTGGGCTCTAGAGAAGCCAGACCCTGGAGAATTCTGGGAGCTGAAGTCCACCCATCTTCAAGCTGCCACAGTTGAGAAAACACTGCACAACTAGTTTCAATATGACCACAAGTCTTGCAGATTGAGCTAAAGGTTTTCCTGGTCAAACACAGACCACAATTTACACCACGCCCCATCATTCCTGTGCTTACAACAGGGAAGGTTCTCCTCTGATCACCTGGATTGGGCTTTTACTCACAGTAAGAGATCCAGAAGCCCCCTATATTTCAGATCCTCGAGTAACTTCCAGATCATGCATGGCAAATCTGGATCAAATAAGGGAGCCCTGCTGCCAGGAAATGAAGTAGAACCCTCAGTGCCTTCACCTTGATGACAATCCCCGAAGGAAGATGCTTCAGAACCACACAGTTGTTGGTTTTGTTGGTGGCTTGGCCTCCGGGCCCGGAGCCCCGGACAAACTGTTCTTCCAAGTCGGCTTCGTTGAGAGGAAGCAGCTCGGCACAGCTCTTCTTCCCTGCTCCAAGGACGTACGGTCCAAGACAGTGGCGCAGTAAGAGATGTTTGCCTCCAAGCTTTGACGTCCAAGGGAAGGTTCTCCGATGGATCAAAGCGGCAGTGAAGCGTAATAAATTTGAGGGAGGCATCTAAACGGAACCGGCAGGGACTTTTCTAGCTGCAAGAGAGAAACGGAAAGACTGAACTAGAGAGAAAAAAAATCCAGAAGTTTGGCTGAGTCAACATACCATAGCCTACAGCAGGTTTAATAGTTTGGTCAAGATAAAGGTTCCCCTGGCACATCTGTGTTAGTCGTTCCCGACTCTAGGGGGCACTGCTCATCTCCGTTTCAAAGCCGAAGAGCCAGCGCTGTCCAAAGACATCTCTGTGATCATGTGGCCGGCATGACTCAATGCCAAAGGCGCACGGAACGCTGTTCTCTTCCCACCAAAGGTGGTCCCTATTTTTCTACTTGCATTTTTTTTACGTGCTTTTGAAGGTTGGCAGAAGCTGGGACAAGTCACGGGAGCTCATCCCGTTACGCGGCACTAGGGATTCGAACCGCTGAACTACCGACCTTTCGATCGACAAGCTCAGTATCTTAGCCTCTGACCTCCCATGTCTCTTTGGTAGAAGAAGCCAAATCTGCATTTGCCTTGAGATGCTTCACGCCACACCGAATGTCTGGTTAACTGCAGAACTGGCACTGTAGAAAAAACAGATCAGCAGCTATTAAAAAAAAATGATGTCTGGTGTGATTTAACCATACCTACTTCTGAGAAAATTCACCATGTAATAATATCGTACCTGGGGCTCTTCTTAATGGCTGCCAAAATGCACCTCTGTCTCCCTGCACAGCTCTGTCTGGCTGCAACCCAGCAGAATTTGCTGAAGTTCAGTGCTTTGGCTTCCATCTGTCCCTTTTCTATTTCTGCATATGCTCTGCTCAAGCCTTCTGTGTTAAATAATACACCAGGTGTGCAGCTCAGCGGGAAGGGACAAATTCACGCTGCAGGGAAAGGAGGAGGGCGAGCTCACTGCTCCCTTTTTTCTCCTCTTACTATTCTTAGAGCAAATTAATGGCTCTAAGCTGATCAACTGACAGGGTTCCAAGAGGCTGCCAAGACCTAGTGGCTCTAAAAGAGAAATCTAGTTTTTAAAAACTCGGAACCAGAAAAACGTTTGAGTCAGCACACAAAAATAAGTCGCCGTAAGCAATACGGGTATAATGGACTCAGAAACAAAATTCGATCCAAAGTGAAGTTTCCGTATCTTCCCAGTTTTGTTTGAAAGCAACAAATTAACTTGGCCTTGACTGAAATTCTTTTTAAAAAGCCGTTTGATTACGTTGGTGAAGTATCAGCCATTGAAAATAGATTGCTCCCCGAGATGCTCCCTGATCGAAACATTTCCACTTCAGCATTCGATCCAATGCTGGTACCGAATCGCACATTTTTGCCAGCTATAAAAGTTCTGTCACTCCAGCGGCGTTAACTTTTTCAGAAGATTCGTGGAGGGGGAAAATGGACCCCAAACCACTGACTTGATAAAAGAGATGAAAAAGTAGACGAGTTTTAAAAGCCATTTTTTTTCACTTATCATCTCCCACCCTCTGCAGTGAAGTCACAATGCGATGCCTGCCACTTCAGTTGCCAAGGGAATAAATGGGATGGGGTGGGGAAGGGGGAAAGAGAGAGAAAAAGGCTGCATCACTGCAGAACCGGCTCGGACCACTGCATTGCAACCAACTGCCAAAGGAAATGCAGCCTGGCCACCTTCCATCATGGTAAGAAGCAAACCCAGCTCCTCCTCTTTAAATCCAGATGATTAAAAGCGGAGATACGGACGTGGGAATAAGCAAGGGCACCCCCTAAAAAGTTTGGTGTTTTTTTTTTAAAAAAAAAACACGTGCTCAATCTTCACATAAAGGTGGTGTAACTGGGCTGAAACAGATTACAGGCAGTCCTCGACTTACGACCACAACTGAGCCCAACATTTATGTTGCTATGCAAGACCTCTTGTTAAGTGAGTTTTGCTCCATGCGGCGACCACACTTGTTAAGTGAATTGTTGCAGGTGTTCCATTAGGGACACGGTTGTTAAGTGAATCTGGTCTTCCACCGCTGACTTTCCTCGCCGCAAAACGTGACCACCCAGGACGTTGCAATCGTCGTAAGTACGAAGCGGTTGCTGAGTGAGTGTCTGTATTTTGATCACGTGATCACGCGGGGATGCCGCAACGGTTGCAAGTGGGAAAATCGGTCCTCAAGCCGTATTTTTTCCCCCAGCGACGTTGTATCTTTGTCCGGTCACTAAATGAGCTGTTGTAAGTCGAGAGTAACCTTGTAGTAGCCGTGTTTGCTTGAGTGGCAGATCTGGAGATCTTTTCAGGCTTCTGATGCTCTTCCTTTTTTTTTTTTCCTCTCCTGGTTTTGGGTTTTGAAAGGGTGCCCCCCCCTTTTTTGGGGGGGGGAAGGGCTCTCTTTTCCTCTCCAGCTACAAATCAGAGCAGTCCCATACTGGGTTAGAAGTGGAGAAAAGTGGGTTCAAATCCTTATTCTCCCCACCCCCGCCCCACCTCCCTCGTCTGGCTCTCATTCTGCCCGCCTGTCCTACCTCGCAGGGCTGTTGTGCGCTTAGGATGGAGAGAAAAGGCCGAAGAGAAGGTGGGAAATAGACACAACGAGTAGCTTCTATGTCGGAGGGGAGGGAGAAGGTTTTCACGGGACGGCCCATCTCTCCTTGCGGAGGGCTTCCCAAACTTACCTTCGGGGTAACTCAACTACGACTAGGCCTCAGCCCCGACGCTGCTACGCATGCGCCCCGCCCTCCTCAGTGCCCCTCCAATGGCTGAGCCCCGAAGGAGCCAATCCCAGAGAGGCTCTTTCCCCCGCAAGCCCCCCGTCCCGTTCCTCACTCGTTGACCTAAGCGAGAGATAGAGTGTCTCCCCGCCCACCACGGGGCCAATAGCGTCCTCGATTCTGCGCCCACCCTTCGGCTCGCCGGCCAATCGCGTCGCGCGGCGGCTCGGGAGGGAGCCAATCGGCGCAGCCGCCTCGCGAGCCTTTGGCGTCCTGTCTTGAAACCGCTTCTTCGAATCTCAACCGCCAACGGCGGGACGGAGGAGACGGTTGGCGGCTCGGCCTTCTCCCCCGGCTCGGCTTTCGCCTGACGGGAGCGGCGCGGAAGGCCAGCCGGGGCCGCCGGGGAGGTAAGCGAGGGACGGCGGAGGCGGAATCCCCTTTACGAGGACCGGACCGCTTCTTCTGACGGGAGGGCGGGGCGACCTCATTTCCTTCCCCTGCCACGCCCCCACTTCTTCGACTGACAGGCGGGTCATCCAATGCCTGGCCGCTCTGGATGTTTATACTCCAGCCTCGTCCAATAAGGGGTGAGGGGTGGGGCTCGTTAAAAGGTCGGGCTCGAAGCCAGTAAATAAGGGCGGGATGCCAGGCTGGCCTACCTTGCAGGGTTCTTGAGAAGGTTCTAAAGGAGCTCAAGAGTTGCTGGGATTGCTCTGGGTGTAAATTTAATATTGTTATTAGAGTTCTTTTGCGCTGCCAGCCGGTTGTTTACGTAGGATTTGGTATTTTTAATCCACCTATCAAGTATTTCTCCAGGTTTTGGGATAGACAGATGTTGTTTCTTGTTATTATTATTGATTTTTGTGTGTGGTTTTTTTTTTAATTTAATTTTTTTTTAATTTTAATTTGTTTTTAATGTATCCTTTCAGATACAGTGAAAAACTCAGCAGAAAAGCAGGAGTTGGGTAGATAAATCTAAAATATCAAAAATAAATAGGATAAATAAATATACCTTTATTTGGTATATTTTCGATTAGAAACATTGATAAAGAAGAAAAACTAGGTAGTGGTGAATCAAGTTGGTGGGGTTCATTTCCCAGATGGATAAAAAATTAGGAGATTGTTTTGCACACCGTTGGTTGCAATTTTCTCCTTGCTAGTGAAGAAAAGCGACTTCCTCACTGTTTCATCAAAAGACAATAAATAACATCTCCCCTTTAATGTATTTGGGTTATATGTCGCTAGGTCTAAATTCGAGAATTAAACAGCCGATTTTAAAAAGTTGGCTGTAACAGGGGAGATAGACCGAAATGAAAAATATACAATACTATAGAGAACACACACCTAACCCAAAGTCTGGGGGAAGAAATATAATATATAAAACTGAATATGTTCCTTCCATTTATATTTCAAACTGAATTGGCAAGTGTTTATCTCTTATGTACAGCTGTCTCTGATCCTGTTTGAATATGCACTTCTTAAACTCTTTTGAGTTGAAAAAGGAGAGAAATTTAAGATATATATTATATCCTTAATCATATATGTGTGTGTGTGTATATATATATATGTGTGTGTGTATCTGTATATATATATATATATATATATATATATATATATATACACACACACACACACACTATATTTGTGTTTAATTATTGTGCCTACATTTAATTGCATTTTTAAAAGATCACGTTCAATCTGTTTTGGAGGGTAAAATTTTAAGAATGCTGCATTAATAAATTAAGGTCTTCTACAAATAATTCATGCACACAGAACTGTGGTTCAGAAGAAATAGGTCAAGCATATGATGTATACCGGGAAATGGATAACTTCTTTTTTTGTTTTGTAAAAGCTTCCCAGCTGTCTTTTCTTTGTTCATATTGCAGAGTTTATTCTGGATTTAGCCACCTGGATGAAACAGCAGCAGTAAAAGAGCATTTGTCTGGAATGTTGTGGATATATAAGGCAAGTACAATGGTCTTCTGGTACCCAAGAAACTACACTCAGTATACGTGTTAATAAAAAATAAATGTTTCTAAATATTGGCTGGACCCAACGATGCAGTGGTGAGATCAGACCAAGCAATGAATCTGTTTTTTATAGATTTTAAATGCATTTTAAAACAACGATAGCAGCCATACTTACTTTCCTTGCTGAATTATTTGATCAAAGCAAACTAATTTATACATGTATAAATTTTTTAAGGATAATCACAATCTTTGCAAGCATGAGATATGGAAAACCTGGGATTGGTGAAACCAGAGCAAGAAGCACCATCAGCGGACATCGATGCTAAGAACGCTCACAACTTGGTTGAGTATAACCTAAGTGACAAGAGGTTAGTGGGAAATTTAACCAATGTCATGCTTCCTAATTTCTGATCGTGTTTTCAGAATCCAATTTTACAAACAGAAAAGCAAATTTCAATATTTAGCACACTCTGGCCTAAGCTTGTCCAAGAACCTGCTGATGACTGACAAGTCATTTATTTTAACCAAGTTAACAAAGTCCACTCAAAGACCTGAGAAAAATCCTGCAGATTTTCCGTGGTTGCCTTCGGAGCAAGAAGGGGGTTGTCAGCGAAGCCCAGCCGAGTTTCAGTAAATAAATAATTCATATTTTTATTTGTTTGACAGAAGCAGTCCTTTGTTGCGGCCGGATGTCGTCTCCAATTTCTCAGGCAAAGTTGGTCCTTCTGCAATAACTGAAGAGGTTCATTTGTTGGCTTCATCGATGCAAGATGCTCAAAGCAGCTGTGACCCCGAAATACTGAAGAATTGTGAGGTATGTAATACAACAGTCGTTCCACGTACGTTTCTCAGTGATTTTGAACAGCAGCCTCACTTCACCTTCCTAAGTTTAATTTATGTATTAAATTTACACGTCGCCCATCTCACCATTAAAAGCGACTCTGGGCAACTTACACAATGATAAAAAGATAAATGTGAAAACGAACGGTTGCAGGAACTGGGTATGTCTAGTTTAATGAAAAGAAGGACTAGGGGAGACATGATAGCAGTCTTCCAGTATCTCAGGGGTTGCCACAAAGAAGAGGGAGTCAAGCTATTCTCCAAAGCACCTGAGGGCAGGACAAGAAGCAATGGGTGGAAACTAATCAAGGAGAGAAGCAACCTGTAACTAAGGAGAAATTTCCTGAGAGTTAGAACAATTAATCAGCGGAAGAACTTGCTTCCAGAAGTTGTGACTGCTCCAACACTGGAAAATTTTAAGAAGAGGTTGGATAACCATTTATCTGAAGTGGTGTAGGGTTTCCTGCCTAAGCAGGGGGTTGGACTAGAAGACCTCCAAACTCTGTTATTCTATACTATTCTAATATGTGTTGTTTCCAAGTGTTGAGGTTTGAAATCTTAAAATGTCTTGCTAAAACTCTAGAATTCTCTAGAGTTCAGATTTGGGGGGAGGGGTTGTTTATTTTCTTTCTGTCTTCAGATTCTTTTTGCTTCTGTTCAGGTCTCAGACCAAATACAGGTATCAGATAACAGGTTCAAGACAAAAATAGGAAATCCTCTGTTGTATCAGAGTTCAACCAATCACCAAGCTAGATGTGGGCCAATAGAATTTATAACCCATCAAGGAAGAAACCGTTTTATTTCCTTTGCTGAATCTTCTATTTTCCCATAGACCAGGTGGCTACATTTGTTCAGCCTGGTGGAGAGGCAGTGCCAAGAACAGATAGTCACACAGCAAAAAGTATTCTGTCATCAAATCCACGTAAGTCGTTTCGTTTCGTTTACTTTGTGCCTTTTTATATGCCGAAGGTCTGGCTCTGGAGAACGTGAGCTGGGAATTGCTAGGGAGTTGGGGATAACCGATAAGGATGGGGAATGCTGTTTACTGTAATTTTATCAAATGCCTAAAATAGCTCCTTGGTTGGCAGGGAGGTATGTATGGTATCCAGAGGTGGTATTCAGCCGGTTCGTGCGAATTGTTGGCGGAAATTTGGCCAAGGTTGCCGAACTGGTAGCGATGGCCATCTGGCCACGCCCCTGAACCGGTCCTCCGGTTGCCGCTCGCTTGCCCCGCCCGCCATGTTCGTCGCCGCCATGTTCTTCACACAGGTGCATCCCATTGCCTTGCAAGTCCAATGGGACTTGCACCAAACCTCACCCACAGAACCGGTAGTAAAAAAAATTGGATTTCACCACTGATTTGGTCTATGTGTATTTGGTGCATTTTAATATTTACATCCTTTTTGGTAACTGTTTCTCCCTTACCTTTCCTGATGACCCTCTCCACTAATAGTAAACCAACTCTTCCTGAAATTGAAACAAATATACAGAGGTATTGTTGTTTTACCGTTCTCTTTTTCCCTTCGTACATTGGTCTTTTTTCTTTTTCTTTTTTTATTTCCGGGTGACTTTTTGCCATTCATACTCACAGAATACTCACCTGTACGTACATGTCTGAGGCTGCCTGTTGCATTGGAGAAGTGAGACTACTCACCCAATAATATTTCCTGCTGTTTGATGTTCGGAAAATTGTCTGGAAGGAATGCCGGTGCACAAAAACACTGCCTGTACCAAACCGGAGCATTGACTGAAGTGTTTTTTGGCTTAATTCTCAAACTTTGTCCGTGTCCGATTCGTTGTGGTGCTTTTATGTCTTGAGTTTGTCGTGAAATAACGGCGTTAGTTGTGGTTTAATAGGGAAAAAGTTTCTAACTTGTCATTCTTCGTTGAGAGAAGCAAGCCAGCCCAGCCCAACACTCGAATTGTCTTCTTTCATTTAAGGCCACTAAGATTGATAGTTCTTTTCCCTTTTATATTTCCATGCAAAATTTGTTGGGTGGGCTCTGATTTTGTCTCGGCCAAGCCCCGTGAATGCTTCCATGCATGTGTTGCAAAAAGAGATGTCGAACAAATTTCTAAGTATTCATTCGTCTACCATAACATATTTCGGCATGTTGTGTGTGTGTGTATGTGAAAATGGCCTATGGACGTGACTGAAAACGTGACTCTTCTCGTGCAGTCGATCAAATGCTGCCTATTTGATTAAAAGGTTTGATTTTTAATGAAAGTTTTGATCTTCTTGTCTTCCTCCTCCTCCTATTCTCCTCCTCTCCTTCTCTTTCCTCCCTTTCCTTCTCTCCTCCTCCTCCTTCTCCCCTCCTCCTTCTCCTTCTCTCCTCCTCCTCCTTCTCCTTCTCTCCTCGTCCTTCTCTCCTCCTCCTCCTTTTCTCCTTCTCTCCTCCTCCTCCTCCTCTCCTTCTCTCCTCCTCCTTCTCCTTCTCTTTCTCTCTTCCTCCTCCTTCTCTCCTTCTCCTCTCCTCTCCTCTCCTCCTCCTCCTTCTCTCCTCCTTCTCCTCCTCCTTTCCTTCTCTCCTCCTCCTTCTCCTACTCTCCTTCTCCTCCTCTCCTCCTCCTCCTTCTCTCCTTCTCTTTTTCTCCTCGTCTCCTTCTCCTTCTCCTTCTCTCCTCCTTCTCCTTTTCTCCTTGTCTCCTCCTCCTTCTCTTTCTCTCCTCCTCTTCCTCCTCCTCTCCTTCTCTCCTCCTCCTCCTCTCCTCTCCTCCTCCTCCTCTCCTTCTCCTTCTCTCCTCCTTCTCTTTCTCCTTCTCCTTCTTCTCCTTCTTCTTTCCAGAACATACAAAATGAAATCAGACGCTTGGGGAAACTGCAAACCCAGAGTGTGTGCTCATGTGCCAAACAGGCCTCTTCCGTCAGACTTTCAGACGGCCGCCCGTCGCTAGGAAGTCCGATGGGGTTGAAGGCCAACGCTTTTGAAGAAAATGAGCTCTTTACCAGTCAGTTCCATCCCGGCCATGCTGACCACCGGGCAGAAGCTTCCACCATGCACCGGGAGGGCCTTACAAACAGTGTTTCAATAAGCAGCGGATATGGGACGTTATCTACTGCGGAACTCAGTCCCAGCAAATGCGATGACCTGCCGGCCTGCATGGGAAACTCAGAGACAATGACCAAACGGCCGAACCATCCAGCACCAGCAACGGAGGATGTCGCTGTGGCCAGCATTCGGGACAAAAGAGAAGGCTCTCAAACCACAATCGGGCATTTTCCACCTCTGAAGGAGAAGGATGGCGACGTTCCCGCTCAGTTTGAGCATCAGATTCACGAAGGTCAACCTGAGGAACCAAATGGGTAAGGGACCGATACTATTCAATTTGCTAGGTTCTTCTTTAAAACTAGAGGATGGGTTACCAGCTTTAAAATTTGGCTTTTTATTCTAATGTACTGTTTCTCAGCCTTAGCAACTTTAAGATGGGTGGACTTCAACGCCCAGAATTCCCCAGCCAGCAAGCTTCAAGAGGGGAGGGACTTCAACTCCCAGAATCCGTCAGCCTGCGTGCTTTAAGATGGGTGGACTTCAGCTCCCAGGATTCCTCAGACAGCAAGCTTCAAGCGGGAAGGGACTTCAACTCCTAGCTAGCCATGCTGGCTGGGGAATCCTGGGAGTTGAAGTCCACCCATCTTAAAGTTGCCAAGCTTGAAACACTGCTCTAAGAAATCCATTGCAGTTTGCAAAGGTAGCTGGACCTTCTGTTTTTACTGTCACCATCCAGAAAAAAAATATATATATAAATTGCAGCGCTCAATCAATTATTTTTATTCGCCGTGTCTCGGTTTTCTTTTTCGACAGCAAACCTTTAACCTCCTGGGCTCAAAAGACGAAACAAAACCACCTGAAAAAAACAAGCGTGGAAGAAGAGACCGAGCCGGGAAAAGAGCAAACCGTTGACAGTGTAAGAGAGTTGCCGAAATCCAAATGAAACGGGCCGGCGGCAGTGAATGAAAACACACAACAACTTCAAGCCGCGTGGATTTTGATTCCCAGAATTTCCCAGCCAGCATGTTGGTGCTCTAGGATTGCACTGCCCAGTTAGCCCTTAAAAGTTCTAAAGAGGTTAATCTAGCTGTGGTCCAAGATTATGCCCTAAAGCCACGGGCCTCCAAGCTTGGCAACTTTTAAGACTTGTGGACTTCAACGACCAATAAATCCCTGATTTTTCTCTTCCCCGTTTTGTCCGATTACAGACCAATACCATCGCTGCTGCCGTGCCATCAACCACACCGTTTTACCTCAATCAGCAAAATGGAAGCCAAAATTCTTTAGTCTCTCTTTCTTCAGGTACAGTAGCTTCCAAAATTCATTCCTCTGTCTGTACCTCTTGTAAGTATGGTAAATTTGGAACTATGGGGATTGTTTTATTAGCTTGACTAGCCTTCCTCCTTATTGTCAGTGGTGTCTTTTGAAATACCGTGTTTCCCCGAAAATAAGACCCTGTCTTATATTTTTTTGAACCCTGAAATAAGTGCTTGATTTGATTTGATTACATTTCTATACTGCCCTTCTCCCGAAGGACTCAGAGCGGTGTACAGCCATATTAAAACAAACCCATCACAAAAATTAAAAACCAAAAGCACCACCAAACTTTTACTTCAATCGTATATTTTTCTTTCAAAATTGACATCCCGGCTCTTTGTTATCCTTAAATCCATTTCGAGATGCCTGTTTTATCCCGCAGGTCTGACCTATTGGAGATTAGACGAGAAGGAAATGTATCAAGCGTTGCCTAAGAATTTAGGAAATGAATTTTCTACGTTCTCAACGAAGGACTCCTCAGAACAGGTATTGCTACCTTCTGCGGGGTGTTTTTTTTCCCCTCTTTTGCTGAATTTTCCGTCTCTCCTCCCCTCCTATTGGCTGGCGCTGCTTGCTCATTGTTTAACATGTGAAGGCTGACAATGTCTTTTTAAGAAGAGGTTGGATAACCATTTTGTCTGAAGTGGTGTAGGGTTTCCTGCCTGAGCAGGGGGTTGGACTAGAAGACCTCCAAGGTCCCTTCCAACTCTGTTATTTTATTTTATTCTATTCTAATGTGTGACAACAATTCTGCTCTCCCCTTATGGCATTAAGCTGCTTTGGGTTCCGAGCTCTACTTTTTCCATATAGCAATATTTCTCTACCTACCGTGGCAACTTAAGATGGCTGCTGGCTGGGGAATTCTGAGAGTTGAAGTTCACCCATCTTATAGTTGCCAAGTAGAGAAACACTGACTTACAGTGACTGGGTGTCCCTGTTCCTAGAGTTATTCAACTTGCCCCTCTTCCCAACACATTATATTTCGAGTAGAATAGAATAAGAGAGTTGGAAGGGACCTTGGAGGTCTTCTAGTCCAACCCCCTGCTTTGGCACTTCAGACAAATGGCTATCCAACCTCTTCCTAAAAACTTCCAGTGTTAGAGCATTCACAACTTCTAGTGGCAAGTTGTTCCACTGGTTAATTGTTCTCACTGTCAGGAAATTTCTCCTTAGTTTTAAGCTGCTTCTCTCCTTGATTAATTTCCACCCATTGTTTCTTGTCCTGCCCTCCGGTGCTTTGGAGAATAGCTTCCCATCTAAAAATATAGTCCATCATTATATTAAATAAATGCTTAAACTCTCAGTCTGAATTCTTTCCTCTTAGCTGTCTTCCAGTGACGAGCTGAAGCTTACATCCTTAAAGGATATTTATCATAAGAAACAGAAGGAAAATAAGCAACTTGTAGAGTGGAATTTCGCCCCCCTGCACTCAACTCATCCCCCAGAGGTAATAACTTGTCCTTTACGTCTGCCTGTTGCCTTGAAAATGTCCCTCCTTTCTTATACTTAACAACTGTCCGGCCTCCCGAACAGTTTGAATCTCTCCGGTTCCTAATTGGGATCAGTCTGTTAGCTGATTGTCCCAAAGGTCTTTTTTTCCAGAGGCCACTGAACTTTCTTTGTTTTTCCTTGAAGACGTTTCGCTTCTCATCCAAGAAGCATCTTCAGTTCTGACTGAATGGTGGGGAAGCGAAGGATTTCTGCTTCTTGCAGGCAGCTGGTCTTTGGTATTCTTTTTAGAGGGTCGTTGAGGCCACTTGGAGCTTTTTCTGTGTCCTTGGGGGTCACCTGAGCGGTGCCAATGGGTGTGGCCAGCGGGCCACAACGCATCATCTCTTTATGCCGAAGCAACTAATTTACCCTTAACTGGGTCTTGTCTTATTTTTAACTCTAATCACCCTGATGTTCCTTTCACAGATCCTCACCCTCGACCCAACGCTCCACATGAAACCAGGCGAGCTGAACGCCGGGCGGCCTTTGCCCAGGTTCTACGCCAGCCCAGACCCGGCACCGTTTTCTCCAGATTCCATGGCGGGTCCCGCTTTTTCCCTTCGTTCGGAGGCCGATTCGTTTTCTCACACGAGCACTGTGGTGTCCCCTCGCTCCTCCGAGTCTCCCCGATACGCCTCTCGTTCAGCAGCCTTGCACGTCAATCCCTGGGGCGGTTGTGAGTTTCAGAACGCAACCAACATCGCCAGCTCTCCTCATCGGAACCGTGAGATTTTAGACATGGAGGACAACGACAACTTAACCCTCACGCCGTCTTCCGAGGCCCGGTCCCCGATTCCATCAGATGATCATCGTTTGACGCAGCACGAACTTTCCGTTGCTTGCGTAGAAGATCCTCTGGTGCTGTCAAAGTAAGATCATCCGTTCAGAATGTTGCTGTCAGGATTCCAAGTAACAGACCCAACTCAATCAAAACTCTTAAGGGGTTTCCTCAGGCATGAATTTATTAGGTAAAGGTAAAGGTTCCCCTCGCACATCTGTGCTAGTCGTTCCCGACTCTAGGGGGCGGTGCTCATCTCCGTTTCAAAGCCAAAGAGCCAGCGCTGTCTGAAGACATCTCCGTGGTCATGTGACCGGCATGATTCAATGCCAAAGGCTCACGGAACGCTGTTACTCTTCCCACCAAAGGTGGTCCCTATTTTTCTACTTGCATTTTTTTACCTGCTTTCGAACTGCTAGGTTGGCAGAAGCTGGGACAAGTCACGGGAGCTCACCCTGTTACGCAGCGGCACTCGGGATTCGAACCGCTGAACTGCCGACCTTTCGATCGACAAGCTCAGCCTCTTAGCCACTGAGCCACTGCATCCCTGTGAATTTATTAGGCACGTCATATTGGCACAGTTGGTGAAAAGCCGACTCTGAAAGCCCCAAGGTTTTCCCCACCCAAATCAAAACCCCAAGTCTCCGCATCCGTCACAGTCCCAACTCTGAACCACCCGCCGACACCGCTACCGGATCGGGCGATTCGGTCCAAACTGGAAGCATTTCACCCCTGTGTGTGTCCCATAAATTGTTATCTTGAAGTACCAGTTTTCTTCTTCGGAAATGTTGTCCAGCAAAGTTGCTAGGGTTTTGAATGTTTTCTTCTTCTTCTCTCTCTCTCTCTCTCTCTCTCTCTCTCTCTCTCTTTTTTTTTTTTAAAAAAAATCAGGATTAGGCAGAATTTGAGGGAAAAACATACCCGGCATATAACTGATCTCCGAACGTATTACGAGTCCGAAATTCTCAGTTTAAAGCAGCAACTAGAAGCAAGCCATACCTCTCCTTCCGAGGAAATGAAGAAAATCAATCAAAATCTCACAGACAGGTATTGGCTGAGTTGTTTTTGGAATAACGTGCGTCATCTTATTTTTTGAAGTGACGCTGTCCTGGATAAAACTGTTTCTGGACCTTCCCCTCTTCCGTTTTGACACCTGGAAATCAAATGGCCGTTTAGAGCATCTCTTGTGATATTTGCTAATGAAAGATAAGTTGCGAATGAAACAGGAAGAGCTGCGTGCACTTCAAATAGATGTATAGTTGCTCTTTGAACTCTCCCCATAGTAACTTACTCCGCATAGTTTACTTGCAAGCAGGGAGGAGTTCTTCAAGTGGCAAAGTATAAGTAGTCCTTGACTTACGATGACAATTGAGCCCAAAATTTCTGTTATAAAACAAAGAGATTTGTTATGTAAGTTTTGGTCCATTTTACAGCCTTTCTTGCTACCGCTGTTAAGTGAATCACTGCAGTTGTTAAATCAGTAACATGGTTGTTAAGTGAACCTGGCTTCTCCATTGACTTTGCTTGTCGTAAGGTCGCAAAAGGGAACCACGTGACGGCGGGACATTGCAACTGTGGCATTTATTTTAAAAAGTGATTTATGACAGTTACAGATCAAAATTCAGACGCCTGGCAACTGATTCACATTTACGACGACTGCCAAGCGTCTGGATTTTGATCCTGTGACCGTGTCACTGTCATAAGTCTCTTTCTTCCAGTGTCGTCGTAACTTCAAACAGTCACTAAATGAATGGTGGTAAGTCAAGGACTGCCTGTAATACACTTTGGGAAATGAAGGTTGCTTATCTACAATCAAGACTTTCTAGCAAGCGTTGACCTCCGACCCCTGATTTAGGCGAAGCGGTTTGCCTAATAATGCGAATAATATTCATTTTTTTGTTTTGTTTTTACGTTTTTTTTTAAAAAAAATATTTTCGAAATACATTTCTTAATCTCCACCCCTTTTTTCCAGCCATTGGTAAAATATATCCCATGTTTGACAATAATCCACATCTTCTTTCTGTTTAATTTTCAACGTCAATCTATCCATTTCTGCGCAATCTACTGTCTTCATCTCGCGGTATATCTTCATTTTTCCAATATTGTGCGAATATAATCCTCGCTGCTCTTAAGATGTAGATCAGTGTGTCTCAACCTTGGAAGCTTGAAGATGGGTGGACTTCAACTCCCAGAATCCCCCAGCCAGCGATGCTGGCTGGGGGATTCTGGGAGTTGAAGTCCACCCATCTTCAAGCTTCCAAGGTTGAGACACACTGATGTAGATAAAGATAAAATATAATTTTAAATTCGTACGTTTCTTATCCATTTTTTCTGATCTTACACCTAATAAAAACAATTTACACTTAATGGCGCTCTGTTTCAACTTTTAGGTGCGACCAGCTAGAAACCTCTCTGCACGAAGCCAACAGCCGTGTCCGATCCCTTGAAAAGAAAAACAAGGCCTTAGAGATGGAAGTAGTAAGTGTAGCTCATGCCTTGGATGCGGTAGTCCAGCTATAACGGGAAAATTTTTTTTTTTAAAAGCATTGAGCATTGCTCCAAACATCTCTTTATGGTCATGAACCGGCAGGGAAGAGTGGGAGGGAAGACAGAGAGGGCCAAAATACGGCCATGTTTTGGTCCAATGGGCACCGAGGACTCCCACATTTGGAGGGAAGAATTTTCTTTGAATGAAGTGGTTTGGCATCTGGGAACAGAAGCCTGGGAGGTACACCTTGGAAGTTTTGTGTTTATTTGCCTGGGAGAATATGAGATGTTCTCGGGCTCGGGCAGAATCCTCTAAATGAGCTGGATCACACTCAAGTCGATGAAATTCTTCTTCATTTAAAAAAATGTTATGTGGACTTCAACTCCCAGAATTCCCCAGCCAGCATGCTTAAGACAGGTGGACTTTAGCTCCCAGAATTCTGGGAGTTGAAGTCCACCCTTCTTAGTTTGAAGGACTTTATTGTTGCTAAATTAAAGGAACTTTAACACAATGAAGAATTTGTTCTCCCAAAGGTGATTTTTGAAGAGGCAACTGGATACCAGAAAGTCGAGTTGCCTCTTGAAAAAGGCTCCTTTGGGACAACCATGACCTGGATGACTTGAGAATCCCCCGAGACAAGAATTTGTTGTAATTGAGCGTTTCCGCCCCCATGAAAAACATCTCGTCTCAAACCTGCATCTTAATTCTATCAAATGTTACGGCCGGTCCTGCTGGCAGTTTTGGCACCGTCGTCTGACCGCGCTCTCGTGTGACTCTCGGCCTCTTCCCCTTTCCAGACAGATTGGCGGGAGCGCTTCGGCGCCCTCAGTGCCACCACCAAATCCTTGCAGGAGCGCATCGAAGAGATGCGCACGAGCGGCAAGGACAAAGATAACACCATCAGCCGCCTCAAGAGAAGACTCCGGGATCTGGAAGAGGCCTTCGAGAAAGCCTACAAGCTCTCCGACAACAAGGATGCCCGCTTAAAGGAAGAAAACAAGATGTTTCAAAACGTAAGTTTTGCCCACTTTGGAATGCGTGTGGCCAACTGTCAAGAACAGCCTCCCAATTTGTTACCGACCCAAGTCTTTAGTTGATGGGATTGTTCGAAAGCCATAAGAAAGCCACGGGAACAGTGTGGGGAATTTGGCTGTCCGTGTTCTGACCTAGGCTTCCCCAAAAAGCATGAAGCAGACCCCTTGTCCCGACAAAGACCCCTTTTTATTAAGTGACTGTGAATTCCTCTCGTTCACATCCAGCAAAGTCTTTCCAGGAAGAATTTAACAGTCACAGACCTTATCTCGCTTGGAGAGATTTGGGCCATTCACCGTCCACCTGTGGCTTTACTCCTGAGTCGATCCTTGTTCTTTAGCTGTTCCCTTCGTCTGGCAACTCTGCGCATGCACACCCTGGGAGCAGGCTCCAGCTGTTCTTCTCCCTCACTGATGTCCGACTCCGAAGGCAGCTGACAACTGTCAGACGGCCCTGGCCCCCTCTCTGCCTCCGACGCAGAGCCCTCATCCGAGCCTTCCCCAGACTCCAGGACTGGCCCATGTTCCTCCCCAATCTCCTCACTGTCCGAATCTGCGGCCAGATCCCCTGGCGGGCCACAATAATCTATGAACAAGACACCTGTGTCTTTCCATGAAAGTTCTCTTTTTAAAAAAGGGACTAAAAACAGGCCATTTTGACCTTAAGAATATTGTGGAGTTATCCTGCTGAACTGCAAATAGCTAAGTAGAAGAGATTTTTCTCCCTTGGAAAAAAACAGCCTTCCTGTTAGCTCAAACTTATTTCGGTCCCTCCTTATTCAATAGCTGCTTCTTGACTCACACTCTATGCTTGAAGGACTGATAACATTTGTGAGACTGAAGGATTTTTTCCCCCTTAAATGCCAGCTAGAAATAAGTCACCATCATACAAGGTGGAATTTGCTTGAATCCTGATTTGATCGATGTACCGGATGCTACGATTTGGGCCAGCTGGATATTGATTGCAGAGTTTTTGAAATCAATAATAAAAATGTTACTTTTTTTGATAGCTTTTGGGAGAATACGAATCCCTTGGGAAGGAGCACGAACGAGTGAAGGTAAGCAATCTAATTTTTTTGCAGAGCCGAATCTGTTTTTTAGGTGAAGAGGATCAAAAACCAAAAGGGGTTTAGCGATTCCTTGGTGGGCGTGGCTTGGTGGGCGTGACAGGGGAAGGATACTGTAAAATCTCCATTCTCACCAGAGGTGGGTTTCAGCAGGTTCTGACCAGTTCTGGAGAACCGGTAGTGGAAATTTTGAGTAGTTCGGAGAACAAGTAGTAAAAATTCTGACTGGCCCCACCCCCATCTATTCTCTGCCTCCCGAGTTCCAGTTAATTGGGAGGAAATGGGGATTTTGCAGTATACTTCCCCTGCCACACCCACCAAGCCACACCCACAGAACCAGTAGTAAAAATTTATGAAACCCACCACTGATTCTCACCCCACTCCAGGGGAAGGATACTGTAAAATCCCCATTCCCTCCCCACTCAAGGGGAAGGTTACTGCAAAATTCCCATTCAACTCCCCACTCCAGGGGAAGGATACTACAAAATACCCATTTCCTCCCGATCAGCTGGGACTCGGGAGGCAGAGGATTGATGGGGGCAGGGCCAGTTAGAGGCGGTATTTACCGGTTCTCCGAACTACTCAAAATTTCCGCTACCGGTTCTCCAGAACTGGTCAGAACCTGCTGAAACCCACTTCTGGATTACTCTGATTGTCCTGTATCTGAAACAGTGGACAGCAGCCAGCTAAATGGACCTCTAGAACCGAGGGAACTTGGGAGCAGAAAACAGCTCAAGCAGATAGCGAAACATCCACCTCAAAAAAAGACATGCGGTTAACCAGCCGTGGTGGAGAATGGAACCCTCCTGATGAGTTCTAAATACGTGATTAATTATTTGCCAAGGACAAACAAAGAGGAGCCTTAGCAAAGCTTTCTTTTTTTTCGTCCCCCAGGGGAGCTGAAGACAAGTTGAATTAATACTCGGCTGATGAAAGAGAGACACTTAAATCATTCAATATTAGTAAAATCAGTGGTTGCGTTACCCTTAATGTGCTTTTTTCCCCCCCTTTCCCACAGGATACTTTAAATATTACCGAAAACAAATTACTCGATGCGCACACTCAGATTTCTGATTTGAAGAGGTAATATTGGACCCTTTAATCCTAGAAAAGCAAGAAAACGACCAATGCCTCGCCGATTTTTATATTTTTAATTCCATTTTTATGAGCACGTTTCATGAATAAGTTAACTGTATGAATAAGTTAACCGTATGTCTTCACTGAGGGTCTTGACCAGCAAGGTCGCTAAATCAAATCTAGCAAAGAGTTAGTTTATCAAACTCTGGGCATAGACCTTTCAATAAAAATTTAATTAAAAAAAATATTTCAAGTTGAAAGGGAAATCCAACTTTGTCCCTTTGTTTCATTCCAATGTTTACCGTTTTTCAGAATTGTCAAGGTTTAGATCTTTGTCACCAAATACGGAAGAATGGTTTAACCCAATCGTGACCTTTCCAGCAGTTTTTAGAATCCTCTATTCTAACAACTAGGGGACGTGGTGGCTCAGTGGCTAAGATGCTGAGCTTGTTGATTGAAAGGCCGGCAGTTCAGAGTTCGAATCCCTAGTGCCGCTTAATGGGGTGAGCTCCCATGACTTGTCCCAGCTTCTGCCAACCTAGCAGTTCGAAAGAGGTAAAAAATGCAAGTAGAAAAAATAGGGACCCCCTTTGGTGGGAAGCGAACAGCGTTCCGTGCGCCTTTGGCGTTGAGTCATGCCAGCCACATGACCACGGAGACGTCTTCTTTGGACAGCGCTGGCTCCTCGGCTTTGGAACAGAGATGAGTACCGCCCCCTAGAGTCAGGAACGACTAGCACATATATGCGAGGGGAACCTTTACCTTTTTATTCTAGCAACTAGAACTGGAATCATAAACAGTATCAACATGGGTAAAATTGATTTTTTTTTTCTGTTTTTCTTTAGAACAGTCTCGAAACTGGAAACTCAGGTCAAGCAATTAGAACATGAAAACTCGCTCAAATTTCGTTCTCTTGCCGAGGGACACTTCGGACCATCTTATGCCAGGTTAGGATTATATCAGGGTGAGAAAATCAGACACTGACGTGTCTATTGTAATTTTAAGATGGATGAAAAGATAATTGTCAAGGTTCCAAGTAATACATCCATAACAAACAGAGCTCCGAGGCAAATAGGTTCCTCAAAGAATTGGTTTATTGGACATATCATATTGGCATAAACTGGTGAAAACCGACTCTGAATATTCCCGTCACCTAATTAAAAATAAAAGTTTCCCCCTTTTCCCAAACAATCAGTCCAATCAAGGTCCCGTCCGGTTGCCAGGCAACATCGCTGCACCTCTCTCCGGCCACCTGCGGGAATGTCCTTGGTTCCCAGGAGAAAGTATTTTGTTTTGACTACAAACCCCCACTATCTCTATTCCACCCCCCCCAATCCCTCAGCTCCAGTGTGGCAACGCCGAAAGCCTCAAAATGGCCTCGATCAGGTCAGCTTCAGGGTTGACAGTAATGTGACATGCCAGTCAGGTAATGTGACATGTAGAATAACCCCAATTATTCAGAAGTATATGAAGGACTTTGTAAATAAGACAGAATTTGCCTTAATGCGGCATAAATATTAATCTCAGTGATATGAAGGCCATTTTTGCAAAGCTGTAAGTGTTCAGAACAATCATCCTCACTCATTTGAGAGCCTCAGGTTTAGAAATTAGAGAGAGCCCTCGACTTATAACAGTTCATTTAGTGACTTAATGACTGGATTGATTCACTAAAGAGGTGTGGTAAGGAACACCTTTCCCTTACAACTTAATTGTCTCGCTTAGTAACAGATATTTTGGGCTCAATTGTGTCGTAAGGCGAGGACTACCTGCACTGCTTTGCCAGATCCTGCAAATAGCGTCTAATAAAGTCTGCTTTATTACCTCGAAAGCATGAAATGTTGCATCCTCGGCTCAAATTCTTCATTATTCACGGCTCCTCTTTGCCTTCACAGCAAATTAGAAAGCTTTGACGTGAGCAGAAGGAAGTGGCTGATCCCGGGATCCGAATTTTCAATCTTTACTGGTCAGCCGTTGGCAGCTCAAGACAATTCCAACGATAATCGACTGGAAAAAGGATTTACCTCTTCCAGGTAAGGAATATTTTTTCTCCAGATGTTTGCTTGCTTGTTTATTCATATCAGAAAGAATAGAATAGAATAGAATAGAATAGAATAGAATAGAATAGAATAGAATAGAAATGTTGCTTTCTAGTGAATCTAAATCGCGTGGCACAGCTGTTCCCCCGCCCTCGCTGTTCTACTTACCTTCTCAAGCCTCCTTTTTCCACGCAAAGCACACGTTTGGAGTGCACCACGCTTGCATACACAGCAAACCTTGGTGGCAAACCTCGGAGGATTTCACCACTGGTTTTCAGATGACAATGATTGGCATAAAAACTGTTTCCCTGTCAGAATCAGTAGCTTGAAGGTCTACCGTGTTTCCCCGAAAATAAGACCCTGTCTTATATTTTTTTGAACCACGAAATAAGCTCTTGGCCTTATTTTCGGGGAGGTCTTATTATTTTGGGGCGCTTGGAGCAAGATGAGGCTCCTCTTGCCATCTTACCCGATCACCAGCTCTGTGTTTAAATATTTTCAGGGAAGGTTTATTATCAGAGGATGTCTTATTTTCGGGGAAACAGGGTATACATGGAGTTAAATTTTTGTGTCCTGGCTGGGCTGGGAGAATTCTGAAATGCTTTTCCAGTGGCTTTTATCCCGTGCTTACAATGAATATGTTCCAGATTAAGTTATTTGAATTACAAAAAAAGAAAACTCCCAGAGGTTACGGTGAGGGTTAAATTCCAATCATTTAATCTGGTTTGAGTCTGGCAAAAGGAACTAACTGCTGTGACATTTATCTGAGCTTTTCAGCGGTGGGATGACTAGGCCTGCCTTTCCTGACTCTTTCTAGGCATTATTCTCCCCCGGAGAAGGAGTCCTCTCCAAATTGCCTCCTCACCAATGAAGCCATTCAAAAAGAGATCAAAACACAAGAAATCCCCATTCTCAAAGCCTTCAAAGAATTCGAAGAATGGAAGATGTTGAAGAACCGAGGTACCCAGGCTGAGAAAGAGGAAGGGGCAAAAATAGAAACCAGCAGTAAGTACTTTTTATTAGTTTTGATTCCCTTCTATTTCTTCCTAACGAATAAAAAATATTCCTTACCTTGTGCTGGCTGTGATTTAGATGAAAAGATAAACTCTCTGTAGAGCACGACGCTTTTTCAATGAGATATACAGACATCCAAGACGCATTGAAACCGATATTCAGCGTATCCACCATTTCATTTTGCTTCTCTGAATATTTTGGGGGTTGTTACCTTCAGCATGCGTCTCTACATTACTCCTAGATAATGAAAATGTGATTTCATGTGGTAGGAGAAAGGCCCCAAATACCTTCCTGATCGAAACCTTCTCCGCTGCCTTGGTTTATTTCAGAAACAGCCGTTCGGGGTCCGGTTGTTGGGTTCACCGAGACATCCTTGGGTACGAGCCGTTCGCCCGAGAAGAGCAAAGAGCAGCCGAGGCACAAAAAAATCAACCCGTCCAGTAGCACCCAGAGATCTTCCTCGCTCCCGCCTTCAAACAGGAAGACCAACACGCCAAGTAAAGATTTTGGATTGTCTAATTTGGTTGTTTTTTTTTTTTAAGCCTTGGCCACTTTAAAGACTTGCGGACTTCAACTCCCAGAATTCCCGAGTCAGCATGCCCATAAGTTATGGACAAAGATGGTGCCATCATATCTAAACTTGGATACCTTCGAGACCGTCTTCTGCCACCAGTAGCCTCCCACCGGCCAGTCCGCTCCCACAGAGAGGATCTCCTCAGGGTGCCATCGGCCAAATTATGTCGGCTGGCGACACCCAGGGGGAGGGCCTTCTCTGTGGGAGCCCCTGCCCTGTGGAATGAACTGCCCCCGGAAATGCGTAAGATCTCCGACCTCCATGTATTTCGCTGTGCCCTCAAGACCCTGCTGTTCCGCCAAGCCGGGCTATCAATGTAATGATTTTAATTGGTTTTAAATGGGATTTTAAATTTGGGGGTTTTATAAATTGGGCCTATTATTTAATAATTTTAATTATTTTTAAATTTTGTCTGTCTTTGTGTTCTTAATTAGGCTGTACACCGCCCTGAGTCCTTCGGGAGAAGGGCGGTATAGAAATAAAATTAATAATAATAATAAAATAAAATAAACTTTTGTTTTTTCCCCACCTGTAAAATCTCCATTTCCTCCCAATCAGCTGGGACTTGGGAGGCAGAGAATAGATGGGGGCGGGGCCAGTCAGAGCAATAAATCGGAACGGCAACATAAGGGATGGCGCCCGACACCTTCTCCTAAGATTGAAGGACTCCTTCCTGCTTTCTCTTTGCAGCCAAGCGAGAGACCATGTTGACTCCGGTGGCTGTGACCTACAGCCCCAAGCGCTCCCCCAAAGAAAATTTGTCCCCGGGGTTCAGCCACTTTCTCAGCAGAAACGAAGACATGATGACCAGGTATTGGCTCCCCCGAGCCGTCGGCAAGCAAATCTTCCAGTTGTTTAAATCCACTTTCCAATTTAGTTCGTGCTTTCTTAAACGGAGAGGAAATGGCCTTGGGAACCTTACTACAGGTAGTCCTCAACTTACGACCAGAATCGAGCCCGACCTTTCTGTTGCTCAGCGAGACATTTGTTAAGGGAGCTTGGCCCCGTTTTATGACCTTTCTTGCGGCATTCGTTAAGTGAATCCCCGCGGTTCTTGAATTAATAATGCGGCTGTTGAGCGAATCTGCTTTCCCCGTTGACTCTGCTTATCTGATGGTCGTAAAAGGAGATCCCAGGACACTGCGAACCGTCACAAAGGTGAGGCAGTTGTCAAGCGTCCAAACGTAAATCACGTGACTGCAAAGGTCATAAGCGTGGAAAGCAGCCCTAAGTCTCTTTTCTTCGGGGCCGTTGTAACTTTGATCCGTCGCTAAACGAACCGTTGTAAATCGAGGACTCCCTGTATTGATTCAGTATCATCCGGAATGAAAAGATAAATTTTAGCAGTACGCCCTTTGGGGAAGGTAAGGCGAGGAAATCCTAACTTCATTGCAAGGAACTTCCTTCTTTTTTTCCTCCGCTAGATTTGATATCCGCTTGGATGAGGTGGCCGCTGCCCCTGCAGTGCAGTACGGAAGCAGCCCACGGAAACGGCTCCAGTTTGGCTCGGGAGGCGACCCACAAGGTAAATTTCACACCAGGTGGGATCCTTTGCCGTTCGGATTTCTCGAAAGCCCCTGTGCTGCGACATCAAATCTTTCGGTTTGCATTGTTTCTTTGTTTGTTTATATTTCCTGTTTCTAAACCGCCTTGTTTCCCTCAAAGAGGGCGGCGTATGATCAGGAGTGGGCTTCAAAAATTTTAGCAAGGGGTTCTCTGTCCGGTTGCTGGCTGGGCGTGGCCATGGTGGGCGTGGCCTAGTCGGCCTCCTACACCACGACGGGCGGGGGGGGGGCTGTTTTTGTCCTCCCCAGACTCTGGAGGCTTTCCTCAAGCCTCCGGGAGGGTGAAAACGGCCTCCCCAGGCTCCGGAGGCCTTCTGGAGGCCGGAAACGGGCCCATTTCCGGCCTTCCTGAACTTCCGGTAGGCCTGTTTTTAGCCCTCCCCGAACCTCCGTGTGCGCCCTGCATTTACCTGCATCCCAAATGGGCCGGGTGAATGGAATGGAGGAAATGGAGATTTTACAGTATCCTTCCCCTGCCACGCCCACCAAGCCACGCCCACCAAGCCACACCCACAGAACCGGTAGTAAAAAAAATTTTGAAACCCACCACTTCCATCACTGCCCTATAACGTTTCTGAACAAACAGCTATCCAATCTCTTCTTAAAAGCCTCCAGCGTCGGAGCCCCCGCACTCTCTGAATGTGAATCCACAGACGATTTATAATCGGGCCTCTCGTTTTTTGGGGGGGGGGAACGGGACAGGACCGCAGCCCAGCCGCCTAGAAAGCCGCAGAGGTCCGAAGTCTTCCTCCTACCCACAACCTCTGCATTCCACAGCAAGCAGAGATTCGTCGAGGGAAGGTTACGAAGAGGGACGCTCCACCAACACCAGCGAGACGGGCTCCTCTTCGGCAGGGCCGGCGCCCTACGAGCCCGAATTCAAATACGTTTCCAGGATTAAGACTTTGGCAGAGACCGAGCGGCTTTTTGACGAGCTGACGCAAGAAAAGCAACAGGTAGACATGGCTTCTCTTCCCTCTTCACATTAGGCTTTTTTTTATTTATCTATCCTGCCTTTATTATTTTTACCAATAACTCAAGGCGGCAGACTTCTCCGACACACCTTCCTCCTCCTATTTCCCTCCACCCCCCCAAAAAACAACAACCCTGTGAGATGGATTGGGCTGAGAGGGAGGGACTGGCGGAAAATCACCCAGCTGGCTTGCATGCTAAAGCAGGACTAGAACTCACTGTCTCCTGGTGATTGGTCCAAATTCATCCAGTTGGTTTTCACACTTAAGGTGGGACTAGAACTCACCGTCTCCTGGTAATTGGTCCAAATTCATCCAGTTGGTTTTCACACTTAAGGTGGGACTAGAACTCACCGTCTCCTGGTGATTGGTCCAAATTCATCCAGTTGGTTTTCACACTTAAGGTGGGACTAGAACTCACCGTCTCCTGGTAATTGGTCCAAATTCATCCAGTTGGTTTTCACACTTAAGGTGGGACTAGAACTCACCGTCTCCTGGTGATTGGTCCAAATTCATCCAGTTGGTTTTCACACTTAAGGTGGGACTAGAACTCACCGTCTCCTGGTAATTGGTCCAAATTCATCCAGTTGGTTTTCACGCTTAAGGTGGGACTAGAACTCACCGTCTCCTGGTGATTGGTCCAAATTCACCCAACTGGCTTTCACAGTTAAGGCGGGACTAGGACTCACCGTCTCCTGGTGATTGGTCCAAATTCATCCAGTTGGTTTTCACGCTTAAGGTGGGACTAGAACTCACCGTCTCCTGGTGATTGGTCCAAATTCACCCAACTGGCTTTCACAGTTAAGGCGGGACTAGGACTCACCGTCTCCTGGTGATTGGTCCAAATTCATCCAGTTGGTTTTCACGCTTAAGGTGGGACTAGAACTCACTGCCTCCTGGTGATTGGCCCAAAGTCATCCATCCGACTTTCATGGCTACGGTAGGATTTGAACTCATGGTCTCCTACTTTCTATCCTGGCACCTTAACCAGTAGACCAAACTGGCTATCCGACATTCGGGTGGATCGCCAGAAACCCTTGAATAATCTGAAATTCAACTCGGCCGAGTGTCCAGGATCATCTTAGGGTTGGCCAACATGCAGGGAAGCCACGGTTCAAACATGGTTGGCTAGAGAATTCTGGGAGTTGAAACCCACACGTCATAAAAGTTGTCAAGGATTTATAGAACGGTCCAATGGCCAGATCTATTCAATTGGCAAAAAATTGCTCATTTTTTTGTGGGGGGGTAGCTTTTATTTCTTTGTGGGGGGGTTGCCCCCCACTTTTTAAAGCATTCCCTCTTTCCCGATGTTTTCTGTGCTGATAGATTGAGTCCCAGCTGAGCCGAATTCCTTGCGCCGGAGGAAGGATGACATTCCAGGCCCGTCTGAATCAGGTTGCCCTTCTTCTTGTGTCTCTGGGATTAAGCGGGGTGCCCCTGCGCGTGCTTGCAGGCAGTCCTCGGTTTAGGACCACAAATGGGGAACCAGAAACTTCCACCACTGAGCAAGACGGTTGTTTAAATGAATCACGCCCAATTTTAGCACCTTCGTTGTTAACGGTTGGGAAGTGAATACATTTATAATATTTATTTCTTCATGAAATTTATTTGCCACCCTTCTCGTATCCAACGACTTTCGGTGGCAAATAAATAATCACATTTCTTGGGCGAATCACGTGGTCATTAAATGAATCTGGCTTCCCTTCTTGGATTCGCTTGTTGGAAGCCGGGAAAGTTGTAAATGGCCAACATATTGACCCCAGCATGATGCAATTCTGGTAAATACTGGTTGCCAAGCATCTGAATTTTGATCCCATGACCCTGGGAATGTTATGACGGTCGTAAGTCTGAGGACCGGCTGCAAATCACCTTTTTCAGTGTGGTTGCAACTTCCAATCGTCACTAAGCAAAAACCTATAGTTCTTTCAGACTTTAACAGTTGAATCTCAGGGCTGGGTCCACAACTAACCACGATTTCATCTCAGATCACAAAATTACAGAAAGTGTAACGTAAAAGACAAACCCCAAATGTCAGTTCCAGAATCATCGCGGTCTTTTTTTTTTTTTTTCTCTCTTCTAATTCTCTCTGGATCCTGAATGCCCTTTCTCTGAATATTCCCCCTTCAGGAAGCTCTGGAGGATCGCCTGGAAAGAATCACTCGAGAATTGGGATCCATCCGCATGACCCTGAAGAGATTCCAGATTTTACGCACCTCCGCCAACATTTGAAGATGACCCGACTTTGAAGAGATAACAACCCCTTTATTTGCACTAAAGTACAATAATGATGCACTCTGAAAATGCAAACCGGTTTTGTATTTTTCTAAACCCTCCCCGGCCTTTTTTGCAATCATGCCCTCTATACACACACACACACACACACACAAACCCAATATTTTGTACTGAGCCACATATTTTCCAAAAAAACCCCTATTTTTGTTATTTCCGGAAGGAGTCGAACTATGGGATTTTTTCTTTTTCTTTTTTTTGTATTTTGCTACTTTTGAAGACGCAGGTTTGTCTGTTTTTTTTTTTTTTTTTGAAAACGGCAGACCTGAATTCTTTGTAAAAACGCCGAGTTTTTGAGACGTTTTATCATGTTGCCGATTGGTTTTGATGGTGTTCGCCACGTTTAGAGGGTTAGAAGCCAAGCTTATATGACGTACGTACGCAGTGCGGACTTTTTTTAAAATCGATGCTAACAGGACACACGGCTGCTTCTTGGGGAAGTGAGCTGCAAGGAAACATTTCACAGCTTAAAATTTCCAAACCGCATCCTCTTCTCCCAAATTCCTTTGCTGAGTTGACAGAGCAGTGTTACCAACAAAGGAATCGAGAAAGTTAGAGGGGGGGGAACCTATTTTCAGTATCCATCTCATTGCATTCCAGGGAGTCCGAGAGAGATCAGAAGTTCTCTTTTTAAACCACTCGTTTTTATTTGGCATGTTTTATCACGGAAGTATGAATTAAAATTAAGTGTCTAACCTGAAGTTGTTTGAACTGTTGCTTTTTAAGCCTCTTTTTGCCTTCTTCTCGTCTTTGCCATGACAGTTTGAAGTCCAAGGAACTTGCAAACGCAGTTCCCATAATGATAAAGATTTTTCAGTTGTGACACTGAACTGGGTTGGTCGGTCTGTCTCTGTCTGTCTGTCTGTCTGTCTGTCTATCTATCTATCTATCTATCTATCTATCTATCTATCTATCTATCTATGAATTTTAATTTTTAAACAGAGGGAGTCTGGGCAGTGTACAATAAAATATACAAAAACAATATATAAAAGTTAGAATTTTAAAAGAGGCAAGGATGGATATTCCTTTTAAGATCTGTCTTTATTTAGCAAGTTGAGTCTTTTTTAAAAAAAAATTATCCAGCCTCCTTTCTTGTCGCTGCTGGAAGATGGCTGGGCTTCAATTCCCAGAATTCCCCGAGCCAGCCATGTTTTCCATTAAACCTTGTATAGAAACTCTTAATTTCTCAATGTTCCTCAAAGAAGCACTGCAAATCAGTCAGTTTTTATTTTAGCCTTTCAAAGAGCAGGGTTTCCAAATCATGATACGGATCCTTTGGTTTCAGGCAAAAATATTTCCCACTAAATGTTCCAAGAACCGGCGAGACCTGCAAAATCTGATTACACTGAGCCCTAAAGAAAAGAAAATTCTGGAAGAATCGTGTAGCAGCTTCCCTTGTTTTCTGTATTCCCAGGAATAATAAAAACAGCCAGCAGGGAAAGGGCAGGTGTGTTACCATCTGATCGCAAATTAAATGTTGCCTTCCTTGGCTTTATATATGTATAAATATGTATGTGTGTGTGTAATTAATTGATAGATAGATGAGATAGATAGATAGATAGTAGAGATTAGATAAATAGATAGATATAAACAGATAGATGTAGAGAGACTAGATAGATAATATTAGATTATAGATTAGATAGATAGATAGCATTCCAGATATATATATATTTCCTGCTTTCAATTTTGCTTCCTCTCAGAAGACGTAGCCTGCAAAGAATTTCTCTAGATTAATCGTCCTTCATTTGCAGCCAATTGCTGCCTCTTGTTTTTTTATTTTTATTTGAAGCTATGTACTCTTCTCTGATTCTGCAGCCAAACTAATCTTCTCCGGGGATAATTGATGTACCCTTCTGGTTTCCAATTTCAGACAAGCTATTATCTCTGCCTCCGTCCTTCCTTTTCGGTCTTAAATTTACTCCTGACAAACTCACTTCATCGCTGGCTTGCAAAATATTATCAGCGGGGTAATTCAGGAAGCTGAGTCATGAAATCGAGGTTTTGTTTTGTTTTTGTTTTTGTTTCCTGTCCATTCCTCTCCTTTCCAGGACCCCTTGCAGCCCCCCCCCGAGAACACCCTTCCCCATTAAAGGGGATTTGAGGCTGCTTTATTTTGGATTTCTTCTGTTTTGAACGGTGTAGAAGAATCTGAATTTAAGACCTCAAAATGCAATCCACAGGTCCAGGGAAAGCGTGAGATCTGGATAGAAAAAGAGATGATGGGGAGGACGAGAAAGTCTTAAAAGCTTTCTCTTTTAATATATACCATTTCCTGTTTTTATTATTTTAATATCTTGCAGTTAATGGAGTACAGTTAAAGGTACCCCACTTTTTTGGACGTGCCTGTGTATGCATCCTCCTCCCCCCTCTTTTTCCCCCTCCCCACCTTCCCCAGGTACCCCACTTTTTTGGACGTGCCTGTGTGGATGCACCTTTCCTCCCCCTCTTTTAACCCTTCCCCCCTCCCTTTCCAAGAGACCCCCTCCCCAATGCAGGCTGGAGACTGGAAATGGGGGGGGGAAAGCGAGGAGCCTTGATAGCACAGTGGTCTAGAGCACCCTGTCATTAACACAGCTGCCTGCAATTACTGCTGGTTCGAATCTCCCCAGGCTCAAGGTTGACTCAGCCTTCCATCCTTTCTAAGGTAGGTGAAATGAGGACCCAGTTTGTGGGGGCAATAAGCTGACTTTGTATAAATATATACAAAAGGATGAAGGCTATTGCTTAACGCATTGTAAGCTGCCCTGAGTCTCCGGAGAAGGGCGGCATATAAATCAAATAAAAAAAAAAGAAAAGAAAGAGAAAGAAAGAAGGAAGGAAGGAAAGAAAGAAAGAAAGAAAAAGAAAAAAAGAGAAGCTGACTTTGTATAAATATACAAAAGTATGAAGGCTATTGCGTAACGCATTGTAAGCCGCCCTGAATCTTGGAGAAGGGCGGCATATAAATCAAATTTTTAAAAAAAAGAAAAGAAAGAGAAAGAAGGAAGGAAGGAAGAAAAGAAGGAAAGAAAGAAAGAGAAAGAAAGAAGCTGACTTTGTATAAATATACAAAAAGGATGAAGGCTATTGCTTAACGCATTATAAGCCGCCCTGAATCTTGGAGAAGGGCGGCATATAAATCAAATTTTAAAAAAAAAGAAAAGAAAGAGAAAGAAGGAAGGAAGGAAGGAAGGAAAGAAAGAAAAGAAAGAGAAGCTGACTTTGTATAAATATAGAAAAGTATGAAGGCTATTGCGTAACGCATTGTAAGCCACCCTGAATCTTGGAGAAGGGCAGCATATAAATCAAATTTAAAAAAAAAAGAAAAGAAAGAAAGAAGGAAGAAAGAAAGAAGGAAGGAAGGAAAGAAAGAAAGAAAGAAAGAAAGAAAGAAAGAAAGAAAGAAAGAAAGAAAGAAAGAAAGAAAGAAAGAGAAGCTGACTTTGTATAAATATACACAAAAGGATGAAGGCTATTGCTGAGCACATTGTAAGCCGCCCTGAGTCTCCGGAGAAGGGCGGCATATAAATCAAATTGAAAAAAAGAAAAGAAAAAAAAAAAGGCGAGCCCAGCTGCAGTTCGCGCGGCGGCCGGCAGGAGCCGCCAGAGAGCCGCCCGCCCGCCGCCGTCGGCTCTTGCTTCCCCGGGGCGCAGCTGGAGCGACCCAGCTGCGCTGGCAACGGCGGCGGCGGCGGCGGCCGCAAAGCGGGAATGCGCGCAAAGCAGGAGGAAGTGGGAGCCGCCGTTGGAAGCCTCCGGGCCGAGCTGTCGAACCGGTCGCAGCAGCAGCAGCAGCAGCAGCAGAGGAGGAGGAGGAGGAGGAGGAGGAAGGAAGAGAAGGGTTGCAATTGCAGCTGCAGCTGCAGGGCGCTGCCTCCTTGCATGGAGCCCGCCGGGCAGGGGAGCCCCGACGGCCGCCCAACCCCGGCTAGGAGGGCCCGCTAGCCCGCGGGGGCGGCAGGAGGAGGAGGAGGAGGCGGAGGTGGCCGCGCTGCGAGTCCGGGCCTGCCGGCGGGCCGGGCTACCCCCAAGAGAAGCGATGCCCGGGCGTGGAGGTGAGGCTTTCCAAGCGGGCTAAGAGCTGGGGAAGGGGCTGGCGGCTGCGCCGGAGTTGGGCAGGGCGCGGGGCAGGCAAGGGAAGGGAAGGTTTGGGGGAGGAGGGGGCGTCCCCGGGTGGGAGAAGCGAATGGAGGGGGGGGTCTCTGCAGGATCCTAAGCCTCCCACTCACCCACCCCCCAATTCCACCCTTTGCCCACCCCCCACCTCCCCACCCCCCCAATTCCAGTCATGGCAAAGAGTTAAGCCCCTTTGGAGGGGGTGCAATTTCCAGCATTTCTTCCCCCTTCCCCCCAACAGCTAGGAGGGTCTCAAGAAGGAGCAAAGACCCATTGCAAAGCTGGCATTTTGTAAACCCCCCACCCACCCAAACGGGTGTGGATTTGAGGGCCTGCCCACTCGGGGCCGGGGAAGGGCGGGGGTGCCAATATGATATCCTTTCCCCCTCGGAGGAGGGGTCGTTTGGCACCCCTGCTCTGACTGACCCCCCCCTTTTCTGCAGCTGGAATGGAGCAAGAGCCCCCCTCGGGGCTGCTGAGGTTGTACCTGGTGTTTGATTTGGGGAGGGGGCCGGTGGTTCAGCCTCCTTGGAATGAGGGGGAGTCTTGAGGCTTTCTCCCCCCCTCTCACCGACCCCTCCTCAGCTGAGCAATGATGCCCCCTTGCCAGGAAAAGCCAACCTAGCGTGTGAATGCTTGTTCAACGTGGCTAAGCGAATCCTAGCCAGATGTGGGTTTGAGATGAGGCTGTTGTTTTTATAGACTTGCCTTGCTGGGCGCATTGGACCTTAACAAGGGGAGGTCTGTCCAGATGATCTCTTGTCCCCCCCCCCTTTCCAAGCTCCTGCAGCTTTTTCTTGCCAGGGGTGACCAAAACCAACCAAAAATTAGAATAAGATTTTCTCTCTCTCTCTCCTCTCTGTCTCTCCCTCCGTCCCTCCCTCCCTTTCTCTCTCTCTCTCTCCCTCCCTCTCTCCCTCTTTCTCTCTCCCTCCCTCCCTTTCCTTCTCCCTCTCTCTTTTTCTCTCTCCCTCCCTTTCCCTCTTTCTCTTTCTCTCTTCCTCCCTCCCTCCCTTTCTCTCTCTTTTTCTCTCTCCCTCCATCCCTCCCTTTCCCCCTTTCCCCCTCTCCCTTTCTCTCTCCCTCTCTCTTTTTCTCTCTCCCTCCCTTCCTTTCCCCCTCTCTCTTTCTCCCTCCGTCTCTCCCTCTCTCTCTTTCTCTCTTCTTCCCTGCCTCTCTCCCTCTCTCTCTCTCTCTCTCTCTCTCTTTCCTTCCTTCCCTCTCTCTCTTTCTCTCTTCCTCCTTCCCTCTCTCCCTCCCTCTCTCTCTCTCTCCCTCCCTCCCTCTCTCTCTTTCTTTTCCTGGGAAGGAATCAAGGTTGGTTTGCACAGACCGACAAGCACATCCTGTGGGAGTTGCTGAGATCTTGGCTTAGTGAGTTTAGCTGAAGGCAGCCGGTGCTTTTAAGTCGGCGTGGCTCAGCACATGGGCTGGAGAAATCTCATTAGTCACGGTTTAATCATCCGTTCTCACAACCCGCACTTCTGACTCGGAACCAAATCGACCGGTTCTGGACTTGACATGATTGTGTTACCCAAGTGTTTTATTCCTTTTGTTGTTCTTTGTTGTTCTTGAGGAATTTAGCTGAGGGGTGGATGGACAGGCTCTTAAACTGCTGTTGGACTTGGGAAGAAAAATTGATTTTGGAAATGTTCTTTGCATCTCCTTGATTGTGGAATTGTGCCTCTGATTTGTCCATTCATTTTTAACTTTGCAAACTACAGTGGTTTTCCTCCCTCCCTCCCTCTATCATCTTCCTTCCTTCCTTCCTTCCTTCCTTCCTTCCTTCCTTCCTTCCTTCCTTCCTCCCTCCCTCCCTCCCTCCCTCCCTCCCTCCCTCCCTCCCTTTATTATATTTACAAATAAGTCAAGGCAGCAAAAATATCCACTGTACCTTCTATTTTCCCTGCAACCACAATCCTTTCTCTTGGGCTGAGAAAGAGAGACTGGCCCAAAGCCTTTGACAGCTAAGACCAGACTTGAATTCCCAGTCTAGTCCTACCTTAACCATGAATGTTGGCTGGTGACTGTGCCCATCGCCAGGAGACGGTGAGTTCTAGTGCCGCCTTAGCCATAAAAAACCATCTGGCTGACTTTGGGCCAGTCCCTCCCTCTCTCAGCCCCATCCTCCTTACAGAGTTTGTCGTTCGTTGCAGGGAAAATAGGAGGAGGAAGGAGGAGGTATATTCGCTGCCTTGAGCTATTTGTAAAAAAATAATAAAGGCAAGATACGAATAAATATATTGCAAGGTTTGGTTTCTGGAAAGAGTTGCCATTAAGACAAACCCCAAGCGCAGATACAAAATTCTAGCAAGCAATTTGTTATCGGAATCCTAACCTCCCCCAGCACTTTAATTAAAAACAAACAAACAGAGAGAGAGAGAGATAGACAGAGAGACAGACAGACAGAGAAAGAGAGAAAGAGACAGAGAGAAAGAGACAGAGAGAGGGAGAGAGAGAGAGAGACAGACAGACAGAGACAGAGAGAAAGTGACACAGACAGAGAGACAGAGAGAGAGAAAGAGACAGAGAGAGAGACAGAAAGAGAAAATGACAGAGAGAGACAGAGAGACAGAAAGAAAGAGAGAGAGAGAGAGAGAGAGAGACAGAGAGAGAAAGTAACAGAGACAGAAAAAGAAAGTGGCAGAGAGAAAGAGAGAGACAAGAGAGAGAGACAGAGAGTGACAGAGAGAAAGAGACAGAGAAAGAGAGTGACAGAGAGAAAGAGACAGAGAGAGAAACAAGAGAGAGAGACAGAGGGAAAGAGACAGACAGAGAAAGAGAGTGACAGAGAGAAAGAGACAGAGAGAAAGAGACAGAGAGACAGAAAAAGAGTGGCAGAGAGAAAGAGACAGACAAAAAGAGTGACAGAGAGAAAGAAACGAGAGACAGAGAGACAAAGAGAGTAACAGAGAGACAGAGACAGAGAGACAGAGAAAGAGACAGAGAGAAAGAGAGAGAATGTGTGAGAGAGAGATGTAAAACATCAGAGGGGAAAGAGGAGCTGTTGCTAAAACTCAGGAAGGGAAAAACCAAATCACCCCATTAACTTTCTTCACCCCCCCCAAAAGAGCCATCCGTATCCTGAAGCCTGTTTTGTTGCTTAATCATATTTAAAACCCCATCGCCGACTTTTTAATTAAAGGCCCAGCGGATGCTGGTTTTAATGAACATCGCTGTGCACAACTGCCTTGCGGATTGGGAGGGAATTTTTTTTATTTATTTAATATTTCAGATCTGGATTTTTCTCCCTTAATGGTTGCTTCAGGAGCCCTTCCGAACGGCTTCGGGTAACAGCTGTTGCTCCTTTGTTTGGGGTGGGTAGGTGGTTAATTTAATTACTTCCACCTACCTGGATTGGGGAATTAAAAATTGCATTGTCAGTTGTTCTCTCTGGCAAACAACGAAGCGAGACAGGTTGTTTGGCCGAAGCGGTCTCTACGGCTATTGTCGTCACCATGGTTTTTATTGGCTAGTTGGCCATGATGGTTTAAATGCTGAAATTGGTCTGCGTGTAAATTAACGGTCTTGTAATGAGGTGGTTAATAAAGCTTGATGATTGGCAATCTAATCAGTGGCTAAAACACTGAGCTTGTCGATCGAAAGGTCGGCAGTTCGGCGGTTCGAGTCCCTGGTGCCGCGAAATGGGGTGAGCTCCCGTTCCTTGTCTCAGCTTCTGCCAACCTAGCAGTTCGAAAGCAGGTAAAAAATGCAAGTAGAAAAATAGGAACCACCTTTGGGTGGGAAGGGAACAGCCCTCCGTGGCGTTGAGTCACGCCGGCCACATGACCACGGAGACGTCTTTGGACAGCGCTGGCTCTTCGGCTTTGAAACGGAGATGAGCACCGCCCCCTAGAGTCAGGAACGACTAGCACAGATGTGCGAGGGGAACCTTTTATCTTTTTAACTTTACCTTAATCTATTTTAAGGATCCTTGGTGCTCTCTGAGCTTGGTTGTTGTTGGTTTTTTTTTAAAAAAATTATTACTCAAGCTAGATAACATTATCAATACTAGTCAAACACAAACATAGATAATCAAATGTTTTCATCAATTATTATTCATCTATTTTTAGTTTTGGGCCACGCCGATAATGTCACCAAGGAAGTGTTTTTAATTTGGGGTGGTCTGTATAATAATCTCTTCCAAGCGTTTGGACACTTTCTCCAGTTTTGTGAGACTCGGAACAAATATTTCTCCCGTTCCTTCCCTTTTATTTTGATTTTATTGGCGCACGGCTCTTGACTGTCCAGGAGTCCAGCCAACTCAACAGACTTCAGCCATCGCCCGTTTCCTTTCTCTGCTCCTTTCATCCATCCGTGAGTTTACTCATTGTGAGGAGTGGGATCCTCCCAGCCGGAAAGGTTGCTGTTTTAAGACTTGCCAACTTTAATTAGTTTAAAAGGTGTCCTTCCAGGCACCTCATAAAAATGACGAATGCCTTTTTGTAATCTCAAAGGGGAAAAAAAAAAAGAAATGATGATGAAACATTTCTTGGAAGAGGTCTCTCGGTTTGGGGAAAGAGGTGTGCCTCTTTTAGGATGATTCAGGTATTCCTCGACTTCCAACGGTCGGTTTAGTGACCGTTCGAAGTTACAACGCCGTTGAAAAAAAGGGACTTTATCTGGGTTTTTTTCAGATATTTTTTTTTTGCTGCATTCCCATGGATTAAATGGATTAAAATTCAGAGAGGCTTGGCCACATTTATGATGGTTGCAAATGTCCCTTCATCCCCGATCGCGGCTTCTCACCGGCAAAGTCCACAGGGAAACCAGATTCACTTAGTAACAGGGCAGCTAATTTAACAACTTAGCTTTAGCTTTTAACAACTTAATTTAAGATGATTCACTTAACAACTGAAGGGTGGTAAAATAGGAAAAAACCCACTAGACAGTCAGCTACCAGCCCCTCCAGCAGCCGATTCAGAGGAGGAGGAGTGGG